GGATGAACGGGTGCTTTCCGTTGGTTTGCCACCATTCCAGCACCTCCTTCGCTACCAAGTCAGGTTTACGTCCTGAAGGAGATTGAGCCGCGTAATGCGGGGACAAAGAACTTGGTGTCATGCTTTTTATTCTTTTACTCATGTAAAAGAACATTAAGTGAAATTAAATCAAATAGAATAGTTTCTTTATATATAGCTTTAAATAAATAAATAAAGTATTTCTTAGCTATTGTCAACTTTAATAAAAAAAAACACGTTTTTAAACTTTTTTTTTTTACTTGATTGATGTCAATGTTGTAATTAGGTGGACTCATTTATAAGAAGAAATTAATCTAATCGAGTAAACATAAAAATAAATAAAATACTATTCGTATACTCTAAAGTGGTATTGATAACCGTGTTTAACTATAGATGCTGTTTTTGTCTATAAAGTATATAAATTTCAGAATAATGCTTGATGATGCCGATGGCGTGAATTATATAGTATTAAATTTTGGCTAATCTGGATGGAAATTGTAAAGGGGATGTGTTGAAATCAGAGAAAGAAAAGAGAGAAAAAGAAAGATGCAAGAATCAAAAGGTAAAAGGCGAAAGAAAAACGAAGGTTAATAAAAGATGAGAAGGAATAAAGAAATATATGTTTGAAAGAGAGGCAGCAAAGACATAATGTGGATTGAATACACAGACTGTGCACAAGAAAAAAAAAAGTTAATTTGGATTGATTTATAAAACAATAATCCTTTTTTATAAACATTTTTGTACTTTGAATATTAGTAAATGCCTGGTATCCTTCATTCGTTATTACACAAACACATGCGCAATTATATTCACAGTGGAAAGTATGATTTGAATTCAAATAAGAATAGTAGACAAGTACTGATAAGCTAAAAAGCATATCCTTTAACATCATGTATGATAACAACTCGCCAAAGATGTACAGACAGCTTTTACATTGCAATCCTTAAAGGTGAGCTGACAGATATTAAGGTATATTAAATTGCCAAGACGTAAATATTATAAAGGGGGTACATTTTCATAATGAATTCCATGGAGTGGAGTGTAACTTTGATGCGTGCCGGGTATTACGGCCTATTCATTAGTATAGATTGTTCATATGTCAGTTTTCTTTTTTGTTTAGGTACTAATATTTAAAAGATACTATGCTTTTGCCATTTCAATATCGTCAATTCTCATTAAGCCACTACAAAGATGTATTTATATTTCCACCTAATTTTGAAGAGATTGGGAAACTTATATACTATCAATAAAAGACAAACCATTAATCTAGGTCGATAGAAATGACTTTTGTATATATTTTCATATATGAGTTAATGAATAAAAGTGTTTTCGAAAAGTATTTCAACCGGTTTAAAAATCCTCTCATTTCGGGAATACTTATTAAAAGTGGCACTACATAAAATAACCCAATGATTCCTAATTGTACAAAAGAATCTAATAATGTATAATCAAATGAAAATGTGATTATAAAAACTAAAAAAAGATACATTAGTGTGTGAATAAACCCATATATTCACGAGAGTGGATATAAAATATTATTCATAAAAGTAAAGGATCAAAGCGTAAAGTTTACCATAAGTATCCTATAAAAATTTATATAGAATCACATTGGGTTTAATAGAAAAAAGTTTAATAAAAAAGAGATGTCTTTTATTGTACCAGTCTTCAATAGTCATATTTCTACTTTGTTACACCCCTGGCATAAATAATAGCAAAACATTTCAAGAATTGAAATCATATCAAGTATGACACAAATTCATGGTAGGCAATATAATCCAAGGGTGCGAGTAATTAATAACCAAAAGGCTGTGTAATGATATTATACCTGTGAAATCGATACATCGAAATCCTTCTTGTTTTGACATGGCCAAATGTGTTTGAAACACACAGTATATAAAGTACCTCCCATTTGAAGACTTAAGGATGGTATTAAAATTTTGATTTGTATTGATAGAATATTTGTTGCTAATGATTTTTGTGAGTTATTATTGATCTATATCCATCATTGACTCTGTTACTACTTGTGTATCAGGTTTTGTGGTTGCAATTTCTGCTGCGGCCTTGCTCATTTCATAATATTGGTTTGGATGTTCGATAATGGTTGCCTTTTCTGTCACCTTTGTATGTGTTACTTCAAAGTGTCGTGTACAGGCAAGTTGATAATGTCGATTATTGACCAGAGTCATAATCTCCTGTATCTGAGGCTTATCAATTTTATCTTTGTACAGTCTAGTTTCCAGGTTTTCAGGAGAGAAGTGTTTGAATGGGCAACCGTGGCTGTCCCCAGATGAAGGCTGATTGGATTGAATGATTTTCATACAGCTGTACAATCGTTTGTCAGAATATGTCACCGTTTTTTTCTTTATCTTATTGTAAAATTTACCTGTAAGGCGTGTAATCCAGGCGTCTTCCTTCAAGGCCATAGTTATGTCGGATATTGTAAGCATACTCCTTTTGAAATTTATCATCTGGGAGATTTGCAAAGGCAAGTTTCCAGAATAAGATGGCTTCGTCAATATTGAGTCCTATTCCCTAAACATGTATCACGTTAAACACTTTATTTTAACTAGTTTTACATTTGATTCTACTTACCTTGAGGAAAAGTCCGTATTGCATACGTCCGCCATGACGAAGATGCTTATTTGCTCGAAGAGAGTCGTGTAAATTGCGCATACACAATGGTGCATGTTCCGAAATTAACTATAACAATCGCACATAAGTTTTTTTTTGCCTTACTCAAATTTCATAGTTATTCTTACCCCATCTACATCACTAGCTTGGACCGTGCCATCTGAATTATTTGATGCTCCGTATGATTTTCCTGTGTATTGTTTCTCAACATTAAGCAAGATCGGCCGGAGGCGATCATCCTCCTCCATACGTGGTAAGATTTTTGAAGTGACCTATTAAAAAAAATAAACATATTCTATTAATCTATAAAATAAATTCTAGCAGATATATTACCTCCAATGCCTTTGACAAACGCAGTCTGAACTCATCCATGACCAAACTAACTTGTTCTGCCATTGGCACATACGCCTTTCCTTTGTGTATATATACAGATCGTCGTGATAAAAGGTCTGGTACTTTTTCAAAATCGACCTATTCCCCAATATGCAAATGTTATTTTTAATCAATTGCGTGTTACTCTTTGACCGACCTGCGTACCTCAAAATAAGTTTCGCTTTGTACTCGCTGGCGTACTTGGAGCAATTCTTTCTTTGAGCCACTATAACTAAGGGATTTTTCCAGCTGTGGAGTTATACTATCTTTTGTTTCTTGGTCAAGCTGTATCGATTATATATATTCTTATCAGTAATTTTTACTATTGACCCCCCACACAATCGATTTCAGAATATTTACAATCTTCCAGTTAAGGTTCAACTCTGTCAGAAACCGTCTTTTTTCTTCTTGTCCTTCTTGCTCAAATCGGTATCTGCAGCATAGCGTTCATGTTACTACCAAGTCTGGTTCGTGAATGCAGAACTAAAGAAAAACAATCCCCAAAAATATACCCATTTTAAAGAGAAAGTATGTACCTGAACAGATTGCATTCTTGTCGTAAAAACCATACTCTCAACTCCTCACTAGAAAATATATCGTGGATCAGATCAAACCTTATATCTGACAAATGAGAAAATATGATATGGATACCTCCGACAATAAGCAAGTCTGAGAACATAGTGACTGATGTGATCTTTTCGACGGTCCTCGTATAATGTAGGTGATTGTGATATATTTGATTTAAGAGGAAGATGTTGTTCAAGTACAGGGTTCATTACTCGCTCTAACTCGGCTCCACGAAGGTTTCTCAACGATGCGGTCTCGAGTGTCTTGAGAACTAATGAAAAATCCCCATAGTTTTTAAATCAGGCACTTTACTCTTTTAATTTTCTCGAATTAAATGCTTGATTGAACTCTACCTTGAAGACGATCAAGCGCAAATAGTTCAAATTCTTCAATGGTGATCTCAGTACTTGGTGGTGCGAGATAAAAGTTCAATCGTGTTGGATATTGTTTACTGATGTCATTTCTACCATAGTCCGTAGATACTTGGGCATGATTTGCAGCCTCAAATCGATTGATTTTTTTCTTTTGTCTGTGCATTGCTGTTTAATCGAAAACAAGAAAAGGCGCGTGTCGTTGGACGCGGTCCAGAAAACCAAACGCGTAAGAATTGATTTTTTTGGCGATGCGACAGTCACCTCTGCTCCGACAAAGAGGTCAAGGAATTAGGAATCTTGGACCACATTTAATTCTGCCATCTCATTCTTTCTTCTTTTTTCTTCTTTTTCACGCCCAAAAAAAAACCCCATTGCACAATTTCAAACGCTTTAAAATTACTTGGGTATATTACAGTTATAATGTTTAAAGTCTATCAGCAGCAGGTACCTGACAAAAAGCTATTAATCACAAGTCATATTGTAATATGTTTAAGCGTCTATTAATATAAAAGCATAACATTACTCTTATTAAAATCGGACAGTGTCAAACCAATGATTTGTCTGCTATGTTCATATCTAATAAATCATACATAATTTTCTTTGTATACCAATTAGAGCACACTGAAACTGACTTGTCTACCAATTGAGTATTCTAAGATTCATAATTTGCAATGATAATCCTAGAAACAGTTTATAATATAATGTTATATATAATTAAGACTATTATCGTTTATGACAGATAGCATGTTCTCTTGGCCATCACTCCCGATTATTTCGCTCGATATAAAAAAAAGGGGGACAATGTTGTTAAATAATCCTTATAAAACTGGGATAAAAGGCTGTATCAATAAATTAAACAAATAAAGTTCGAGCATAGAAACGAAAATAAGGTATTCAAGATTTTATACAAATAATAAGAAGGGGTATAACAAGGAGAAATAATTAAACCGGTTGTATATCTAGATTATGAGTGTCTATTATTCTTTTGTATTGCCTGCCACTTCTGCTTCATCATCTCATTCTCACTTTCGCTCTGAGCGTACTTCATTTTGTAATCTACTAGAGTTGCTTCTACTTCTAATAAGCGATCCTCTAACTGTGAATTGCGATTCACAAGGTGGGCATTTTTCTGAGCCAATCTATTAAACATATCACTACCATCTGTCTTTACTGGTGCCGCTTCCGCAAAGTTTGGATCGGATCGGTATTTTCCCAGCAATCGTCGCAGTTCTTGGTTTTCATCGTTCATCTGAGCCATCTCCATTTTGACTGAGATCAGTTGGTGGGCAACATCTTGATGCTCATCCTGAAGGATATTAAACGAATGCTCCATACGTCTCAGTTTTTCTGCTAGCTCTGCATTTTGTCGTCTAAGCTGGTCTTCTGGAGAATGTAATTTTGCTTCTTTGGCAGATTCAACTGCATACTTCTTAGAGATCTTTTCTAGCTGTCGAGCAGTAATATTGAAACCATATGCATCATGTACAAATGCCGCAGGCTCATCCTAATAAGAAAAATAGCATTTATTAGTAAGTACATATTTCAGAGTGTTTACTTTTTACAGCTACATAATCTCTTACCTGATAAACATCGAATATACGGTTACTAAAGAATTCTAACAGAGTTTCAAACTCTAGATTGAGAAGCGTCTTTTGATTCTTTTTCATTAAAGCAAGTGCAAAGTTCAAGAGGATTGAAGATCCTTCAACAAAGACCAAATCAAATACACGAAAGACAAGCTCAAATGGACAACGGTAAGAGAAAAGAGTCATAAACCATTGGGATGCATACATGGTTGGTTTGATTCCATGAGTTTCCAAATGTTTGTGGACCTGGGGTAGTGTTTGGAGTAATAACTGATCAAATTGATAGAGTCTTTCGTGAAGTGTCTCCATCTGTGGTGTAAAATGTCCGCGCAAACCATAGTGGCTCATCAACTTGACCAAAACACAAAATACAGCTTCATCTGGCATCTGTGTATAGCCACACAATAACAAGGGACTTAGTAAATTGCCTGCGAAAAAATACTCTAGACAAAAAAGAGACCTACATGTAACAAAAGACATCCAACTACGAATGGGAGACCTTGGCAGTAGCCTACTTTCTGGTCGAACAAACTGTATGCTTTGATGACATTGAACAGCATCTGTTGCCCTTCTCCATCCTTTTCTTGGAAGAAAGGATGCGTAGGAAAGGTGCGGGCTAAATCGCGACGAATGATTTTTTCATGAGGACTTGTACGCTTAAGCAACTCACGGTATTCACACTCTAGTTCGTTACTGTCTCTTGATTTTGAAAATATTTGCCACATCATTCCACGCAAAGAAGGAGGGATACCCACAGCAAGATGCAATCGTAGATTTTGAACATCTGATTTTACCATCTCGTCAAATCCAGAAATTACAGAAGCCCAAAATTCTATAGATATGTCAGATTTTCATTGTCATTTTTCTAAAGCAATAAACTTCTTTATTTACCCCAGTCATAGTCATTGTTGGTGTCTTTCAGGCTCTTCAGACTGGAGGCTGTCTCTTCTTTCAAGGCAATTTGTCTAGGTGTCTCACGCGGGTGAACGTTCTCTTGAGTTGGCTTTCCAAATTTTGCTTTAAGCATATCATAGTAGCTCGGCGCTGCCGGTGAAGCTTCAACTGCAGTTTTGTATATTTCCGAAAGTCTTTTGCTCTGTCTCTCCTGATATACTTGGGATGGGCGCTCAATGTTAATAGATGTTCTCCCTGAGCCGGCAGATTTTGCAGATCGGATCGAATTGGTCAGAGAAGACGCTCGTTTCAGGCCCATGGACTCTTCTGGCTTTGGAATACTTGGTTGAGCACTGTGAGATCTTATATGAAGACCACTTTTTTTTGGTTGAAGAGAGTCGGATGAAGGTGGGTCTCCGAGAACACCAAAAACGGGCATACTGGACTCCTTATGTGGTTGAAACAGTTCAGAAGGAGTCTCGTCAGGGGTTACCGGTACAACCGCACCGATCACAGGGAGTGTGTTTTGGGATGGTGTCAAAGATGGTGTAAAGGTACTGGATGGAATAGAAGGTGGCATTTGGATTGTTGGTTGGGTTGTCATGGAGACTGTACCTGATCGTCCTCTACGTCCTACCAAGGTGTTGTATGTTTGGATGTGCTGGGTATTAATGTCTTTCTGTTCAGCTGTCATTGGGGCTTGTATGACAACATCTGGATTAGATTTAGCGGATAAACGCTGTGTTTTTGTAGTAGTGGGTGTAGTCATAGCCGTATCTATCGAGTCGTCTGAATCCTCATCATCACTCGAGTGGGTATCTGTGCGTAGAACAGCGGGTTTCTTTTTTGGGTACTTCTTCTCGGGTGGCCCGGGGTTATCGTGACGTCTGTAGTCTTGTACTGACGAATCTGGCTGATCGAGACGGGTAGCATCGGATATAGAATTTTGGTCATCGTCTTCGCCCTCTGACTCTGAGCTGCTTGTAGCTTCGTCGTCTGTTTGGACCTGTATGGTAAACCCAAAGTGATCGCAAAATTCGGAACTGTGTGGATTTTGAAGGGCGTCGTCTACAATATCAAGGTCAAACTGAGAGAGCTCGTATGGCTCAGGAACGCTGTCGTCACTTAGGGTTATACGCTCAGGTGTATACTCAATATCTGTGTCTGATACGTCAGATTGTTTTTCCAATGAGTTAGACATGAGGAGGGATGTCGAATGTTTGTGTTTCCAGTAGAAAGAAGAAGTTGTTTTTTTTATAGTCTATGCGAAAAAGGGAAGCACCTGACAATAAAACTGCTGTGACGTTCTTGTCTTGAGTACAAGGCTGAACAAATAGATTTGGTTGGTGTTGCAAGGCTTTTGTGGTATAAAAATAGAGTTTCTGTACACGGAATCTCCGGAGAAGCCACGGTATTTTTTTTTTCTTTTTTTTTCGTTTTTCTTTTTTATTTCGATTTGCGGTTTTGTAATTGAATCCTGCATTTGGAAACCCCCCAGGATTTACGCTGACAAAAAGTAGGTTTTATCCAATCATAGCTCATTTTACAATATATCAATATCACATTTGCCTTTATTACTCCTTTTATTAAACGCCTTTTAGTTTATATGTTTATATTTATATACGTATATGTATGTATGTGCTTAATAATTTTTGACAAAGTTTCGAAGACTTGATAAAAAAGGTAATAAAAATTGTTAAAATCAAGGTTTGGGCCAATCAAATTATGTCCATTACATCATAAAACGCGATATCTTTGAGTAAAAATAGGACAAAACAAAACCTTGGTATAAGAATACTTATCTAGTGAGCGCCTCGCAGCCAGTATATTTGATACTGTAAATGTAAATATTAAACTAACACAAATGATCTTGTAGGTGACAAATATAACATTCTTAAATATTCTCTAGAAATAATCTAGTTGAACGCTGTACAGTATATAGTTGTCTGTCTGTGCGGGAAATTTGATATTTTTAGGAAGATTTAGAGTACAACTTTTGTCTGTAGCTCAATACGTTATACAAATTCATACTAAAAAGACTGGGCTTCTTATTAATGTGCATGTACATTAAGTAATATTTTGTAAAAGAAAGAAAAGCCATTTAAGTAAAGGAATAGGTGACAGAAATAGAGATTAATCGCACTAGCTACTAAAAAAGAAAGAGAAACTATAGTCCAGTGGTGTCCCTTTTTGTGATCTTTTGACAAGCGGACAGGAACAATGAGAAATGAGAATATTCCGATCTTGATTCATTGTCAAATATATCAGTTCAGTCTATTGCTTACTATAGAGACTATCTGCGTAGATCAAAGCTGTAAGTCTGTCCTGCCATTTTCTTGGACAAACCTCCTTCTTCTCCTTCTTCTCCTTGAATAAAATCCAGAAGGGACTATTTGTACTTGTGTGCATCAGAACCTGTACTTGTAACCTAAACATCTTATTTACCTTCTTTTTAAAAACATGGCTTCAGTCGAAATAATTACAAATAAAGTAGAGAAACTCGCCGAAGTATGCTGTAACTGAGAGACACTTTTAAAGCTTTTGTAACAGTCATAATAATACTGAGGGCCTTGTGTTTGTCAAATGAAAGATCAGTTTGTAAATAATCATATTTTAGTTATTTATTTATTTTTGCATTTCGATATAGTTATCTTTAAGCTTATCAGTTACAATAGACTTTGGTTAGTTAAAGTGATTTTTTGTCTGTGACACCATTTGATTAAAGTAAGAACCAAACGATTTAATTCATATATTTCCGTGTTTGTTTGGCTTTATACATGTCATTTCTAATGATCCAATGATCCTATGTTGTCTTTAAAATGCCATGATTTATGTAAGCTAACTATCAAAAGCATCTCTTATTATCCGAGGAGAGGTAAGCTACCTTTATCTTATAATCTATCCCCTATTTTTCTTCCGCTATTTCGTGTGAGTATCAGTATTCCTTAAAAATAACAAACAATAAATTTACCAAATAAAAGCAATAATTATTATTTTCCACCAAGCTAAAGGACAATAAAGATGTGGACTACATAATATAGACAAAGCTAGTTTCAATTTAGTAATATCTTTCAAGCCAATACAGTACCATATATGTTTAATACCCATTTATCCCAAACAAACGTGTGGCTACACATATTGTATAAAACAACACTTATTGAAGATATCTGGCGATCTAGCAAAGAAAAGAAAAAAGCGTATTGATTTTAGGAATGGTATATACTTGAACGCTTGTGGTATGTACAAACACCTTTGAGCCACATAGTACTGTAATTGGTTTCACAAAAAAAGCTAGTACTCTTGCTTTTATTAATTCACGTCTATTATCTTGTTACTGTAATAGAGAAAAATCTACAAGATTTAAATTTGCCCATGAGCCCTATACTCTCACACCATTTCTGCTGATCCTTTCTTTTGACAATGTTAGCATATCTTGTATAAGAAAATCTGAAACTACAGGATCTTCTTCATTTTCTTTTTTAAAGATGTTCAAAATCCATCTTGTGGTTTTATCCACAAAGTGATATATCGTTAGGCATTGTTTTCACGCTTGATATCTGAGAAGATAATATCCCAAATATTTACCAAATGACTTATCAAAATGCATAAAAAGCAATCCTTTAAGGTTTCATAGCAACCAACACACTTTAACATGATCTCATAATGCTCTGATTAGTATACGACGGGGGTTTTATTGACTATAAATGCAATAATTTGATTTTTATTGACTGTGCCAGACTGAATTTGCCAATCATCTCATCTCATTAATAATATATAGACTATATTTAACTAATTTCTATACAGAGGGCTATATTTATAGACAAGAAGACTGTATTAAAATAAAGTGATCAATTATAAATGTCTCCACTTTACACATTTTAGCTCGTAAGTAACAAGGTTATGTAGAGTTTTTTTTTAAGAAAAAATAAAAAATATATTCAGTATTAAAGAATATACATTAAAGCGTTATTAAAAGGTATTAGTGTTTAAGGATACTATAGTTAAGCAACATTGAACTGAAATGGTAGAGAATGTTCTTGCTCATTTGCTTGGAGAGTCATATAAACGAGTAAATAAGAAATCATCTTTCTGTCGTGTACCATTTTCATTTAATATCTAGTTGACATTAAGACTTGATTCCCAGAACCAAGGTATAATTAAAGACATGTAAAGAAAAATAAAGTAAATTGACCAACTAAATATCAGCTTACATTGGGTATTATTCAGTATTATGCAAATGACCCATTTGGTTGTTTTAAATAACTAGAGAATTAATCTTGTCCTAGTTTAAAAATTAATAAAGTTCAAATTGTGTACGCTCTGCGCTCCGATCCCTATAGCATTAAGCCACTGTGACAGGCTTGACTTTGTCAGTTACTTGTTCAATGAGCTGATTGTTTGAATTAAACTTAATCAACACCATGAACCAGACAAAGCAACCAACACAGGGTAGCAATACTACACAGAATGAACCCAGGCAAAAATACGGAAAGCAAAAAACAAATAAAGGCAAAAGTCTTGATAGTATGTCCAAGATTAAAAAGCGCATTAGAGATGTCTCTCGCACATTGAAAAAAGTATGAATAGCGAATCAGAACATTGAATCTCGCCAAAACAAGTACATTTGATTAAAAGGCTAAGTTTACTCTACCTGTTTATTGTAGGGTGCTCGCACAGCTAAAATTAGAGTCGAATCTGAGAGACGCATTAGAGCTTTGGAATACGAATTAGGCGAGAAGACGATTGATGCACAAGAACAAAAGAACGCAACTGCTTATCACCAAGTTAAGCATATCGGTAAATATGATTTAGTTTTCCGTTTAATACAATTTAACTAAATTCAAATAGAGCGAAAAAAGGCAGAACGTAAATTGGCTCAAGCAACCTCTGCCCTGGAAGCAGCATCAGAGGAGGACAAGGAAGAGGCAGAGAAGCTTGTAGAGGAGCGTAAAATTGACTTGTTGTATACAAAGGTAAAACAAAGAATAGCAGTAATTTATAAACCGAAATGTTTTTGCCTTTTTTTTCTAATCTTGGTTATATAGCATTTCCCCAAGAGTTTACCTTATGTATCTATTATCAGCAAAAGTGACGAAAAAAAGCAAAACACAACACGGGAAGAAGTACGAGAGAAGATCCGAGAGAGTATTAAGAACGGCGAAGACTTTACAGACATGCAAAAGTTCTATCGTGACAAGTGTCGGGCATGGTTGGAGAAGTCCAAGAAGATTCCTGCTGCAAAGCCCGTGGATGTGGATGAAGAGGCACCCGTAGATGATAAGATGGACGAAGATGAAGATAGTGATGCTGAAAAGGATAGCAAGAAGGATGACTTCTTTGAATAAAAGTTATGATGGCCGCAATCACAATACAAGGTCTCACTGGTGAATGCATTAAAAATCTAGCCAACAGTGTTTTTGGGCGTGCTCACTATAGAACAAACAAACAATATAGAATCTTGGTGGAATCCTCAATAAAAAAGAGACACGCCATGACATTTTCTTTCTGCTCATTCTTTGTTCGATTCTTTTCTTTTAACGGTACACTAATATAAACTACTATGACTATCCAACAAGACTCTTCTAGTAAACAGATGATCAGATCTGTCCAAGGCCACTTGGGAAATCCAGCCAAGCATTTCCTCCAAGTTCCTTCGCACTCTGCCTTTCATGCTTTGCCCAGCTCAGAAATCACCGCTCCAATGTACGGTATTCAACAGCCAGTTAATCTTCTTGATCTGGAATACAACGACGAGGCATACGAGTCTTTTGATGAAGTTGCATCCGTTGCTGGCTGTAATAATACCAGAAACTTATCAATCAAGGTAAACGATCCTCACAATCGGAGGATTGATTTTTTTTGGCTATCAAAGTTTGAAATCTTACTCTTCATTTACACTAGACCCAAAACTTCAATGATGGGTCTGGTGTTAGCCACGGAGCCTATGATTCAGGCTCATCGACACCTGGATCCACTAACCCTGCTTTTCAGTCTTACCGACAGTCTTATCAAGAACAAACTTTCCGAACACATAACTATCAGACCCCATCTCAAATATCGTCGCGTACCGGAGACACTGTGACCACCCCGCCCTATTCTTCCACTAACGCACACCATGGAACGAATCTTCAATCAACCTACACAACCGATAATAATGTATCTCGTCCTATGGAACCTCTCCCTTTACATTCCATGGCCCACTGGCAATCTTGCTACAACACAACAACCAATCAATACCAACCTAATGGTTCATCCACTCTTCAGTCGGCTTTCCAAAGTGTATCATCTATTCCAGCAACCCAACCTCAGATTCTATACGACACCCCATCTCTTTATGATACCGCCCAGAATACACGTTACACTGGTGACAAAGACACAAATGCTTATTACACATCTATACCTTCTAGCAACGACTCATTAGAAGTCCCTTCTTCCGATGATATTGCTACCACTGCAAGGCTATACAATCTCAGCCAATACTCTCAAGTACGCTCTATTAGCGACGATTCCCAGAGTATAATTGAAAGTAATGCTACATGTCTTTCGCAAACAAATGATCCTTCTACTCAGAGTGTTCGCAGTGATATGGTCAAAACCAAGGGAAAATCGAAATCTTCATCAAAGCATTCCAATACTTCTATGGCCATGTTCACACCTTCAACTACTTCCTATATTAACACAGCTGCCCATCCTTATGCCCAAATGCTTATGAATCTATCTGGACCAGGGTCGTACTCTAATGTTTATCCTGGAAATACTTATCCAACAAATACGTCTTCTTACTTTTCATCCCCGTACCCACTGTCGATTTCGTCTTATACCAATGGGGCGTCTTTTCCTTCTTCGACATCTTATTCTACTAACAATTCCTTCAGCAACACTGCAGTATCTACAGCCAACTCTTCTTATAACCAATCATCAACCAACGGTATGTCACACTCTATCTCCGCACCTAGTAGCTGCTCCAGCTCCACCTCCGAGTCGCGCCGTGTACGCTCTAAGGCTTATGAGGCCGAAAGCTCGACCTACGCTCGCAGAGCTTGTGTAGCTTGTAAGCAGTCTCATGTCGCTTGTGATATTAAGCGACCTTGTCATCGATGCGATCGACTCGGAAAAGGAGACACGTGTGTGGACGCCGAAAGAAAAAAACGTGGACGACCTTGTGGATCTGGAAAGAAAAGAGTGCTTTGAATAGATGAATAGAGAAAGTCATTCTTATGATCACTTATGAATTTAGACAAGGATTTTTGAGCCATACTTGATTGACTGTTCTACAATGAATAAGTAAAAAAAAGGAAGTATGCTATGCATGTTATATTTTGCTGAGTTGTTTCAAAACGAATAAATAAATAATATATCTGAATTAAACATTCTGCTGGTATAAACTAATGCATACACACACAGACACAAATGCAACAGTAAACCGTGATAATGACATATTGACTTCTTTTACCTTGTCAGAAGAAGCTTTGATTGGATCATACCTCTTCACCGTCATAGTTATAAGCTAAAAGTCATAGTAGAGGACCATTAAAAGCTGAGATTGTATATAAGCACCCAATAAATCATCACATACTTCTTTTCTTTACTATGTTATTGGTTTGTGGCATACAGATATCCTGCAGCCGTAGATACCGCCTACCGATTTAAGCAAGACGACTTTTTAGAACTGGCGTATCAATTTGTTCTTATATTTACCAGTTCATTCGAGAAAAAGAGGTTTCTTACCTTTCTTAACAGTTTCTATCACAAACTTTATTCATGATCAAATTCCACAAGCCAAGCAACCCTTTCAAAGGGATTGATCCACGTACAGGAGCCGTAGGAGCAGAACTCCTTCTTTTGGTAAGCAGTCTATACTTTTATATACAATTTAATACAGGTTAAACGGTTTGTTTTATTATGTGTATTAATAATCGTTGTATACTAATACCTACAAACCCAAATATTCCAGGTTGTGAGCCTTTTGATGCTTATTCTTGGAATTATATTTACACCATGTGAGCTTAGAAAATGATGTCTTGTATTTGGCTATAACTCAAACTTTTTCACATAGCATGGGCCTATCTAATGAAAATTGGCGACTTGTACACTTACATGGGCCTCTTAATCTTGACATGTTTGTGGTCCGTTGTAGCAATTATATTTTCAATTAAGGTAAACACTAATACATTTGATAAGCTATTGTTGTATTATCTATTTAGAGAGATTTTTTCATAGTTTAGACAACATTCTAATACATGGGTATTTTTGTTTTGTTTTGTTTTAAGCGCTCAGGCAAGGGTGTTCGTATTGCCACTATTGTATTGGCTGTACTTACAGGTTGTCAACTTGTGGTTGGCTTTATTCATGCAATGCTGCTTTATATGTACTATCGTCCTTCCATGATGAGCAGCTGTTTGCAGCGTCAGCCAGCACGTCTGTTTATGTGGTCTCTTGGATATGATAATGTACCAGAGATGGTGAAACTTCACCAAGAGTGCGATTCTCAGTGGACTAGATTCGCAGCCTGGAGAATGATTACTTGGGGAATTATGACTCTCTTCACAGTAAGTTCTCAATAAAATTATTAGTACTATGCGCTTGTGTATATGTTCTTGTTCTAATAAAGTGTATTAAAAGGTTCTCACTTTGCTCGCTGTGCAAGGCTATTCTCGTCATTTGAGACCCCATTTGGCACTCCGCTCTAGTGAGGATGCCTCTATGGATCCATCCTACGAAAAGCAAAATCCCGAAATTGTTCGGGCAGACTCTATGCGCAAAGACCGATATACTGATGATGTCAATCAAGGACTTTTGGAGAGCAATCATAGTGAAGAAGAGATGACCAATGTGCCTCCTGCTTATCCTCAAGACTCTAACAGTCTTGCTATCGCCAGAGACATGTACAAACAGCGCCAGAAACTATATGCTGAGATTGCTAAGCGTCGTCATGCAAGAGAAGGATCCACCCGTCGATCAAGAGCTATGAACTCCCGACGCCAGATGTCTAATGGATCAGTCCACCCACTTGACCTCACAAGCCCTTCTGAAAACGGAAGTCTTAACTCTGCTGTTATGAAGGACATTGAACAAGGCGAGATTAAAGGTGGTGTTGAAGATCCATCTTATTCTTCTGAAAACAATCAATATGAAGACCCCGCTCATCAGTCTTATGCTGTTATTGGATCCCAAACTGGAGACCATCGTGATTCATTTTCAGCTGAGAAAATAGAATATGACAACTACCGTGCAAACAATGCTTATAATTCGGTGGACCTTACGGACAGCCCGGCAGGACAGCCTGTACAGCCTGAAAGTATACATTAGCTTTACTACTTTGTACCCATACTTTGTATTTATCTACCTCTCCCCAGGCACCTGACTCTCGTTATGTTAAGAGTTACAGGTTGTCTTTGGGCAACTTAATAATAAAATACTGTCTTATACAAAAATTAAATCCTATATATTCAATTAGTAACCCTACATTTAGACTTGACAGCAAAGAAATAATAATAATTAGTCATAAATACACTATATCAATAGCCAGCTATGCAGAACAGTATGAGTTCTTGTCATTAGAGTGTAACGCAATCTTGTTGAATATTTCACTATTTATTGGCCTTACGCATATCGTGTCTTTCTCTTTCTTTCACCAACTTATATTTCTAGAGTCTGACAGTACGAGGTGGTAAGTAATCCCCATCCACTCTTTTTGCAAAGCAGAATAAAAAATATTTATCAATATTTTGTATCTTTAAGAACCAGATAGAGTTATTCCATGCTGGCAAAAAGGTCACAATTTGTGGTCTGGTAGAACCAAAATGTTACCCCCCACCAGGAAATGTCGTCTCACTAAAATTAGCGTCCAGGCTTCCCCTAAAGCTCTCCTATAATTCAAACCCGGACAAAGCAGCCAATGTACTTGGAATGACGTTCTCTTCTGGTATGGAAGATGTTTCACTTGATTCTTCTACTTACCCTCAGTCTCAAGGTATTGGCCATAATAAAAGTCAGAACGAAACCAACCAAGATCAGCCACAATTAAATACAAGCAATACAATGCTAGAAGAAGAAGAGGGCAACAACGACAGAGATCGTTTGGACTAAAGACTAATTAATAGAAACACACAATATATACAAATATTTAAATTGGAAATATGTTATTTTATTTTATTTCTTTATCTTTAAATAAATATAAAAGCCTATTACCTTATCTTTTGTCTTTTCAATCTACCCTACAGAAAAAATGTGACGAAATCAAACTTGGCTAACAAGGGTATAATTTAATGCCTTTCCTTCATGTCTACAAAAGATTTATAAAGACAGCTTTTTTTTGTAAAGTATTCCTTGCTAATGCCTTGTAGAAAAAAACGATTGGAACATGTCTAAGCTTTCTTAAATTTAACCTTTATTTTACAATAAATATCTAGATTCTTACTCTTTTCTTTATTAAATATTCGCTTTATTCATAAAAATATCTTTAAATAAGTATATTTTGAAGAACCTTTACTTTGCTTCCTTTTCTCTTAGAATTGTCTTCTTTTGAATGATACCAATATTAACTAATTCTTGGATGGTAATTTTGGTATACCTCTTCAGACTGAATCAGTATAGTGCTTGAGGCTATTAAAAAAATTTCGCTTTATGTTTCAAGAAATATTGGATCACCTTGTAAAGCCTGTATAATATTTTTTATGTGGACAGAGCCAAACAAATAGCATATTCTTATAATTCTAAGTATTATTGATTTTGTAACATACAAGCTTTAGAAAATAAATATAACAACAAGACTTGTGCGAAAAACTTTATCCACAACCGTTGCCTATAACACTAACTTGAAAAAAAATAGGAGGGTTCAGAATAAGAAAATATTATGATAGTGACAGGTATATAGATATATAATGTTCTCCGAATAATCTCATTGTATTTCATTTTGACTGTATTCGTTCTTTTAAGCTTGACCAGTGGTATCATATTGTCTTCGTTTCTTGGCTATATGGTCCAATGTTTATTGTTATAATTAGTATTGTGTCTTATTATTTGTCTATGTAAATATATATCCACTTACGATCTCTCAAAACACTATATGCAGCCGAAATTTTTTGAAACTTATCATTTGCCTTTTTCTTCTCTTCTGGATTGGAGAAGCGGTCGGGGTGGTTTTTCATTGCCAATCTACCAATATTTTCAGCACAATTTATCTAAGCTTAACACTTTTTTTGCTTCATTTTCATAAGACAATCTTACCCACGAAAGGCTCCTTGAATATCTGCAGTCGTGGCGCTGGGACTAAGGCCAAGAGCCTCATAATATCCTTTGGGATCCTTACTAGCACCTCTTGACCATGAACCAGTACTTTCATGAGAGCTCTCCGACTTCCATGCCCTATAACGTCGCTGCTGTTCAAATGCATCATATGAGCCTATCCAATCATCATCCCACTGCTTAGGATCATTCTCTTGGCCCCGAATCTCCCGAAGTCTGATAGTATCACGAAAACGTAATGATAATATAGGAAAGTAGAGTGTCAAGAGAGAAGTGGCCAAGGTCGGAAGTACAACACCCAACTATAATCAATTCAATATTATCATATTAGCTCTCTCGTTTTCCGTCTCTTTTCTCTCTCGCTCTCGCTCTCGCTTTCAAGTCTTTCAAATTTACCCAGAATGAGCCATTAACTCCACCCCAGCCAATACCGCCTGTCATGGCCATAATGGATCCAAATCCAATTGAGGTCACCAAGGCCACACGCTCCCAGTTATACACTCGTAATCCTCCAACGCTCAAATCACAACCGTTAATAAACGTTCTAAGATCACGTCCAAGATAACGAATGGTGTAAATATAAGCTGGATAATAGACAGGGGAGACCTTGATATTACTTAGAGTAACCCTGACATCTAATAGACGCGTCTGGTCACCACCATAAGTTTCTCTGAGAAACTGATCTGCGTATTCTTCTTCTTTAGTTTGAATGTATTCTTTTGCAAAACGCAAAGCTGTGGCAGGATAAAGTTTGTAGGCCTGAACACTTCGAACAGTAGGTGCATTTGGATCATCCCCGTCTCGGAACCTGGGTCGATCCAGAAGGTCAGGTGAAAATTTAACAGCTTGACTCAAGGCCTGTCCATTACGAATTGGGTTTACAAATCCGCGTCGATACTTGTGGGAAGCATAAACCTGCAGTCCCGGATGAGCTTGTGGAACATAACTGCGTTGAAATCCATGGCGGTTGGGAACCCATGCCCAGTCAACTTCCCAGCGAGATTCATGGGTTTTTGTTTGAGGGTTGTAATAAGACCTTAAAACACTCCGGCCCTAAAAATTGGGCATACAGACACAGAATATATATATCCAATCCAATACAATACAATACAATAAAGTTCATTTCACTTCTTTCTTTTTTGGTAATTGATAAACTATAAACATAAGCCAACAACGTACAACTTGGGCTTGAACGATCTCAGACCGAACATCAGCAGACACGACCCAAAATGGCAAGAACACTTCTTTAGGTGGGCCTGCTCGAGACACGCGTAATGAAAAGAAACTGTGTCCATGGTAATCTTCAAATGTCTGTTGTGATTTACATTAGACTATGAGAACTTGTTTTGAAAAGAAGCCGGTCACCTTTTCAGCTGCTTTGATATGTTGTGTGAATGGAATTGCTTTAAGTTTATCAGCAGCTGGACCTTGTTTAGAAGAGTATCTTGCGAATTGGATCAAATAAATGTGCTTTTGCCTTGGCTTTATCAAAAACATCATGCTCAATAAACAGAAACAAATTTAAACAAAAATAAAATAAAATATAAAATAATAGATCCACACTATAATAAAGCAAACTAAAATATTCAATATTTCCTTCTAAGGTATTGTTCTCCAAAACATTGTGACTATAAGCAATTACTCAAAGTATTTGAACTAATGACAGTCGAAATAATACCAGACACATACACACACACACACACACAAGTTTAAGCATACTGCTGAATTCTTACACAGACAAATATATATATTAATGCATTTGGTAATGATGAAGAACAATTCTTTTTATTATTATTATTGATGAGTCTCAACCAACGTTTAGATGAAGCCGATCTAAAATTATTAAAATAGGTAAGTTTGCTGTCCAATTGTACCACTAATAATAATTCATTGTATTTTACCTTGTTGGCGACATCAAGAGCATCGACATCAGCAGTCAAACGGACGAAAGCCTTCTTGTAACCATCGGGTCTAAAATAATAGTGAAATTTATTAATCACTCGAAAATTCTCACAGAAAACCAAAACCAAAAAATACTATATAGTGTATTAAATATCTTACCTGATAAGGGTGTTGATCTTAGCAGCCTCGACGTCATAGAGTCTCTTGACAGCATCCTTGATCTGAGCCTTGTTGGCCTTGACATCGACGATGAAGGTCAAGGTGTTATGCTCCTCAATCTTCTTCATGGCAGTCTCAGTGTTCAAGGGCTGACGGACAACGCGGTACTGATCCATGCGAGGGGCATGGGGGATCGACTTGCGAGCGAACTTGGGCTTACGGGCCAACTTCAAGGTCTTGGGGATGTGGAAGTGGGTGGAGGTGCGGACCTTGCGAGAGGTCTGTCCACTGACACCCTTGAGGGCGGACTTCTTGGCAGCGAGAGCCTTGGCCTTAGGAGCTATAACACACAAATATTACACATATATGTATTAAGCGCCTTGAACTCGAAAATTTTATTTGGGAAGCCATCCATCTGTTGGTTTATCGAATCCATCCGTTTGCAATATATGTTGTTGGTATGTAATGTTGCTCGTAGATGGTAATGGATGCGGTATCTATCCTAGTGTGTTGATGTTCTTGGATTCGATGGATTACCTTGAATTGCCATTGTAATCAACCACGTAGAAAGGAGGAAGGCAACCATACGCCGCCCCGCCCAAGACCATCACACAGTGCGGTGCGGGATGTATCACGTGATATGTGACGTCGATTTTGAATTAATCCCTTTTTTATTTTTTATTTTTTTTATTTTTTTATTTTTTTTAAATTGCAATGAATTGGTGGGGCACAATTTTAGAGCTTAAATTGGTAAAAACAAAATAACAATAAAAATAATAATACAGAATTTGTTCAGTATACTTTAATTTGATAAATATTTAATGCATCAATATAGACTTGTATGACAAGAAACATAATTTATTGTAATATTCTTCCTTATTTGATATTGTTATTGTTGACATTTTGAAACAAGGGATGTTAGTGGCGTCAACACAACTGCAGGAGAAAAGGGGATAAGAGTGATAGATAGTTAGATATAGAGAGGTATGTATGACTACATTATATATAAACAAATCAGTATTAATATCATTATCAGTAATCTGTGTGTACTAGGAATTATGCCAAGATCTTTATACGCTATATACTACTTGGCATTCAAAATGGTACTGCTGAGCCATAGTTTTCTTTTACGGATAAAAGGGTAGCCATTTAAACATAAAGTGCTTTATCTATCAATATATTAGATATTAAATTTTAGCGTCATAAAAAGTAGTTTGATCCATATTAAGTTGGGTCACAGCTCTTATTTTGGTCGTGCCTGTTGTGGAGTGCTGTTATGAACGGCTAAGCCCAAGCTTAACGTCGGTACAACTTTACGCTCATCATTTATGGTACCTTTAAATAAAGCTAGTGAAGTGAAATAAATAAATAAATATAAAAGGACAATGGATCTCAGTTCTATTTATAACCAACGTCGTACACTATTGCCAAGCAAGACAAACTAGATAAAACCGGGTCCTTTTTTTTCATTAGTTTCTTCTCTTCCTTCTCTTTGAATTTAATATAATATCTACTATGTACGCACAAAATTCCCACTCTGATCCATATGCTGGACAGTACCCAGCCCCACCCCCACCCATAGATGAACATGTACAGCCCTCTTTCTCAGTTCCTATGCCTACTCCACAGCATAACCCACCTCCAGTCAGTCTTACAGATCGATATGTTCCCCAGCAAGAAGCATTCTATTCTGTTCCAATCTCACAGCCAACCCCTCCACCAATCGAACCAAAAGTAAATAATTATCATGACCCTTATGCCATACCACTTCAAACCTACGAAGCCGATCAAAGACAAGCATATTTCCAACAACAACAACAACAGCAACAACAGCAACAACAACAACAACAACATATCCCACCTGCACATTTTTACCAAACCACACCAGTACATCAATCGGATCAATATTATACACAGTACCAAGAAGAAGAAGATCATGAGGTCTCTCAATCACCCGAATCACCCATGGTACAGCACCAGAAGACCAAGACAAAACCGTACAAGGAAACACAACTAGAATTAGGTCCAAAGCGAGCACCAAAAGATGAAGCCGAATCATACCGCCCTAGACCTTACTCAGATGACCGTCGCAGTAGTAGCTGTAACTGCTGCTGCTACAACCCTGCCCTTACATGCTGCTCATGTTTCTGCATGCTTATAGCAATAGCCTTTTGCGCAGGTGGAATTGCCATGGTTGTATCTGCTAAGGTTATCAGTGATCAGTGCAGCACAAAGTGCACAGACCTTGCCGAAAGCATTCCAGGCAACTCTGATCCGTGCCCAACTCTTTGCGGAAAAGTTGCCCATGATGCACTGTTCTATGGTGGTATTGTTGTAGCCGGCCTTGCTGGCCTTTCTATAATCTGGAGAGCAGTTATGTGGACCTGTGCTGGTTATTCAAAGCGATAACTTTAGGATTTATAGGAGTAATAGTAATAGTGATATTAATAGTAGTAGTAGTAGTAATACGCGATATTTTTATTTAATTATATAATATGTATATATTTGTGAATGAGTGAATGTCGTTTTTTTGATTGGTGAATGTTGTTGTGAAAGTGTGAGTGTGGAGTGTATTAGAATGGAATGAGATAAAATACAACCTCGATAAAGAGGATGGAAAATAACAAGGTTGAATGCAAAATGAATCGCCGACAGAGCCATGTTACCACATTTGGCGAATGTCTGATCGGTCGGGCCGGACACCATTAAATGTTTGACTCATGTCCGGCTGATTCAATGGTTGATTCATTGGTTGACTCAGAGCCGGGCCGGACAAGTTAGCGTCAGCCCGAGCCTGTTGTTGATTTCGGTGACTAAAGTAGTCGTTCCATTCATCAAAGTCAAATGAAGTTGGCATACCCCAGAATGCGGTCCCAACTTGATCAAATGGTCGGCTAGACTGGCCGTTATTATCTAAAGGAGTATGTTGTTGTTGTTGTTGTTGTTGTTGTTGTTGTTGTTGTTGCTGTTGTTGTTGCTGTTGCTGTTGCTGTTGTCCACCTGAAAATGACATTGGTGGTAGTTGAGGATAATCAAACTGAGACTGAGACTGAGACTGAGACTGAGGTTGTGTAAGGGGAGGATAAGATGGCATACCACTCTCTTCAGAAGACACACTTTGTACAGAGGTTATATTGGAGTTGTAATTTACAGCTAGGTAACCGGGTTGTTTAAGAGTCATGCGTCGGTCTACATCAATTGGGTGTCGAAGTTCTTCAATTATGTCTGGTATGGCATCAGGAATAGTATCAGGGGAATTAGGGACGGCAATAGACATGGGTGCCTGTACTTTGATTCTCTCTGATTGTCTAATGTAACTATCGTCAACTGCCTCAAGGTTAATATCCCTTAGACCAGCTAGTTCACCCAAAATATTGCAGTGACGAGCGGAAGTGATCCATGTAGCTTCAATTTCATCCATGGCACGGATGATCTTGTTAATACTGATTTTGGCCTCAAACGCAAACATACTGTCGTCTGAAGCAGCATCGTTAATAAAAATAATTCCAGCCGTGAACATAAAGTATAATGAATAGTTGTTAACATTCTTTAGGCGGCCCTCAGCCATCAGGGACTCTACAATGTCAAGAATCTTATTTGCCGCAAAACTGCAAATCGATGCCGAAGGAAATACAGATGGAGATGTCGATTGAGTGGGACCTGGAATGAATGGGCGGTGAAGAAGAATTAGGGTGGTGTAGAATAGCATATGAACCTGGCATAATTCAAGTGAGGGAGCAGGTGCCTTTTCGTTGAGGCGACTGTTTGGTGGGCGATATTGACAGTTTTGTGGAAGTTTGGCCATCCATTTATTCAAACCGCGATCGAGTGATGAAATAACGCTGTCAGGGGATGCCATGACAGACAATTGTTTTCGTCCTTTAACTGTGTATAAATCTCTCAGTACGGCCCCGAGTAGTTCGCAGAGTTTAATGAGTTGGGTAAAATTTTCGATAATTCTCGGCGAATGTCCAACGTCGTCTTCGTCGTCTTCGGTTGGATAAGGTGTATCATAATCTCGTTCGTCGATCATTGGTGCGCGTCCGTGCATGCCACAAGTCAGTCGATCGAGAACGAAACAGCAGTAGAATAATCGTTTGCGTTCTTCTTTTTCAGTTGCTGATAGGTCCCAATCATTACAATTCCTGTTCAAACCGAGATTCTGCCCCATTCTTAATGCCTGATGGTAGCAAGAACAATTATTTTAGACTTTTAATAATAAATTTAAATCTCTTCAATTAGATTACTTACTAGTCCACTATAGAGCCAGCCGCGGATATTCTTGAGAGCGCCATTTTGATGGCTACTGAGCAACAAAAGAGATTGTACAGTTGACACTTTGAAATCGTCCCATTCAAGATCTAAAAGAATTCTTGCTCGTTCGAAGAATAAATCTCCAGCAGTGTCGGGCAAGTTCGGGTCAGCTCTGACTCGTATATCCGGTGAGATGCGTGAGGCTACAGCGTAGATGGAATTTAACAAGAGAGGGGCTGGTTTTCGGTCCTTGCTCTTGAAAGCCTCCAAAAATGATTTTTTGTGTAAAAGTGGGACAAGGGGATAGAAATGGGCAAAGTACAGATCTAGTAGATGCTGAGACAGGTCGTCTGGGGGCATTTCAAATGGGTCGACTGCCATTGGGTAGCCAGATGGCTTTCTATTCTCTGCTCTTGCACGGTATCCGCGAGAATTGAAGTGAAAGGCTCCATTCTGGAAGTTCTTGCTACTTCTGAGCATGTAATAGCCAGAAGATTTTCCATAGTATCGGAGTTGTCCACTTTCGTCAATTGAAAGATTTCCAAGATTATCGTTTGCTGTCTCTGCACCACCAAAGTTTGAAGGGGTGGCTGTAGATGAAGATGAAGAGGGCGGGTCAGTAGATTGGTGGCGGTGGTTGTTGCTGTGGGTGTGGTGGTCTGGATAGGGCTCTACTTGGCCTTCTTCATATCCAAGAGTCATGGTTCGTCTCATTGGCCGAGGTCGAACGAGTTCTCCATAGGCTGTTTCCAATGGTGCATTTAGTTCGGCCAAAATTGCTTGTGATCTCGGATCGTCTTCTTGTATGATGCTGCCCAGCAGTGCTTCAAGTCTGTGCAACCGGCCTTCGATTGCTTCTATGTAGCCCTTTGGCGGACCTCTCTGAATGGTAGCCAATAGTAAAATAGAGCAAAGTGGAGATGTTTATTGATGGAAAAATCGATCAGTGACAAGTAATTGGATATGCCCCTCTTAAAAATCAAAGACAGTCCAGCTCGCTGTACGAAAGCTGGATAAACAATCAAGCCAAAGGTATCTGGTGAAGATTTACCTTTTTTGTGGACTCCTTGTAAGTGCAACCGAGACTAAGAGAAACACAATTTCCACAGACGGGTATTGTTCCGTCACATTTGACTTTTTTTCGTCTACATTGTTCACTATATGTATATGTATATTGTATAAGTATAAGTGAATAACATACAAAGATATAAATAAAATAATTGAAAAATTTCAAGTCAAGATCATTAAGGATGTAATGAGATAACTGACATGTGTTGATTAAGAGTGATGACAAACTTACCAGGCCTTGCTAACGCGCTGTCGTTTATTTGATGCCTCCTCTGACATTTTTTTATAATATTATTAATATTATCGGCTCTCTTTTATTAAGTATATGTGTGTACGAATATGTATATGTATGTTTCTATCGACAAGACTCAAACGGATAAAGAAACAGGAGCCTGGAATTCTCTATGGACAACTTGTTTGGCCTGTCCCTGTCTTACACTGGTACGTAACAATTTCCTATAATGGAACATCCCTCTAAGCGGTGATAAACAGCAAAGAAGTAGTACCTCCGTCATAAAAAAAACTGAGCGACGTAATAAATAAATAAATGTATATAAAAAAAACATATCTCCTACACACAGTCTGGATATTTTCACACACAAAAATATCATTATGTTTTGATCATTTAAACAGCCATTTTTGACGCCAATTGATAGTACTTGAAGACGTACAACAGCTTACTTTCATTATTAGCCTAATCGTTTGACTTCATCTTGATTGGTGTGTGTTATAAATAGTGAATTTTTAGGATACCTGAAACAAGATATGAACCCAGATATGAATCATCTTTAAGGAAATCTAATCAGAAATATCACAGTTTATTATCATTTCTTTTTTTTTAAAAAAAAATAATAGTAATAATAATTAAAGCATAAATAAATCATTCCATAATGTACGGTATAATTATGACACAAACATCTTTAGATAATACAAGCATTTATCAAAACAACATGATAGACGCTGTTTATTTCATTCATATTCAACAAAATGCGTGTGCCCAGTAGACTAAGAAAATCATAATAAATTGACAGTAAATAATGTGTATCTAACAAGCAACCATTGACTACATATCAACTTACAGAGGCATGCATTTGGGCATCTGTTAACAGAGCATTAGTATATGTATATATGTATATTGTGTACTAGACTCAAGTTGAGAGCAGCGTACCTTTTTCTCCCACCAAACCTTTTTTACACTGTTGACACTTCAAAGTAAAGTTGGTAACATCGGTATATTGATGGCTCTATATAAACCAATCGTCAAATATATGAGATAATAAAGCAAAAGAAAAGAAAACTCAACTATATACACACACAACCAAGTATACCTGACGTAAAACTGTAGCAATACTTTGGGCTGCCTTGAAAACAGATTCATCGTTTATTGGGAATCTAGTTTGATCAAATTCCATAGGGCCGTCTTCTATTGGTGACATAGCAAGCGCATCATAATCTAATAATAATTTTTGATATTAACTTTTGTTAATCTTCATCATTCACCATCTCAAGGATACTTGCGGATTCCACTGTATAGAATGAATACTCGCTCTGGATAAAGTCCTTCGCCTAAACAAGGTGTGTATTGATCAGAAATAATACCCTTTTTCTTTGTTTAATCTTACTCTAAACAATTTACCAAATCTATCCACACGACCTGTCTGTACATCGATGCTATCAATTTCTAAGCATATGAAATTACACATATAGATATGTATAGATATGGACCAAAAGAAATTTGTTAGCCTGTCCACAAAATGAATAGAATAAAAAGGATATTCAAGATACGAACCGATAGAAAAATACTTGGAAAATATAGATAATTCTGAGGCAAGAACAATTAAAGTTAATACAGCAGGATATTGCATATATAATCAATTGAACTTACCAATAGCTCCACCCCAAGATGCATCCTTTTGAATCCACTCAATGTATTGCTCTGCAAGCCAAGATTTTTTTATTGTTATTAACTTTCTCTTGAAAATAACCTGTCAGTAGAATAGAATAGAATAAAATACAATAGTAAAAGAATCAACTAACCTCTTGGCTTCCTATTATTTTTATATTAGCATCCAATGCACATATCTTAGAGTTATTTGTACCTATAGGCTATTACTTACCCTAATGTCACATCATCATAAGTGATAGGATCTTCTGCAATGGCATTTGCAATTACTGCAAATAATAAAGAGGCATTCTCTTAATATATACATAACGTATAATAATCATTTACTGGCAATTACTCCTACCTTTGCGTAAAATCGATGCTTTTGAGACATCTCTCTCGAGTACATATCTATAATACATCTGTTAAACCCTGAATATATTTCTATGTGCACTTTGTTCTGATCTATGAATATACCCTATATATATATATATATTGGTAGAAATTAAAAAAAAAAAGGTCAATCAAGTGTTGATTCATTCGTATCTTGGCTTATAATCTAAATATTGTATTTTACCTATGGACCTGAACAGGCACGAGTTATCATCATCCATAACCTTTTTTATTTATTTTTATTGTCACAGTCGATTTAGCATGAAGTACATTTTATTTTTCATTTTATAAAAGATCCAAATTACTTACTCTTAACATCACAATTCCATTTTCAGTCGCTACTCCTTTTATATCTTTTGTGCTGCTAGGTGGGGGCTCCACCACACTGACTATGAGGGCATCGCCGTCTCTTATTCCAGCTATCTTCAAATTAGGAAGATCATTTAATGGTTTTGGAGGATATCCACCCGCCACTAAGTATGATACCAAAATAAATAAATAAATAAATAAATAAATAATATAGCTTATGAATTTATGAATTTTCTATTATATCTTTATCTACCTTGAATAGAACGATAAGAATTGACACCGATAGCAGTTGCAATAGCCTTTTGAAGATCTACCATGGTACTGTTCGGTGTGATTCCATCAATAATTGAGATGCCCGTAGCATGACGAATGCGTAATCTCATTTTAACGTTGTAGTTTTACTCTTCGCTCTTTATTTAAATTGTGAGATGAACGCGATGAATAGAACCAAACCAAAGAACTGAATTGAACTAAAATGTAAGAAAAGGGGGGGTTCGCTTGCAGGACCTTGTTTTATGGTTCACCGGGAAGCTACCTAGGACAATCTTGCCAAAATTGGAAGGTGTATGTGACTTGTAATTGGCTAGAAATCGGTCTTGTCTCTTTCAGGGATAATTGCTTGATCAATTCCGCTTTCTTGGTACTGTATTATGATATCCACAACAAGAGAAGGCTAGCTTTGAAGACCATTTTTGGTTTGTTCTTGATATAATATTGACTTTTTTTGCAATAATATATATATGTGTATGTACATATATGCATATAATCTTGAGCTCTCATGAAATAAATTTGGCATTGATCATCCGCACATAGGCAGCTGACATATGTAATTCAAGTAAATACGTTACCAACGTATAATTGAGTTAACTAAATTGAATATATAGTCAAGATATGGAAATATTGTTTTAGCACATCAAATTTGTCTCTATTATTAAAGCCATTCACTCTCAAAAAGATGATTTATTTAGATGGTTTTGCCAAGTACCTTTGCATGAAGCACGTATTACTACAGAAAGAGTGCTGTATATTGTTTAAATTAATTAAACAGTATTATTCAATTATTTATTAGCTCTAATATTTACACACCATAGCTTGCTGACCCAAATAACAATACATATTATATAATAATTTTGAGTGCTAAATACATTTTCAATAATGTTCTCTTGCTCTATACATACATAGTACATACACTAGATGATTATTATATATATGTATACAAGAATTAAAATTATTTTACTACCATAGATTCGATACTCTAATTTTAAACATTAAAATATCATAATTCTTAACTGATATGAGCCTAATTTACATTTATATATATTTAGTTTCACGGTATACTTCTATTATACGAGCTAATGCTGAGACGTGCTGCATTCGTTTATGAGGCAAAGTGGTTCAAACCGTTCAAAAAATAGAATATCCGTCAATATCTTCCAGAACCGCACTAATCAAAATATCAGACATTGGTAGTTTGGGCTTGTGATAAAGATAAAAAGAAAAGTAGAAGTGATATGTAAGGATGGTCTTTATTGCTTTTACCTTTCGATGCTTATATAAATATTTTGCTAATTAATAAAATAAGAGAATTACTGAGGTATTAGTAAGACGTTGGGGTAAAATATACTTCTTTTAATTATTAACAGTGTTAAAGAAAGAAAAGAAAAGTAGTCGACCACATTTGGGTTTATTGTTACAGATTCGTATGATTTTTGATTGATTACTGGATCGCCTGTAACAATTGCGTTCTTCCCAAAGATATGGTCTACTTAATTTGCTTATATTATCATTACAAACCAAATTTGGAAAAACAGGATACACTTTTACTAGCTGAAATGTGGAAAGCACGTGAAAATTTTTAGTGTCGAACGAAAGCATTAAAGCACTTTAATTATATTCATAAAAATATCTACAGATATTTTTCTAGAGTGTTCAAATACTCTAGATATATTAGCCTAAAAAAGAAGGCATTCATCAGAAAAGTACTCTATAGGACTTAGTATAGATGAAATTATTTTATGAGAATAATAAGTCTTTAGAGTCAATTATATCATATTTTATATAAAAAAACTTATATTTATATACAATTTTATGGAAAATAAATATAAAATTAAAAAAGTATTTAAATATACATAAATTGTATATTAAGTAGAAGAGGAGGAAGAAGGAGGAAGAGTAGTAGTAGTAATAGTAGATTCTCTGATGCTCCGATGGTATGAAGACTGGATTTGATCACCTTCGCTCCTGTCCATACCAATTACATTAGAAGAATTTGTTATAGAGATAGTATCAGAAAATCGCACTGATCGTGCCCTTGGCTGTTGAATAGGAGCCACTGGTTCCTTTGCTGTTGCAGACCCAATCTCCAGAGAGTCCACCATTTCACAGTACCAAGTACTGGCTGAGGAAAATTCACTGATAAGGATTGATTGGGTGGACATTGGAAAAACTTGATAAAAATAAGTGTCAAGATGAGGAACAAGTAATTAACGGAAAGAACGCCTTTATATAGGGATTCGAATGTACTATCGATGTGAGACAGTGGATCTGAATAAACTGACCGCCACTTTGGAAAATACATATGTTCTCTTGAATACTAATTAGCAGCGCGTATTATTTATCTATTAATACCATTTTGTATCATGCAATATGAAGTATTCTTTTTGGTACTGATGCTCACAACACCATGGGTTTTTACGGGCGAAAGTAACCACTAGTAAATTTACCTGTCATGGAAGCTAGCTATTAATATATAAGACAAGTCAAAAGCTAATTATTACTAGGATATTAATGCATACAGCATTTTATGCTTAGAAATTGACCGTGTATATATGCAAGGCCACTCTACAGAAAATTAACAGTAGATCATATTAAAATGTATAGACACAGCAAGTTGTATGGACATGTAATACGCTTGACATTACCAACATGTACGCTGTTTATTATGTATACTATATCGTGCAGTTATTGTAATTAAGACATAAAAGTTGCATTTATATGATGGGTGTGTATTATTCTAGAGATACAACAAGGTTACATTAAAGAAATATGCCAATATTAATACTTCAAAATATCTATGCGCTTCTATCAAGACAGATATTGATTATACACATTATGAAGCAAATGTCAATTAAACGTATATTTATTGATAGCACTGCACTTTTAGAAATTAATTCTAATATATTGGTCGATTATTTATAGCTTGGTTACCGAACTATAAGTGCGAATGGTAATCCTTATTTATCATATGTGTAGTTGTATAATCCAACTTAAGCTCATTACATACTACATAACCCAAGATCTCATCTAGTACTTTAATAACATGAATATCGATGAACAAAAATCCAAATGTTACAAACAGATCTGTCAAATGTAAGAACGTATATAAAGTACCACAAAAAGAGTTTATTTAATAAAGTCGATTATTTAAAGTGTAAATAAAAGAGAGTTTTTTGCAATAAAGTTGACTTATATGAGGTCAAATGTATACAGCTACCAGCTAACTAGACCTGTAGTTTCTACCTAAAGAAGCAGGATTTCAGAATGTAACAGTGTAGAGAATGTAAATCGATTGTATTTCTTTTAAAGCTAACAGAACATATAATGTACTTAGGAGAGTAGAGTCTAATGTGAAGCAATTCTATGTAGGGATATAGTTGTGTTTCCAAAAAAAAATTAACACAGGCTGGATCTATTGTTACATATTATTATAATTTTATATTGGTATTTGTATTGGATGTAATAATTAGATTTCTCTCAAAGATATGTCCTCTCCAGTGTGTTTATTTCATCATTACAAGAAGGGTTTAGGAAAATAAAATATCTATGTACTTTCTGGAAGTTGGAAGGCATGTGCAAAATATTAATATCAAATTAAAAGAACTTTGGTTATATTCAAGATAAATACAAATTATTTTAAAAGTCTAATAACTTTATATGATGAATCAAACCAGATTGTATATATATATATACAGTTTATTAAGAAGTGAATAAATAAATATACAGAGATAGTATATCAAGAAGATGATGAGGAAGGAGGAGGAGAAGAAGAGGCTCTAACATTCCGTTGGTATGCAGATTGAGCCTGACCAATTCCACTTTCGTTCAAGACAGTTGTATTGGATGAATTGTTTATAGAAACAATATTCGAAAACTGCACTGATCGTGCCCTGCGCTGTTGGCTAGGAGCCACTGGCTGCTTCTTAACTGAGGACCCAACCTCTAGAGAGTCTACCATTTCACAGTACCAAGTACTGGCAGAAGAAAATTCGCTAATAAGGATTGACTGGGTAGACATTGGAAAAACTTGATAAAAAGAAATGACAAGATGAGGAACAAGTAAGCAATGGAAAGAACGCCTTTATATAGGGATCCAAGTGTACCATCGATGTCAGACAGTGGATCTGAATAAACTGACCGTCACTTTGGAAAATACATATGTTCTCTTGAATACTAATTAGCAGCGCGTATTATTTATCTATTAATACCATTTTGTATCATGCAATATGAAGTATTCTTTTTGGTACTGATGCTCACAACACCATGGGTTTTTACGGGCGAAAGTAACCACTAGTAAATTTACCTGTCATGGAAGCTAGCTATTAATATATAAGACAAGTCAAAAGCTAATTATTACTAGGATATTAATGCATACAGCATTTTATGCTTAGAAATTGACCGTGTATATATGCAAGGCCACTCTACAGGAAATTAACAGTAGATCATATTAAAATGTACAGACGCAGCAAGCTGTATGAACATGTAATACACTTGACATGACCAACATGTACGCTTCTTATTATATATACCATAGCGTGAAACTTTTGTCATTAATGTAAAAACAGATTAAACAATCTATTTGATGGATATATCTTGTATTAGAAAAACAATAACCTTGAGTTAAAGAAAATTATATGGAGATGTTTGTATTTCATAATATTCACGTCCTTCTATCAAGATAGATATTAATCTCAATTGTCATATACCAAATGTGAATTAGATGTACACTTAGGTAAAATACTTTTCTTTTAAAAAAATAGCTTTAATATGTTGCGTTTGTCTTCAAACTTCCGTCTGGTCCAATTTTATCATATCTTTACTAATCTTCCTTATATCAGCTATATAAGCAGATTTATTAGGTATTTTTCTAGGAAGAAGTTAATTGTTACAGATGGTGTTGCAATCAATCAAAAATTACAAGAACTTTAATAATGAAATCTTACAGTGTTGATCTATTTCTACTTCCTTTTCTTTATTATTATTAATTACCTAAAAAAGCATAGTGTATATCAAAAGCTCAGTGATATCTTACTAATTATTATCTTGATTTATTAATTAGCTATATATATATAATCCTTGAAGGATGAAATCAATAAAAAATATCCTTCCACATCACTTCTATTTTTGCTTTATCTTTTTGAGAGAACAAGCTAGCGACTACTAATATTTGGCCTAAGAAGCTGTTAAAGAAAATCGATATTTATTCTAGTTTCTTTTTAATATCTTGGACGACTTCGGCATATAAACTAACACGTCCCGTCGCACAACCATTCGAGGTTTCATTAGCTTTTAAGTATGTACAGCTTGATTTTTTTTCAGATAAGCGGATAATTTGGGAAGCTGGAGTATATACTGTAATAATATGGATATTTAAGAAATAATATTACAGCTTCTTATATAAGCGTTTGGTTTATTGTTTTAAGATATCAATTGGTTAATAGCTGGTTATCACTGATGTAGTGTGATTTTTTTTTTAGTGTTTGGTGTGTGTGTGTGTGTATGTGTGTTACGTTCCTGAGATGTGATCTTACCAGGTTCATTTGCAATTATATGATCCGCTCTGGATCGTGGGGTTTGAATTTTATTCGATTGTGGTGTATATACCAAGCTTATAAAAAAGCTAACTTTTATTGAGTCGTTGTAGCGCTAGAAGTAATATTGTTAGAAAGCATTTATTCAACAAAGCTGGCATTAACAAACAAACGATCATAAAAATTGTATTGATACATTACTCCCGTTTTACCATTAGAATAATACAGCATATCGAATGTACTTCTTTATTGGACTCACATAACATTATAATATTGCGTTCTAAAAAGGCCTTTTACTATTGTAAGTGCAAGGATATATACATGTATAGCTTTTGTATATATTCTATAGTTATACACGAAGAAATAATATATAAATATATATATTTACCCTAATCATTCTATAAATATTAATTATTATTTTGTCAAAATAATGACCTTTATTAGATACTTTATACTTTAAAAGAAAAGTATACTTTGAAACGTGGTATCTCTAACAACTGTGCCTCCTCTTGTATTTTAGATTTTTGGTGTTCATCCTTCTTTCTATTTAGGGGAATTTTTAAGGGAACATTTCACGTTTCGTTTTAAGAAATTTATTCAGGCACAGTGCTTTAAGGCACAGAATGAATTGACATTGAAAAATCGGTGGCTGTATAATACCAGGTGTTACGTCTTTTACATCTATAAATTTACTATATATTGGAAGAGACAAGAAAATACAGTAATCGTTGCAGACTTCAAGAACAATTGAACCAAGATTCCAAAGCTTAGTTGTTGTCTGCAATTCATATTGTATAATCATTAACTATAATCAAGCCGTTAATACATACATATATATGTATATATACATATAAATGAGCGAAGAAAAAATAACCAACAATTTGTAAAAAAAAATAACAGCACGACCCTTGTGCCATCAACTATGATGCTTTCATATTCGATTGCTAATATCTCGTTTTTGATTGACAGATTCACTTTCTTGCTGTGGTAAGCACTGGCTAACGTTCGTATATTCTTGTTAACCTATTTATATTATGCCTATTTATACCTTTTGTTTCAATAGCTATAATAATAATAGTTGTGCCAATAAACACAATGCTGATATTATAAGACGCCTCGTATTATCATACTCATCCATAAATTCGAGGCTATAAATAGGAGAAGCCCAATATTAAGTAGAGTAGGTGCTTCTGAAAGCCTTGATATATCAACATAATTCTCCTGCAGTCCAAGGTTTTGGGATTATATAGGCATCTATTTTTGGTATAAACTCAAATACTTGCCTACTATAAACTTGTTATCAGAGTACCCGCAGTTTTAGCTCTTGACTATTTTATTTTACTTTAATTTGATTTATTTAAAGAGGCCATTCATATAGTTTTTATTTATTCCATTTGTTAGAGTCAACAGACAGAGTGTTACTTAAGAGAATACCCCCCTTTTAACGTCATCAATCCGTCCTTGAGCTATTTCGAGACTTGAAACCATTGCTAATATTTAATTCCATGAGATCATCAATGACGCCCTTTGATGCATCATTACTATACTCGTGAAAGATTTTGTGTTCAGGTGATGAGATTGTGTTTTTAGATAATACTATCAGGTTTATCTCTTTTTTCTTCTTCAAAAGGCTATATATATATATTATTTTGACTGGTAGTCGTTGCAGGATAACTCGTGATATGTCCCTAATTTATGCGTATATCCGATTTAATGTCTGCCTTAGAAACAGGTGAATGAGTGCTTTCGATTGTGGTTGCTATTCAAGAAAGCAATTGAATACTTGGTCCGGGAAAGTAGTTGTTTTGTAACTAACGAGGGATTTTGTGGCTTACAACATACGTAACATACTCTAAACTTGGTGTGTACGTGTGTAACAGTAGAACTGACGTATACGGTATACAGTTAGGCTGGTTTTTTTTTGTATTTATTGATGCTGTCGACGCACACACTGCGCGGCCTTTGAAATTGAAATTTGAGAAACTATAGAGTTACAGGAGGGGAAATAAAGAAATATGTGCAGGGACCATGCTAATCTTCTCTGTATCGTTCTAATTTTAACATGTGACAGAGGTGCAATCACTTGTCGAAATAAAGAAATATGAAAACTAGTTAGATGGAATTGAGGTCATGGGATCTATATATGGCAGTCACTGTCTTGGCTGCAACAACATTGAAGAGGAAGGGGGAGTTGTCAAAGACAAATTCCCAGTGCGCGCGCCAGATGGTGTGAACCGTAATGGATGCAATCGCAATCTGGAGAGAGGAGGAAACGGAAGGAGAAAGCCGAGTACGAGTGAGAAGCCAGGTAACATCAGAAATCGACCAAGACGGACACAGTTGCTACAATTTACAATTGACTTTTCGAATAATGAACTTGATCTTAAGCATTACATGCTTGGCGGTTCTGACATTGCTGCGTTTTTCCGACAATATCAAAATGGTGCTGATAAAATACTTAAACCTATTATGTTGGAAACAAATGTTCAAGAATTATTGGCCTTGGGCGATGTCCTTCTTTTTAGCTAAAAACAAGTATTGCTGAACAAAATCCCAGGCACATGCCCAGATTTCACAAAAGAGGAATATATGGCTGTTTTAGAGGTGTTGACCTCTATCGATTAGAATATTATTACACCTAAACAAGAAAAGCTTGGACTTTTAACTCTGGCTGCTGATATGAATTCATTAAAAGGAAACGTTATTGAAGGGATTGGAGATTTGTAAGTGTAGTTGAATGAGCAGTGTTTGAATGAAGTCTCGTATCTCTCTTTTTTGATTGTGTACGTATGATAGACTCACGAAGTTACCTTTGGACTCAATTTTAGAGAGCAAAAAAATTGGAGAAGTTGATATTCAGACAAGATACTATGAGCCCATGTTATCAGGAATCTTAACTGACATTACAAAGAGATTTATTTTGAGGTGGCCAGATAAAACGGATGAAACAGCACCAAAAATAAGACCTGATGCAATCATATCAACATTGATACAATTGAAATTCGGAAGACACCTAGGGTATGGTGAAGTCAAACCAGGCGATGATAGCACTACGACACAATAACTCTGCGTAGACACTTTAAAGCTGACTGTATTATCAAGAAATACTTGTTTAGAAAATGAAGATCCCATTCTCATCTTCCAAGTCAACGGTTTCCAACTGATTCTTTATGTGATACAGAGAATCAACCACCGTTTCTACACTATTATATGGCTAACAGCTCAAGCTCCAAATACCGAAATTTTCCCATTCAATATAATTGATGTAATTAGTTTTAAGTAAAATAATAACAATTTCTTACGACTTGCAAAATAAAAAGAGTTTAAGCTTACTTTTTCAACTGAAACGGATTACTAAAATATAATAAATTACCAGATCTCTCTTTATTCACCAAGAAAAAATAATCTAGCACTTCTATTAATAATACTGACTTTTACACTAATAGGAAAAAAAATTGCTTGGTCTCCTGTTGGAAGCCTCTCAGTACTAAAAACACCAGCAACAAGAGTGATCGCCTATATTGTGCTGGGTACAGTTACTGTAAACACAGTCGTTTATATGGTATTTAGAAAGTATACACTTTCGGTTCTAAAGTCAAGAAAGAGAAAGGCATACAGAAGAAAGATGTTGAAGTGGTTGAGAAAAAAGAGGAAGAGAATGAAAGAACTAAGCAATACTGGTCTGATGAAAGCAAGCCAACACTCAAGGGCACGACTACAGCTCATTAAATTAAATTTATAAATAAAGTACTCGATATAATGAATGATATTGGAAATAGGAAAGGTAATTATTTTGTTATGGATAATTGCAATATTTTACGCATTTACTACACATTCAAAACGTTAAATTATTAACTATTACTTGTAATCAAAATGTTATTCTTTGATTTGCGTCAACTTACTGGGAACCGACAAATTATTTTCTTAGCAAGCAATGCCTTATTCGCAAATAACGACACCTAACCCGACCTCTGTTTTCAAAAATATATCTATTTGACGGTAGAATGACTGTAACTTGTCAGTTTAGCGCCAAAACAAGTTGACATTCTCTTTTTTTCTTTTTTATTTTGAAGATGAAATAGACAGCCTTTTCTATGAGCATGGTGAAGAAGCTTCTGAACCCACTGAAGGTGTCTTAACACTGTGCTTGAAACAATAGTAGCCTGCCAGACTTATTTGGCTAGTAAACCTACTGAAGATAATGTTGTGGAGAAAGAGGTTAAAGAAACAAAGCTTTTAGATGCTAATTTTACTAAATTAGTTGTTTACAGCACTTATACAGACAAACAAAGATAGAGTTTTATTGATAGATGATTAAAAGTCCTGAAAAGAAAGGAAATATCACTAAATTTGCCAAATAATTTTTTATTAGCTTGCGTATTGCGGAAAGCTGGTGGAAAACATAAGAAAAGACGAGAGAGGCATCCTAAAAAAATTAAAGAAAAATAGTAGTCTAAAGAGCACCCTTACTGTAAAACGTGAAAAATATATTAAGAATTTGCTAGATAATGATACTCAGCTCTTTGCTGACTAAAAAAAGCTCTAGCACTTTTCTATAAAGTCATAGCTTGGTCATCCTTTGAGAAATATTATATACACTGTTAAAAAACCTCATTTTCGTGCCGAAGCCAGGAACTCTATTGAAAATCTAGAGGCAAGGCATGAATGGCTTATGAACTGGAAGGACAAAGATCTAGACTATAAAAAAATTACGTATTTATCGATGAAGCCGGATTTCATATAATTATAAGAAACAATTGGGCTAGATCACCAGCTAGAACTTGTGCTGTAGTAAAGATACCAAAAAACAAGAATAGCTTCCTACTCAGTTATTGGTTCTATATATTTGTCTGCTATACTTTATATCGTTTTGAGAAAGTTTCTTCCCAAAAATGTAACAGAAACTTTTTCTAAAAAGAAGAGGAAGGGTAACAGTGGAAACAAGAGAGCTGTGACTGAGGCCAACGATGACAAAGCTACCCCGGAGGATGATGCCAGTATAATTGATGTAAACCCAATACCAAAAGACATAACCACTGCCCATTTTATCAAGTTATCAATGAGTTCGTTGATATAATTGGTGAGAATTTAAAGGGTAGCTATTTAGTGTTAGATAATGCTAATATTCATAAATCGAAACCGGTGATTCGAAAAATCAAAGCTAGAGGCTATAGAGTAATATATATCATCGTATTTTTTGTAACCGCCAATATTTACCAGCCTGACTGTACACATATAGGACTATTGAATATGTTAATATAGTAGTGAGCTATTTTTGAACCTTTCTGTACAGTGATGTCTAGTGCGTGTTACAAATTCAAGGGTATATTCATTGAAAGTCAACTGATTTACTAGAAAAGCATCAATCTTAACCGTAAATTATAGATTGTAGATTGTAGATTCATTTTACATTTTATTTACAGATATTCAATTCTTGGCTCAAGACCACTCGGCGATAGTTTGTATTGTGGTTCTTATCAAGTTTTATATTTTATTATCAATAATGCTATTAGTATTCCTTTTTGTTATTACTATTATTATGACTGGGATTACTATTGTTACTAAATTATATTTTTAATGGCCATCTTGAAAATGTCTTTTATTATCCACACACATCAATTCTTCATGATCACTCTCTTCTTCGGAAGACAAATCTCGGTCACTTACTGGCAACTCACCATAGCCTAGTAACCACCAACAAATAGCTTCATAACAAAATACAAACTGCCGCATGGTTTGTACCATGCTAACACGCTGCTCTCTAAACCGTGCAATAGTTTCAAATAAGACATCTTGGGTAAGAGATTTCGATAGTCTCTGAATGGCTGTGTCTATTGCACAAAACGCCCCTGAGCGACCGCAGCCGGCCGAGCAATGGACGATCATTGGTCCTGCACCCCCATGCTCTTCATATAATGTCTGAGACTCGTCTGCTAAGCCAACAAGTCGAAGGGTACCAATTGGACTATCAGGGACACCAAAATCATTCCAGCCTGTGTATTGAAAATGTGTCAACCGTCTTCTACCCTGGTTAGGTTGTGATATTTCAAGCTGAGAGATGATTATACAGTCTTCCTGATTCTGCGAGTCAATTGACTCAATCGTTCTTGACAACAGAGTAACATTCGACTGGCCATAATTCACTGTTTGACCAATAGATGTGGGCCAATAACGGTGGCATTTGATCTAATTAATTATTTTTTATAGGGGATGAGTTGTGTGATCTATAAATGTATTTGTAGTTACCTTGTGCATTTCTTCTTCTTTTGTTAGCATCACTAACACACGGGAATTTTGCTCCCAGACAACATTCCAAAAGTCTTCAAATGTGGTAGGAAGTGGACCCTGCGTAGAAATGTAACGTCGGAAAATATCTGTCTTTGAATCCGGAAAGCGCATCGTACGCAAAGAGGCCTCGCTCACGTCTGGAAGTATATTGATATCTTGGGAAGGTTGAGAGACATATTGGATATAGCTTGCATTTACGTAGTCTCCTGAATCTCCCTTTCTATGCAGCTTGACTCGAGAGTACTCTATATTTAGCTGGTCAGTAAGGAAATATAGTATGATATAAGTATATAACATGTGCCTTTTTATATTTACCAAAGGGCCAGATATTTGTGTATCGGTTAAGAGCTCCCTTTTCGATACCTGCTACGATACTGAGAGGAAACTCGGATGGGTTGGAGTGGGAGTGCTTTGAATGATAGCTGACAATGTTCTGTAATCTTTTTTGCTCGGCACGTTCAAGTTTCTAGACAAATAGTTAGACAACCGAACCTAAACTAATGAAATATTATTTTACCTCATACATTTCGGCCAGGTGTTTTGGACCATCCAAAGATAATATAGCTTTGAGCCACTCTGGTGCTCTTACAGTATATCCAGAGTGATTGTATGTACTAATGTTGATACACCGGGGTGTGTTTGGAAGGTTTATATCGGTGTTGCTGTCTAGACTGGAGCCACTAGGAAGGCGTACTGGAATCCGATCTTTGATCGGGCCCATGCCAAGCTCTTCATTTTGACGGATATTTGAAAAGAAAGGGTTGCAAACGTCTTGTGCTGGGACGGTTAGTGGTCCTAGTGACATGGGTTTGTGATTGCTTGGGAGCTTGAGTGACATGCCGGATTCACCTTTGTGCTGTAGATTAGATCTAGTACCAGAATCGCACATGAAAGGAAAAGTCCTTTTAAAAAGCTCAAATCCGCCTTATTGAAGATTTTAGAGTCATGTGATGTTGAGCAGTCGATGTCATTGTGCTTCAAGACTTTATGCTTACCTTTTAAATAGCTAAGACGGCCATGGTATCCAGCCAGGTCAAATTTTGAAGCTAGAAAACGTGCGGAACATTGATCGGAGAGTATTTCTGACGATTGATCGTATATGATGATCTGGTCGTATGTTTTCCATTGCTGAAGACGTTCACGTTCAGAGTTAGATACAATTGCAGTATAGACTTTTTCGATTGTAAAGGATGGTCGTCGTAAGATTGTACTTGGGACGGCAATATTTATAGAATATTGGATGTGTGAGTATGAAAATTGTAAGAAAGAGCGAACGTCAATAAGAAGAATATGATCTTTTGTGTCTGATTCAAGTAGGGACTGCAGATCTTCACAATTAATTGGTTCAATAGGAAATGTTGGTGGTGGTGACTTTTGTACAGGAGACCTAGATGATGGCCGGTTTTCGCTTGTTACTAGTACAAGAGGGCTTTGGCCTGTATGGCGTGTCTGAATAGCGTTAAAAAACTCCTGGTGAATATTGGTCCCATTAATGGGTTGAGTAGATGGTCGCTGCACATTAGTGCTCAGTTGTCTGAAATAAGCATCGTTGGACGAATGGGGGTTTTGGTGCCCGTATGGGGTGGGTGAAGGTGATTCGAATGCGACACTCATTGATGATGTAGCTCTAAGAGAAAGAGAAAATAAATAAAGTAACCTGGGACCTTTTATATATTTATATATTTATATTTTTTGTGGCCACTAATAAATATCCCAAAAGGTAGAAATGAGTTTAAAACGCTTAAGGTTTGCGCTTAGACTTGGCCTTGTTTTAACGTGGAACCATGTCGTCATTTGGTCTCCATTTGGATATAAAATGTCATAAAGGAAGTCGTACAGGATACTTTTTTTAGAGTAGACAGTTTTGAGGTTTGTATTCCTTCTCGGATTTCTAATCCATTAGAATAAGGATTTTAATTATAAATTTATTCAAAATTAATATTTAAAAAAGGCAAAAAGTACCGTAAATCATGAACACAAAGATTACCGAAAAACAAAGAAGAAGCAATAAATGAAATTCAGAAAGGCATTAGCCCCGACCCTATGGATAGGTTTACTGTTTAAAGCACTTAGTTTAAAGACTCTTTTTTTTTCATATATACACATAAAGGGACCAATTAAAGAAGACGTCCAAGAGTTTGATTCATAATCTCAAGGCTATTTATTAAAGCCTTTATAAGTACTTTTTGCAAATCCCCTTTTTGTGGGAATTGCTTTAAATGATATTCAGATGCAATAAGATTCGCAATTCATGGTACTTTAACTCTAGAATTGTTCCAAATTCAACCAGAATTTCAGCGCAATCAAGTGAGTTCTTTCACCAAATAGCCCTATAATGGCTAGTTACGCCATTCTAACTGGATCTAGTATGGTCTGTGTATGAGTATATCGTTCAATTGATCTAGACAGTTACTCAAATGGCTTGTGACATTAGATCCAAGGGGGGTTTCTGTATCTAAAAATGAACATTAGAGTTCTTGAAAATTGCATTTGATGTCACTGTCTGTAGTTCAGAATTAATCTGACCAATAGATACACCTTTTTAGAGTATATGATGCCTCTGTCTATCTCAATCTAGTCCCCCAGCATAATATGTTCACAGTCAAGTTGTCACCTTGCAGGCGCTTGCTTCCCATTCAAGGCTAGTAGCGGAGAACAAAGAGGACAAACCCAGTCGATTAAAATTGCAAAATAAGAGACCAATGCTGGCATAAGCATCGTCGTCTCAACCAATCTTAGCATCTTGTCAGTCAATATTTTGTTTCGTCACTCAGTACCCCCATTTAATATCCCACCAAAGATAATAAGGGCATTAATTAAAATACAAGCAATAAATGTTGCCTTTATCACCCTCTTTAGTTTTATCTCACCTTTACAGAAAAACAAGCATGGGAATTTGACGATGATGATGATGATGATGATGATGATGATGATGATATGACATGTTTAAATAGATATATATATATCATTTGTAGACTATTCCCGGTATAGATATGGACGTTAGTAATTTAAAGATGTATAACAAGGCTGAAGAAGTCCATAGGGAACAATATTTGTTGTGATTGTTTGGAGTTGTTTATTTCTTAAATTGTACTTGCAAAAACAGAGTTACAGAAATCAAGGATAGCTTAGCTTTGGATGCACAAAAGATGCACACTGTCTTACTTTCTTTTTAGTTAGACTTATTGCAAACGGCGGAACTGGTCACGATTGTTCTGGACAAAACTACTCAATTCCTGTGGCATGTATCCAAGCGCATTCGACAGATCGTCTGTCAGAATATCAGAAAATCCACAATCGAACATAAGCCATAGTTCAAGAAGAGTATCAATGTAATTATCATTGAGATACCGGGCAATCGGGAACGTAAACGGCACATCTCTCTCCGGTCTTTCCGGGTCCTTACTCTCTTGGGAAAAGGGTCTCTCCTGGAAATTTTCATTTTCACGAATATCTTGGAGATATGCGCGCATATTGCTGGCCGAAATCTGAGTATATTGGGTAGTACGTCCCAGTACCTCGGAAAAGATTATCGAAAGGCCTTTACCATCTTGGTTATAAGCTGACGTGAATTGAAACAAAGCTTTGTTGGATTCAATGTGGTTCAAACGCTTAATCTGGTTCTCCGTCCACAAATGATACATCCCTTGCACAACGTCGAGCAAAGAAAGAATCGGCCATCTTGCTTTAGTATCAACGGGCATTCCGATCATCGATTCTTTTTCAATCATTGGCGAAAAATAGTACAAGCTTTGGCTGAAAAAGGGGAGTCGGACTACGCAGTGATTGTCATCGCCAAAAAGATGTCTGACTTGCTCTTCCAGATGATAGTACTCCACCATGTTAGAGAAGTCATGTTTATTATTGTGCATTTCCCGAAGCACCCGATCGACCCCAATACTGAAAATGAAATTGTTTTCAGAATCCTTATTTAGGCAGTAATAAACAACACAAATACTCACAACGAAGTTATTGTAACATATTCAACCCCTTCGCATTTGGAGGCGTTCAGGAGTGTCTTGGCTTCCCAAATCCGTTTACCAGAGAATTCCGGATTAAACATCAAAAAACGAGTTCCCGCAATGGCTGTTTGTATATCACATTCGTTTCTGTAATCAACCTCGATGACTTCCCCTCCAAGTCTCTCGAGTTCTTCTAAGCCATCTTTGTTACGGCACAAAAGCCGAATGTTGTGCTTACTCGTCCCATTGTTGCGTTTCTCTAGAAAGTAGAACGCAAAGGCATAACCCAAAAGAGAGTCAGTGTTTGAGAATGTCCAGGTATCTTGAGACATGAAAGGTGTTATTTATTTTTTGAAAGCTTTGGAGTTGGACTTGTAAGCCCTTTTATTGTTAATTTTCCAATTGATATACTACTATATATTTTGGACCTTCTTTACAGGTTTTATAGCATCTTTTTTTTTATCTTTTTTAACTTGTTAAAAACTAGAGTTGATCAACCAAATTCTTTCCTGTTCCAAATATCTGAGCCGATATTCCGATAGCTTACTAGGAATCATAGTTAATAGATAAATATGATGCTGTAAACTGATTCAAGAGACTGGACCTGTTGTTTATAGCACATTACGTCCTCTAATTTTAGTCAGCATATACTGTGTTTGTGTGTTTGTCCGATTTGTTTTTTAATGGACATAAATGCTATTTTTGTAAAATATAAAATCTCATTTAAAAGTATGAGCAATTTTTAAATAAAAATTAAATAAAGAGCCTGTGTATGCAACAAAAAGGAAGACAAAGCAAGCAAACAAGTCACACGCGAAAGAACAACTTTTAGCTAGTATTCTGGTTAGCGTGTCTCCTTTGAAGATTCCTTATACTTGTAATGTCCTTGTTATCTAAAGTAGTCCGATGCATGCGCACCATTGCACCCCTTGAGCTAGCTGAGACCTCTTGGGACAATGTCGGTGTTCTTGTTGGTAAGAATTAAGAATGTTCATCCATCAATGACACTCTACTCACGGCAATTATAGAGCCACCATTTCCTTTGCCAACCTTTAGCAAGGTTTTTCTCACAATTGACTTGACGCCTCAAGTTCTCGATGAAGCTTTGTCTGACCCAAAGGTCAGTTTCTTTATTTAAAACACACAAGAATAGAGCAGGATTGTAGACTTTATAAAATTTAGGTCGGTACAATTATTGCCTACCATCCCCCAATCTTCAAAGCCATGAAGCGCCTTACTTCAGCAGACGTTAAGCAAGACATGATCATGAAAGCAATTGCCCGCGGTGTAGGAATATACTCACCACACACCGCCTGTGACAACTGTGTCAATGGAGGTACGAATATTTCCTGAAAGAGACAACCTTGTGTAAACGTTTTTTGTATATGATATTATGTTTAAATCGTAAATACATGCTTTTCTAGTTAATGACTGGCTCGCGAGTGGTTTGGGAAAAGGAACTGTAGCTCCTATCGAGCGTTCAGTGAACCCACCCGCAGGCAAGTATCAGTATAAAGAGAATTGATAAACAAATACTTCTTGAGAATCATAGGGCTTAATTATTTTTATATAGGTCAAGAAGAGTCTGGATCTGGTCGTATATTTACCTATGATGAACCCTTTCCTTTACTGAATGTGGTTGCCAAGATTAAGCAGCTGACTGGATTACCATTTGGTAAGAATACATACGCGTTGCCCTATTATTTTATTCTTCTTGTTCTTATGCATATGTACGTAAAGTTCGTGTGGCAACTGCAGAAGCCCACAAAACTGGGTTGATCAGAACTGTTGCAATTTGTGCTGGATCTGGATCCTCTGTGCTTGGTCCGGTAAAAGCTGACTTGTATTTCTCTGGAGAGATGGGACATCATGATGTGCTAGCTGCACTTGCCCAAGGAACCAGTGTTGTTTTGTGTAAGTTACAATCTTGTGAAGGAAACCAGAGAAACCAGAGAAACTAAACAAATTGTTCTTTAGGTGAACACACAAACACAGAGCGTGGATACCTCTCAGCAGTGTTGAAACCTGCGCTGGAGAGACAACTTGCTGGAGAACGTTCTGAGTCTGGTGAAAATATTGAGGTAGTGGTTAGTAAAGTCGATAAAGATCCTCTTGTAATCGCATAAATAATAAATATATTCTGGAGTATTTTCTTAAAATTGTGTCCGAGACACTTAACTTTCAATCGGATCGAAGCTAGAATCCGATTAAAGTATGGATAAGCTAAGCTTAGACAAGAAATTCAATTCCAAATATGTGGGTAAAACCGGCAGTAGAAGGCTAAGACCAAAAAGAGTAATATTTAAAGAAAGAGAATAGAGATAGTGACCAAGTCTTCAAAAACAAGATTTTTACATACATAAACTCAAATATATATAGCATTCTTTACATGTGTATCTTGTGTGCTTATGAAATCAAAACTTTATTTTTAAATTTAAGCGTATTTGCTTGCGACAATTTTTGCGATAGTCTGAAGTTGGATGTTGCTTGTACCTGAATCAAGTATAGAAGGTAAGGTGCATTTTCATTTTTTTTTATTTTGTTTTCCTACGGAGGCTTACCTTCATAAATTGCACCAATCTTTGCATCTCGGTAGAACTTTTCTACGCCTGTTTCACGAACAAATCCATTTCCACCCATCCATTCAACAGCATAACTTGCAGACTTCTCTGCTATTTTTGAAGCGTAAAGTTTTGCCATAGCTGCTTCCATTACAAAAGGCTTGCCTTCTTCTTTTAGGCGTGCAGCATTATATGTAAGCAATCTAGCTGCCTCAATCTCAACAGCAACTATCAACAAAAATAACTATAATGTTAGTTAAATATTTGGCATCGACTACTGTCTACAATAAATACCTTGTGCATATTGATGCTGCATCCCTTGGAACTCCCCGACCGGTTTACCAAACTGTTTACGCTCCATAATGTACGGTAAGGCAATATCAAATGCTCCTTGAGCTAGTCCAACCATTTGAGCTGCAATACCAATACGACCTTCATTGAGAGACTCAATAGCATATTTATATCCTTGACCAACAACTCCCAAAACATTCTCTTTTGGCACTCTAACATCTTCAAAGCTTAATTCGCAGGTTGATGAAGCTTTGATACCAAGCTAAAGATGATTGTAGCAGTAAATATTCTTATTGTGAATAAATAAAACCAAAGACAAAAACAATACCTTTTTTTCCCTTTTTGCAATCTTGATTCCCCACTGCTTTTCAACCAAAAAGGCTGTAATTCCTTTGTATCCTGCAGAAGGGTTTCTGTATATATATATATATATATATTGGGTTAGATATTTTTTTTAGAATTCTGAATAGTAAAGTCAAACATACGTGTTGGCAAAAACAATCATAAGTTCTGCTTCAGCTGAATTACTGATCCACATCTTGCTTCCATTCAAAACATAATGATCGCCCTTATCTTCCGCCTTTGTAACTAAGGCAAATGCATCGCTGCCTGAGCCTGCTTCAGAGATTGCGAAACTGCCAATGGTGTCTGTAGCAAGGCGAGGCAGATATTTTTTCTTGATGGCCTCGGTACCATACTTACGGATCATTGTATTGATCAATGTGTTCTATACACACACACACATACCCATGAGTAATACCATTTAAAAATTATTGATCCAAGTATTTACATGAATATCACAGAGGACACTGATGGCTGGATCAACCTTTGCTAATTCTTCGATCGCCAAAATGGCCGAAGTGAATGAGCATCCTGATCCCTCGTATTCTGGCTCAATCTCAATACCCATCAGCTAAGAGAATATGCAGATATATCAGATATTTGCCTTTCAGCTATTATTTTTTATAACACATACACCTGATTCAAATAATGACTTTAAAACACCCTTATCCATTCTCTCTTCTTCATCCATTTCCATGACTTTGGGACCAACGACATGTCTAGCAAATCTTGTGACTATTCCCAAGATTTAGTTTATACATTGTTTTGTAGAAATATCCGAGTAAACCTGTACCTGTATCCTTCATCATAATCTCTTCTTCTGTGAATGAATGAAGAGACGTCGGTGGTGTAGAAGAAATGAAAGGATAAGAGTAGCTGGCGCCATAATTTCTTATTTTTAAACCAACATGTAATTATTAGAAAGACGTTTCTTCTTGAGTATATAAAACATCTGGTGTACCTTTTGAAAGTCTGGGTAGCCAGGGCTGAGAGAAGTTGAGGTCTTTGGATAATTTTTTTAGATATTCTAAGCATAGCTGTGTAATATTTTAGGATCTGGGGAAGAAAGGTAAATTCTTAGGTTTGTTTTATATAAATGTTTTCATTTTCCCACGCATCTCGTCTGTTTTGAACTCAAATTTTGATGTATGGTTAATTGCCACGATGGCAATTCTCGTATCATTTGTCACAGTGTCACAGAACTGTAGTACGATTATAGGCAGTGTTCGCTTTCAATTGCAATTAAGTCGATGCATTATGATGTATACATATATATAATAATTTTTAACGTTCTTTAACTGCAATAGTACAGCTATTAAAAGGGGTCACGTACATTAAAATTAGATGAATAATACGAAGATCCCATCATAGATTGAGTTTATAGAACCATTCAACGAACTTGTTGGATTTTTTGGATAACATATAAATCAATTGGTATTGGTACTGTATCCTCTTTCTCTAGTCATTGGTATACTCCCGAATGGCTCTTAAATATATGTACATACACAACAAAGAGACTTTTGGATACTATATATAATAATTTGGAGCTGTAAAGATCAAAGTTTAAGCTTAATAGCAAATCTCGGTGATCATATGACGTTTTCTCTGTTGTAAAGGATAAATAAATCATACAGAAGTAAGACTATTAGAGCATTAGATTATGCACCGAGTGAATAGTAACATTTCTTTAAATTAAGTTCAGTCATAACTAACAAATATTCAGATGTAACTATGAGCATTTTATTTCATTCTTTTACGAAATCAAATGAAGGCTGAGTTTGTTACGTGTGTTATTGGAACCGAATGTGAACTACGTCTACTTAAACACCCCTTTTCTTCTAACTATTTCATAAATAACTCGGAAGAATTTATATAGTAAATTCTAAAATCCTACACTTATAATATTATATGTCTATCATTTTGTTCACCTGCTTGCTCATTCGAAGAGATACAAAGAATACGAAATATAAATCTTCTTATCTTATTACATAATTATTCTCAAGAACCTATTCCGAATGATCTTTACATTATAACAAATACCAATTACATATCAACATCAATATACCCCTTCATTACAGAAGATAAGAATAAAAGAGAATATGTTCCCTAAAAACATATACACGAATCTGGGTGCACGTACATCACAAATAATCTAGACACACTTCCTCAGACACATTGTGGAGACCACATACACGAATAACACTAATAGTTCATTTACGAATAAAAGTTGCTTTAACTACACTTTATTATGCAAAAAAAATAGTAAAACATTCGAACAAATGGCAAGAAATTTACTTGTTGCTGACAACACCATCGAACTACGAACAAGAGAAAGATAAAGTCAATTACTTATTTCACACAAAAGTTATATTTCAGGTACTTACGCGGGTCTTGAACCATTCGACAGACTCCTCCTTCTTGATACGGTGGGTGGCGCCAACCTTGGACTTGCAGTGCTTGCGGCGAGCGACACGGTTACCGGGACGGCCCATGACGATGTAGTAGTCCATACCGTAAATACCGATGGAAGGATCGTACTTGATACCCAAGTCAATGTGCTCATCAATACCGAAACCGAAGTTACCGGTCTCAGAGAAGTTGCGGGCACGGAGCTCGTACTCCTTGACCTTGAGACCACGCTCGAGGATCTCCTCAGCCTTGGGACCACGGACGGTGACGTGAACGGAGATCTTCTCGTTACGACGGATACCAAAGGTACGGACGGTGTAACGGGCCTTGGAGTAGACGGGAGTCTGACCGGTCAACTGCTCGAGGACCTTGGCAGCACGGGTAAGTCTATCACCAGACTCACCAACGCAAATGTTGAGAACAAGCTTCTCGATGTGGAGAGCCTTCATCTTGTTGACGGCAACGGTCTTTTGTTCGGCACTCTAAGGGAGCATTTTATCAGTCATCTAATATTTCTTTGTCGTGTATGGACATAACATCCCATCCATCCGTCCATTCATCCATCCCAGATAATCATCATATCATCATGGGCATGATATTTACCATGGCTGGTCGGGGCTACGGGTCTGTAGGCGATGGAAAAGAAAGATCCGTTGGTGGTGGTTGATTGAGGTGTACTATCCCGGGAGGTTCGGTGAGCAGAAGTGCAGTATAAGCCACTCATTTGCACTGGACTACCAAATACGGAATCCCATTTTCCATGTTAAAATGCTTCATAGTGAATACGAGACTATAGAAATATCACCCATAGGCCTCACTAAATACTTTATATAAATTGCCATTATACCATACAATACTGTCCAATTATGCCGTGATATACCTATATTCATAATATACACTCAATTCAAAGATTTTTCGTCTTATTACTTTATACACACATACACACACATATATCTATATATATGTATGTATATACAATAGTAGACTGGTTTCTTAATAGCGAAGTATTTAAGAATGAAAATTTACATGATTTATTCATTTATTTTTTTAAGTGGGTATTGTATATATACATATTCGAGTTTTCTTACTATATTATACATGGATCAAAAGCTGCTATGATGAGGATTCTATTGTTTGACATCACAAAGCGTGCCTGACCAATCATTCCCTCACAAATCCAGAGCAGCAAATTTTTTATTTATCGTTCAAGAGCCGCCTACACCTTGTTTTCTTCCTCTCTTTTTCAGACTCGACATCATGAGCACTTTCGAAAAGGTACTCTTCTTTTCCTGCCTTTCGTCACCACATGTCGAATAAACATACGACAAAGAAGACCAGTGAATGGCATTCAGCATTTTGAAACAAACAGAAGAATTGCAACTTTTTTTCTATGCGCCAATTATCATCCTCATTTGGATAACTCTGACTCGCTTGTGTGCCCTCCTAGGTGGTTGTCATTGACGGCAAGGGTCATCTCCTCGGTCGCCTCGCCTCTATTGTTGCCAAGCAAGCCCTTAACGGCCAAAAGGTCGTTATCGTTCGTTGCGAGGAATTGAACGTGTCTGGCGAGTTCTTCCGTAACAAGCGTAAGTTACATTCCACAAAGTATAGAAAACAATAGAATCCGGTGTGTAACTTACATATTTATATCTTCTAGTCAAGTACCACGCTTACCTCAACAAGCGTTGCGTTGTCAACCCCCGTCGTGGTCCCTTCCACTTCCGTGCTCCTTCCCGCATCCTCTACAAGGCCATGCGCGGTATGGTTCCCCACAAGACTGCTCGTGGTGCCGCCGCTCTTGACCGCATCAAGGTTTTCGAGGGTGTCCCCCCTCCCTATGACCGCATGAAGCGCATGGTTATCCCCGATGCCCTCCGTGTCCTCCGTCTTAAGCCCGGACGCAAGTTCACCACTCTCGGTCGTATCTCCCACGAAGTCGGCTGGAAGTACCAGGACGTCGTTGCCAAGCTTGAAGATAAGCGCAAGGCCAAGTCTTCCGCTTACTACGAGCGCAAGGCTGCCCTCATCGCCATCCAGAAGAAGGCTGTCGAGTCCAAGGCTGCTTCCCTCAAGACCGTCAACGCCTCCATCGCTGCTCTCGGCTATTAATTCGTCTATATATATGTATAATATTTATGGAAAAATAAAATAAAATAATTTTTGCAAAACAATCTTTGGTAAAAAGAAAAAAGAAAAAGAAAACATATATAATCTATATAAAAAAAATTCAAGAGTACCAACAATGTTCACTTGAACTGTGTCTGCAAGTAATCGAGTGCCTTTGATGAGGTCTGTTCGATACTAGAGACGTCTGTGTTAAGTACTAGCATTGAGTGAGCCACATCTTGTCTCACAATTGAGCAAGAATCATCTACAAAAAATTGCTTGTTCCACTTGACGTACTGTGGCCACACAATATCATCAAAATATCCTAGTGGATCCACCCAAGTACCTGTTGAAGGAATATATTAGCTGTGATAGCACAAAACAAATTAGTCAAACTTACCTAGCTTAGTGGCATATCCCGTTCTAGTCTCTCTTCTTGTCTTTAGCATTTCATATGAGGCCGTGATAAAAATCTTGCGATCGATTTCGTTTGAAAGATCCTTGTCTTGATAGAGCATAAAGCCTTCCACAATAAGAAACATAATATCCGGTTGAATATGTTTCAGCCATGGATCAAGTTGCTGTGTTACTTGTCTCGGCAAAATTTGTCGCTTATCGTGATCGTTTTTTATAGCCTTGGATTGGTACCATTCAGGGAGCTGTCCATTATTTGTACGGACATGACTAATAGTCCTTGTTAAAGCTTTAAAGTCAATGGCGTCTGGACAATCCCAATTGGCAAGCCCGGTTGTCTGATCGATAGGAATCTGGTTGTCAGGCTTGGAAAAAAAATACTTGAGATTTTAAAACCTAATGCCAAATTATTCACTTGTTCTAACCTTGAAGAATTCATCTTGACAAATGACAACGCAATTGGGAAGAATGCTAAACAGAATTTGAGACAATGTCTATAGATAAGAGATTAATAACAAGATTTCTAAAAAAAAAAAGGCTTTCTTATATCTGTCTACTTACTGTCTTTCCTGAACACGAAGGACCACTAAAAATCCAATAACAGAATTATAAATAACTTGGTGTATTATTCTTTCTTGACTATATACTAACAATCCTTAAGCTCACCTTACTCCAATGGTATATACTTTTGTCATTGGAATGCCCAGTTCTCCACACTAGAATCAATATTACGTGACCGTATCAGAATATACGAGGGACTGAGTTGTAAGAGCCTGAAGCGTAAGTTTGGTTACTTGCAAATCATAACACTCTTTTTTTTTCGTTAATATATGCTTGTCTACTTTTCATTATTATTATTTTCTATCTGAATTTTTGGTCTGCAATGTATTTTCCCGCCTTTTTAGACACTGGATATATTTGCCTATTCTTCTAAATAGCGTTGAGTATCTATAAGATTGCATCGTCTTTGAATACACCTTATTTATATAGTATATTGTTATTAGTTAATTAATTAATTAAGAACATTAACCCTCTTACTAAGCGTGTAAGACCCTCTCAATTTGTTTGTTTTTTTTTTAAAGAATAAAATAGTAATGTTTTAATTCAGAGATTATTCTTATAAGCTTTATTTCTATCTGATCCACATATAATATACATAACTAAATGTCAAAAAGCCCATTTCTTCGTATTTTAGTATTCCCTTGTAAAAATTTACACGGCCAGTCTCGGTTCTATAAACTCTTTTTTATAAAAAAAAAAAGAGTTGCTATTTTCAGTTCGGATTTATCAGTAGAAGCTTCATATTAATAAAATCAAGATATGCACCACTTATACATATAAATTATGAAAAGGTGAGAAATCGGGATCAAGGTAGAGAAATTGAGAGAATGGATATATAAGATTAATATTATAGAAAGTATTTAGGAACACAGAAAATGGTACATCCTTTAAAAATATTGGCCTATGGATCTAACACAGTTAAAAAGACATGATAGACGTATGGTCTTAAAACTAGCAAGGAAAAAGGGCAAATCTTTAACTGTTGTTTATCCAATTTAACTGGTATTAAATATACCGCAAATTACATATGAAACTATGTGATCTATTGCAAGCAAACAATCACTTAGTAAATATGTGCAAAGTTATATGCCTTTGACACACATACCTATATATATATGTGTGTGTGTGCCCATGTGTGTATGAGTATGTCACTGTAGAATAGAGCTTTTCTGGTAATATATTAAAGACTACTTTTTATTTGATTAATGAAAGTTATTGAGAAATAATGTTTGTATATGTCCAGTATAACTAATGTACAAAGTCTGAATTTGGAGCCCAATAAGATTATAATCCCAAGTTTTCAGTGTACATTCATTATCATATAGTTACAATTTTTTTAATGGTACAAAATATATTATAGCAAGTAGTTAATGTACAAAAGCCTTTGTATATAGTAAGCATTTTCGGTCCATTCCAAGTATAAAATAGAAACAAATCCACCGCTCTTTTTTTATTTAATCTATATCATTTCATTATGCTGGACGTTTTCGATGTGGGGCTCCATATGATTACTGAAACTTTGATGAATCTGCCTTGGTTACACGCTTTAATCCAAGCTCTTTCATTATATTGCACACCGTAGGATATGAGACATTGTATCCTTCTTCGAGTAATCGGTAATATAGGGCTCGCGAGGTCCGGAATTCACCGTTTAACATTTGTAGTCGGATAAGATCCTTTCTACTCTTCGATATTATACTTCTTCTTCCAGCAGGCAAGAGTTCTATACGGAAGGATGCCATTTTGCGATACTTTGAGACGGTTGATGGGGCTATTCCGAGCTCTCTGGCTATTTCTCTGCACGATTTTCCGCTCTGAAGAAGAGAATAGATAGACTGTATGACTGTGCATGATATCGGCTTCATGATTTAAGTGTGTACCAAGCAAATAACAAAAAATAATGGTTAAGCTGTCATATATATTTTATTTTATTTCAAACTGGGGGGTATAAAAGAAATTAAAGATCTGCAACGAGGTTTAGGTTACATTATCTCAACAAACGAAAGAAGTACAGTGTTTATATATCAAGATGTTTGAGGATCATATATAGCAGTGTTGCTTAGATTTTTTGTATACCACACCCGTATATTTATTTATATAAATTGAACTTATTCATATAATTCTCTTTTTATCATATATATGTGTCTCATTCTTAAAGCTCTTAAATATTTTTATTGTAATAAATATTTAAAGAAATGTCTATCTTATGTATACAGTGAGACAAGTATATTCAATTATTGAAATAAAAAACACTTGCCTTTAAATTATAGTAATCGTATTAGAGTGTGTTTTTTTAGATATAAAAATGTAATAATGATATAGTTAATTACGGTTATATGAATAGATCTATTCTGTTAAATATATTCTGTAAAGAAAATACCGGACATATATTGCTATTTGGAATACGTGTATATTAATAAAAGTGTATAAAGATGTATAGACATATACATACATGCGTGTGCGTGTAGAATATCAGCAAATATGGGACCGTGAACCGTCAAGTTAGTACAAACAAGATACCTTAGCCCGCGGTGTATTCCGAAGATGAACTAACGTGTTAAGAGGCCTTGGTATTGCGATAACTGTTGAGAAAAAACAAGAAAACTCGAAATAGATTCTAGACTTGGATAATCTCAATTAATTTCTTTAAACGTTCTTGGTTCCTGTAATACATCAACATACATCTTTATCTCTGGTGTAGTGTCGATTTGTTCATTCTGTTCAAAAACATCTGATGCTCTATACTCTGTTAAGATGTGTAATTCCAAAACTTTGTGATGGTAGAATTAACTGAGCTCAGGATTATCTGTAAGCTGTTAATAATAGCAGCCGAAAATTAGGCTTCCAGTGTCTTTTAAATAATTATATATATATATATAAGCTGTTGCTATTAATTAATTTCTAAACACACGTATTGAATATGGTTTGGACCATGACCTTCTTGTCCGCTGAGTATTGGTGTTTGTATAGACGTTTGTTCATATACTATGCTGACGCTTCTAATAATCTAACCGGTAGATAAGCACATAATACCAATTATTGTGCGTCTTGCAAGGTCCCTGGATCAAAATTTATGGATCTTCTGATCAAGATTTATTTCGAGAGCTCACCACAGCCCACACATGGTGGCTCATACAAGAATATGAAGAAGTTTGAAGAAAACAATAATAAGATCAAATTATAAATTAAAAGGGTCTTGTATTAAATATATTAGGTTTGGTTTTCCAATTAATATTCTGGTTGCTGCTACCATGGACAGATTGCATACTTTTTGATTTGATTATTCTTTAAATATGTACATCCTAACAAAATCCCCTTCGATATTTTGCAGAATATAGTTACACAAATAAAGTTCAAGGTTATTTTAGAAGGAGCATCTTGTACCAACTGATAAATTTGTAAATATGTATATAAAGATTTTACCCGCAAGTGTAGAGCAAAGTATAATAGGCGAATATTCGATAAATTAGGTTGGTATAGACACACACATAAGATATCATTTCTTTTCCTTCCTTCCTAAATATTAATGGGATACTTATCTACCATACGTGAGATCTGTACTGATCTATGTTGTGCTTGGTGTAAAACATCAATTGACTAGAGCCCTGGTAGTTTTCTTTTTTTTTTTTAAAGAAAAAATATGTGACATATGGTAGAATTATTCTAGAGTACCATTGAGTGAGTTCGACTGGCTTCACATTCCAAACTTGGTGTTGTACACACGTACCTCATAGATATGCGTAACCCTGAGTAAAATCGAATATGTAAATAATTCTACTCTCTTCTCAATTGTGTGTTAGCCGGTGTCGTATTCAATAAAGGGGTCAGTGTAAAGATACGCTCCCATACAGCTTATACATAAACCTGTCTATTTTAGATTAAAAATATAACTTTTATTCTGTAATTTTTTTCTCACTTTCTGACTACAAATGCTTGTCTATATGACAGGAATACCTAAGAGTAAAAAGCTCTGTGTTTTCTTTGATGTGTGTGTTATTCTGAAAGAAAAAGAAAGACCGGACACATTCAAAGCTTTTGTAGAAACCGCCCTTATTACTATCTTAAAAATTGATCTTTGTCATCCCCGAGAAGCTGTGATACAGTAAATAAAGAAGAATATGGACAGCCAATTATACTATTATTATTGATATCTTTGTATCTATACACAGTGTATTATAAGCTTCTTTTTTTATATTAATGAGGAAATGATTACTCTTTCATAATATTTCTTTTATGAAGTAAAGAAACTATGTGGTGCGTAAGGCCATTTATGTTCATTGGTAAGAAAGTCCATATAGAAGTATAAATGCATAATGGATACCAGATATATTATAAAACATGATTAAATGTGATTATTTGATATTCTTATAGTGTAAACACCTTTTTATTCTATTTTGATATATAAAGTAGTCGTACATACATTAGATGTGCATATCGGCAATCAGTTACCATTATACCATATTATATTGCATTATCTCTTATAGTGTATTAATAGGTTCCTTTAATATTAAATGTTTTCTTTTCAGGGTCAAAGGCGCCACACAGGAATGCACATAGATATGCATTATTTGTTTTTGTGAGAAAGACTAGTCAAATATAAGCTACGTGGTGGATATAATTTCTTGAATCCGCATATTAAAGGATGCGGTGTGATTCAATTTGTATTCTTGTTTTATTAATGTAGGAACCTTGTTTTATATCTCAAGCATACTTCATTGTAAGCATTTATTCATTATTCACTATACTAAGATAATGTAAAAGTACTTGATGTTTTAAAGCCTTTTTTCAAATTTTAGTTTTTCTCTGTTTTAATTGTCAATCTGTGCGAGTCTTATATTGAAAAATATGTAATATAGATCTTTTGATAGAAAGCAAGAGATATGTATCTATGTCCAAAAAAAAACAGGGTTCATAACCTAATAATAAAAGTCCACCCACAAATTCAAAGCGCATATAGAATATATGGTCTTTAAGGCTAATATCTTAAACGTCTATAGTTAAATGTAAGACGAATAAAGAAGCATATACACACAATATTATACAGTCAAGGAACAACAGGTGAACGTCTAGAATGAATGTGTTTGGTATTAAATACAACCTGGTCTTATTTCATACTCTTCCCGCCAAACATAAAGCTAGTCTAATATATACTTTTTTTTTCCCCACTATTTTTCCACAGTAAATCTCATCTTCATATGTATATTGAATATCCTCACTCCATTTAATTGCTATTATTTCAAAAGACTTTTAAATAAATTATTTATTTTCATGGTAACTTTTTTTTATATATAAAAAAACTTTTATATAAGCCAGCATGGAAGTTATCACAGACTATTATAAGTGGACTTACCATATGTTTGGTACACACTATTTTTAAGTTACAAGGAGGAACTTTTAGGCTAAACGTTTTAGACATTTAGCTTGGTTTTAGTAGGCGTTCTTTAGTCTACTGCAACAGTATTTTGGTCTAAATTGACTTGCTGTTTGTGATGCATTAACCAAACCCAAGGTATACGTACATATATATTATAGTGTTGGCGTAATCTTATAAGCCATAGCTTTGATGTAATACTTGATAATTTTTTATGTTGAGTTCGATTAGTGTATTGTATAAACCTTGAAAAGAATATTTTTATATTTTGGTAAGAGTGGACTTGTATCCAAACGTACTAAACGTTAATTGTGTACCATTAAAAGGCTACTGAATAATATATCCACTTATATTTGTAGAGTTAATACTTCTTATAATGCCTTTAATATCAGTACTCTTGCAAAAATGCATTAAAATTCAAATTGGCCCCAGTGGTCGACCTCTGTTTTCTTGACAATACAAGTAGTATTAAGCCTTCCATATAAATGTTAATGTGGTTGTTTTATGTTATTGCTTTTGTCACTAAAAAATTATGTAAATGTTAGGATGATGTTTATAAATAGCCTTTCTGTTTTTATGTATTATTATAATAGTCTACATCTAAGCCTAATAAGAATATTCAAATGATCTGTATATATCTTATATAAAGTTACGTCCAATTGATATTCTTTTCTTTTTTATAAGATACTTGTTTATTTGCGAGCTTTATCAGGTAACAGAAAGATTTACAATTCAACACAACTTGCCAGTATAAACAATCTATTCTAATATTCTATTGTAGTAAGACGAAAAGGTATTTTACAATCAGAAATAATAATACTATTTAGCACCAAAGATACTAAGGAAAAAAAATGACGTTACAGATAGTTGGACCAAGGAAACGCGTTTTTGGTAGCAAACTTGATCTTAGTTGAATGTTCTTAATCGACAAAAAAAATACTCCCAGTCTTATTTGTTTGTCTGTCTATTCTTCAAAGAATATTACTAATCAGAAATATTAACCAAAAAAAAATGGGAATCGTTCTTTCTATATATTGAACATTAACATGAATTGATTATGTCATCTCTTCCATTTTATTACATCAACAAACTACTTATTACAGTGTTTTTGAGACTAGTAAATACGACTTACTCCCAATAGAGTATGGAAAGGCTTCCCACTAAAACTCGTACTCGTTTAGCTTCATTCAAAATAAATAAAGTAATGTAAAATATAAAAGGCACACTATAGAGAATTTTACTCTAATATATACATATATATATAATAAAATGCTTGTAAAATTGGGTGATACTATAGAACAAAAGTACTCTATCGGTATATGTAATCCAAGTCGATCAAAATCATCTTCTTTATTGACGAATTAATATTAAATTATTAGATTATTTTTTGCAAAAGAAATTCGAAGATTTGTATTATTTGATAAAATGTTATTTATGTAGGTAAATCTTTATCCTGCAAATATCACGCTTCGATATCATAAAAGGCAAGTGGCTCTGAACATTCCCTCCGACAGTTATAATAATCTATGATAATACCTGGTGTAGCTGTATACAAAATCTTTCTCTTTATATACTCTGGAGTAATCTGTCCTTTTTTCAAGCCCATATAATAGGCAGTTAGTCCTACAACATGTGCTGCTGCTGCCGATGTTCTGAAAGGACATATTTTGCGCTCTTGTCCGAATTCCAGGCGGATAGTATATTTTGACCAGGTGCATATAAATCTACACAATCTCCGTAGTTTGAGAATTGTGCAGCTGTGTCGTAGTATGTGGATGCTCCAACTTTAATTGCCCCAACAGCAGAAGGTGGTGAATAATAGCAAGCATTATTCCCGCTATTTCCAGCAGGAACAACAATAGAAATCCCATAATGCGTTCCCTGTGTTTTTATAATTAACTTTTAGCTTTTACCTCACTATATTAAATGTAAACAAGAAAAACTACCTCGTCAACGGCTTGGTTGAATACAAATGAAATCGTTGTGACACAATTTAAGGCTATGATGGCTTCTTTATATCTCCATTTATTAAGAAGAGATTTCTGAACATCGAATGTATGCCTCTTTAGTACCCAGTGAATTCCAGCTATAGCATCTGATACTGTTCTAGTACCATCTTCATCCAAGGTTTTTACAGAGACTAGCTTGGCTTTTTTGGCTACTCCGTATATATTACCTCCAATAATTCCAGCAGAATGGGTTCCATGACCGTTGTCGCCTTCCGAAGAAGAATTATTTAATAGATTTACTCCAAAAGAAGCTCTACCCTCAAAATCATTGTGTTTGTCATAAATTCCGGTATCAAGAATGTATATCTTAACATGTTTGCCGCCGTCTTTTTCGTAAATGTATTCATCAAACGTAAGGTTGTTTAATTCTTCACGGTGTGAGATTCGAGCCAGGCCCCAAGGCGCTTGCTTTTGAATAGATGCTGCTTGTACATATTTATCTTGCTCGATATAATCCACCTGCTCAAATCCGGATATTTTTTTTTTTAAAAAAAAGATCAATTTTGTATTCGTTAAATAACCCAATCGATTTATGTGCTTAATTACCTCTTCATACGTTTGAATAATCCGTATTACATTTGAAGAGAATTTTCCAGAATATCCTTTGAAGCCCCCTATTTCGTACTTGTGGATGATCCCATAATCAAGATTTTGATTAGTGTGGGATATCTAAGACTGTTGGATTTCCTCAATTTCATTGTAATGAATCAATGCTGTTTCTTGGTCTGTTTCTGGTTTGAATACAACTATGTACGCATTGGGAATAGTGGAGAACTGCTCAACCGAGTGTGGTTTCACAGAGTGAGTATTGGATGTATAAGTCGGCACCAATGGAATCTGGGACGGAATATCTTGGTCTGTCATAAGATTAAGATCTCCACTTGATATGCATAATACAAAGTTCAGCAAAAGCAGTAGTATAAGGTGGAGGATCATTTTCTTTGCTTCAAATAATATACCCGGTTAAGAAAGGGTAAAGAAACAACAAAAGTGATTTTTTTATCATTCTGTAAATAGCTTAAATATTAGATTTTAGACATACAGCTAACATATTTTTTATACTGATAAAATCTAGCACGATATATTGAGGACTGTTGGCCAATATCAAATAAGCAAAACAGATTCATAATTAAGCGTAAAAATAAAAGAAGTATATAGGCAGACAGACAATGAAAAAAAAAAGAATAAAAGAATAATGCATATAATGATCAATAGGAACAGTGTAGAATAATCAAAGGGCAATTAAAATAAAGCCTTGGAAACATTACTGATGGGTACCTACCCGATAGAAATAATGAAGCTATTTACTTGCATATGTCGACTTTGACTTCTTGGATATTACAATTTATTAATTTTGAAGTAGAAATTATTGTGCAAGCTGGTTACTACTATTGCGCTGATTTTGAGTTACTCTATTAAAATATAACACAGTTTATCAATCTTGAAAAAATATAAATCAATGAAATGTTGTTTACAGGCATATTTTAACTGGAGCAAAAATACTTTATTTATGCGTGCATAAACTTGCAATAACTGATTTGATCTTTAAATGATTATTTTAAAAGTTTTTGTGCTAGGATGAACTGCTAATAGCTTAAACATAACTTAATCTTGCAAATATTATAGTTTAAAACCATTAAAGGCGATTGGCTTTAAAGTAGAACGCCCATAAGGATCAAGCTCTAATATTACATCCGGTGTAGCTATATCCATAATTTTGCTCTTGATGTATTCAGGTGTATTTTGTCCTTCTCTCATGCTAATAAAGTAAGCAGCCAAGCCTGCTACATGCGATGCTGCCTCAGATGTTCCCGACAGAACTCTTTTTGAATTTTTATGAGAGTTTCCGGCAGATATTATGCTTTGACCTGGTGCGTATATATTCACACAATTCCCATTGTTTGAGAACAATGACTTTTTGTCATAATAAGTTGATGATCCAACTTTGATGGCCGCTGTAACAGAAGGTGGCGAATAATCGCATGCGGACTGGCCATCATTTCCAGCCGGAACAATAATGGTAACACCTCCATAAATTCCCTAGTTATGAAAATAAATTATTAATATCATATTTACTAAAGCATATTTAAAGAGAAATATCGGTTTCTTTTCCTACTTCTATGACGGCTTTATTCAATGCTTTTGTACTAGTAGTAATAAAATTCAATGTTGCCACGGCTCCCTTATACGTATTGCCTTTCAAAAGAGATTTCTGAATATCAAATTCATGACATTTAACTATCCAGTCAATGCCAGCTATAGCATTTGAGACGCTCCCAGTAGCGTTTTCATCCAAGATTTTTACAGAAACTAGTTTGGCCTTTTTGGCTACACCGTATCTTTTTCCTCCGATAATTCCAGCCGAATGGGTTCCATGGCCGTTAGTGTCATTATCTGGAGAGCCCTTTAAAAAGTTTACCCCAAACGAAGCTCTGCCACCAAAATCTTCATGTTCTTCGTATATTCCACTATCCATAATATAGACCGTTACATGTTTTCCAGCATGTTTGTTATAGAGATACTTGTTAAATGTGTTATCTGTTAATGCTTCTTTATGAGAAATTCTGGCTAGTCCCCAAGGAGCTTGGTTTTGTATACATGCTGCTTGTACATGTTTATCTTGCTCAATATAATCCACCTATTAGAGATAATTGATGCGCAAAATACAATAGTTAGCTTTAGATTTTGTTTAATAAATCCAATAACTTTAAGAAAAGTTGGATATTTGCATTACCTCTTCGTATGTCTGGATAGTGCTAATTACGCTTGAAGAGAACTTTCCAGAATATCCTTTGAAGCTGCCTATTTCGTACTTGTGGATGATCCCATAATCAAGATTTTGATTAGTGTGGGATATATCGGACTGTTGGATTTCCTCAATTTCATTGTAATGAGTCAATGCTGTTTCTTGGTCTGTTTCTGGTTTGAATACAACTATGTACGCATTGAGAATAGTGGAGAACCGCTCGATTGAGTGTGGCTTCACAGAATGATTATTATGTAAATGAACTGATATCAATGAACTCTGGGATAAAAGATCCTGGTTTGGCATAAGATATGGATCACCATTAACTATCGATAATACGAAGCTTAGGAGGAGTAAGAAGTGGCGCATCATTTGTTTTGCTTCAAATGAGATATATGGTCAATAAACTATAAGAAAGCAACGCAATTGATGATTTTAAATAGGTTTAGCAATTAAAATACTAAATTCTAGACGTACGGCTGATATAGTCTTTTTGTATTAAAAAAAAACATAGCACAGTATATCGATAGCTTTTGTTCAATATTAAACAAAAATGAAACATAAAAAAATATGAAACAAACATATAGAAAACCAGACAGATAAAGATGAATAGCCAGAAACCAAGAAATAACTCAAGAATGATAGATAAAGCGATTAATAAAAAAAATGTTAAAAGAAGGATCTTTAAAGTATTGGTAGAGGTGTGGTAAATAATTTAATGATTATTCTAGAGTCTAAAGATGTTTTTAGTAAGGAGCTTTAGAGCCTTAGACCTAAAAAGAAATACTAGAGCTAAAAAAATTTGTTAAGAATATATATATATGTAACAGAGCTTGTAAATGTAGAGAGTATCGTAAACACATAATGTGCTACTTATAAGTGTAATTAAATTGAATCAAAATGATTTATTTACCCTGGATTAAACAATCTTCTTTTTAAAAAAAACAAACATATGAAAATTGTGTAATTTGATAAAAGTGTATCTACATAGACATATATCACTCTTGCAAATATTATGTATTTGTTTCATAAAAGGCAAGTGGTTCGAAGTATGAGCGACTGACCAAGTCCACTCTGATGATATCTGGTGTACTTGTGTATATGATTTTTCTCTTGATATACTCTGGAGTACTTTGTCCTTCAACCATACTAGTGTAATAAGCAGCCAACCCTGCAACATGGGATGCGGCAGTAGATGTTCCCGAAAGGACCTTTTTTGAATTCATATCAGTATTCCAGGCTGACAGTATATTTTGACCTGGTGCATATATATCCACACATTCTCCAAAATTTGAGGGTCGTGTATCATGATCGTAGTAGGTCGATGCACTAACTGTAATGCAATTCTTTGCGGAAGATGGCGAGTAATTGCAAGCGTTCCCCATATTATTTCCAGCAGGGACAACAATTGAAATGCCCTTATATGCTCCCTATTTTACAAAAGTTAATTGTGCATCTAATTCCTTATATAAAATGTAATATACATATATATATCTATAAGCTCCTACTTACTTCATCAACAGCTTGATTTAGTGCAGTACTCTTGGTCGTGATAAAATTCAAAGTTGCTACAGCTCCTTTGTATATCCACTTTCTTGAAAGACTTCTTCGAACACCAAATGCGTGGTTCTTGAAAACCCAATTAATTCCGGCTATAGCATTTGATAGTGTTCCAATACCATCTTCATCCAAGATTTTTACAGAGACTAGTTTGGCCCTTTTGGCTACTCCATATACCTTGCCTCCGATAATTCCAGCAGAATGGGTCCCATGACCGTTGGTGTCTTCTTCTGAAGAACAATTTAATAAATTTACTCCAAAAGAAGCTCTGCCATCAAAATCATTGTGCTTATCATAAATCCCGGTATCAAGAACATAGACTGTGACATATTTTCCGCCATTTTTTTCGTACATGTACTTGTCAAATGTAACACTGTTTAGTACTTCACGATGTGATATCCTGGCAAGACCCCAGGGAGCTCTGTTTTGAATAGATGCTGCTTCGATATATTTATCTTGTTCGACATAATCCACCTATTTAAATGCATGTGGTAAATATGTGTATAAAAGCATACAATGCTTAATTTTTTTTTCTGTATTTAATAAATCCACCGTTACATTTAATTTAATTTAATTTAATTTAATTTAATTTAATTTATTTTGAAATTACCTCTTCGTAGGTTTGTATAATGCGTATTACACTTGAAGAGAACTTCCCAGAGTACCCACTGAAGTTTCCTATTTCGTACTTGTGGATGATCCCAAAGTCAAGATCCCGACTAGTCAGAAATTTTTCAATTCGCTGGATCTCCTCAATTTCATCATGATGAGAGAGTACCGTTTCTTGTTTTGTTCCTTGCTTGAAAATTATTAGATAGGAATCAGGGATACTGAGAAATTGTCTAATTGGATCCAGGGTCACAGAAGCAGCTTCTGATGGGTGCTTTGACAGCAATGGAGTCTGGGATGAAAAATCTTGGTCTGTGATAGAGTGTGTTTCTCTATTGGCCATCCAGAATATGAAACCAAATAATATGATTAGGTAGTGCATCATTTTATTTTATTTTATTTTATCTTTGCTTATAATTCTGAGCAAAAAGGTATGGTTAAAGAAAGGTGACAAGAAGCGATATAATTCGTAATGTTTGTTACTTTGTCCTTAAAAAATACTATTATAAATGGATTGAATATTTTGGATTTGAGAGCCAAAAATCTTCAAAGAGCCATGTCTTCGAATTGATAAAATGCATTATGATATATATATATATATATATATACATATATATACATATACATATTAATGGCTCTCAGGTATCATTAAACAAAATTTGAAAGAAAACGCTTGTTATAAACAAGAAATATCCATTAATCATATCAAGGATGTATGAACTAAACAGTTAAAGGAAGAAATAGACAAATGATAAACCATTTGTTAAATATGTATTACATGATAAACATAGTTAGCTAGTGTTGTATCTTCTTTGAGACTGTTGAATAAGATCAACTGCAAATGATTCTTTTTCTTTTTAACACAAAAGCATTTTATCTTATTGATAAACTGGATGAGAAACTGACTTTGTTAAATGTACTAATTAATATCGTAAAACGCAAGAGGTTCTGCACTATGTAAGCCACTGGGATATGCTACAGTGATTGTTTTGTTGGTACTTGTAAGAGAAATAGTCTCTTTGATGTATTCTGGGGTACTTTGCCCTTTTCTCATGCTGGCATAGTATGCTGCTAGCCCTGCAACATGTGAAGCCGCCTCTGATGTTCCAGAATGAACCTTTTTTGCATGTCTGCCAGAGTTCCAAGCCGATAGTATATTTTGACCTGGTGCATAGATATCCACACAGTCTCCAAAGTTTGAAAATGATGTACCAGCATCGTAGTACGTAGATGCTCCGACTGTGATTGCTTCAGTTGCAGATGCTGGCGAATATTCACAAGCATTAACTTTGGTATTTCCTGCAGGGACCACAATGGTAATCCCATGGTAAGTTCCCTAATTATGCACTATAGTTAGCATTCTTTTTTCTTATCTAATTTCACTGGAACATATGCAATAAACAAAAAAAAGTATTCTTACTATATTGACAGCCTGGTTTAATGCAACTGATTTAGTAGTAAAAAAGTTTAGTGTGGCCACTGCTCCTTTGTAGATCGAGTCCAACGGATGGAGGCAGCTTTGTTGGATGTTATATTGATGTGACTTGGAAACCCAGTTGATTCCGGCTATGACAGTCGAAACTGTTCCGGTGCCGTGGTCGTCCAGGACCTTTACAGCAACTAGCTTGGCCATTTTGGCCACACCGTGTATTTTGCCTCCTATAATGCCAGCCGAATGAGTTCCATGACCATCGATATCAATGTCTGGAGAGTTCCTCAAGAAATTTACTCCCCATGAAGCTCTGTCCTCGAAATCTTCGTGTTCCTCGTAAATGCCGGTGTCAAGGATATAAACCGTGACATATTCTCCACCATCATCCTCGTAAATAAATTTATCAAACGTCATGTTGTTCAATCTTTTGCGGTGTGAGATTCGAGCTAGACCCCAAGGTGCTTTGTTTTGAATAGAGGCAGCCTGTACATATTTATCTTGCTCGATATAATCCACCTACTCAAATACAGATAATTTTGTATTCGTTAAATAAGCCAATTGATTTAGTTTTATGTGTTTAATTACCTCTTCATACGTTTGAATAATGCGTATTACACTTGAAGAGAACTTTCCAGAATATCCTTTGAAGCCTCCTATTTCGTACTTGTGGATAACCCCGTAATCAAGATTTTGATTAGTGTGGGATATCTCAGACTGTTGGATATCTTCGATTTCATTATAATGAGATAGTGCTGTCTCTTGCTTTGTTTCTGGCTTGAATACGATTATGTAGGCATCAGGAACAATGGAAAACTGCTCCATCGAATGTGGCCGCACTGAATAAGGCTTGGGTGGATGAATTGACATTAGTGACACCTGGGATGGAATGTCTTGAGCTTTAGCAGGATCTGGATTCCCACTGGCTATCCATAACATGAAGCTGAATATTAATATTGTACAAGGTATCATTTACCCTTGCTCTGAATAATTGTTTGCTTTTTCTTCTGTTTTTTTTTAAATGATTAAAGAAGTAGCCAAACCAAAAATCAATTCAATTCGTCATTATTTACAAAATGAATTGAACAAAGACTATTGTTTTTTTTTCCTTTGGGTTGATAGAATGCATTATGATACATTGATGGTTCTCGGCCAGTATCAAACGAGAAATATATATATATAGAAAATATTTATTATAAACAAGGAGCAATGCATTCAGTGCATAGCAAAGAAAAGAATAAATGGGATACAATAAATAAATAAATAAGATTATGAAATGGTCGAAGAAAGAATAATAATAAAGAAAACATGTACAAGATGATAAACAGGCAACCCCCAGGTGTATTCTTTTCGCTCCATTTTATATATAACGTGTGAATATATATATAATAATATAATAATATATGTACATACAATATCTGGACCCCGAGGTTAGAATTCTGGAAACAAATGACGATGTGGGTCTGCCTGGGCCAGTCCATAGGGCACCGTTTCTTCTGGGTACTTGTCAAAGTTACTAGTATCCCCTTCACCCTGCAATTTCGGGATATAAGGAGGTGTGATCTTTCGGTGGATCAGTTTTTCAAAATCCATTGGCTGGAACCATGGATGTTCGATTATGTCACTACACCCACGTTTGAGATTACCAAACCGATTTGATAGATCCTTGGTTAACAAGTGAGACAGCAAGTCCTTTGCACTAGCGCTAAAGTAACTTGGATAGACCGGCTTGCAAGCTACGATCTTTTCATATAGTTTAAATTGGTTCTCGTCGTAAAATGGTGCACTCCTTCAATATGAATGTCAAGATGTGTATATATGAAATTGTAGATGTTAAAAATAATTAGACCAAGTACCTTCCCTCATACTCTCATACACACACGCAAAATAGTACCGTTAAACAATGAAATACAAAGGGAGATTTTTGGTATCCCCTTTGAATGCTTACCCTACAAGCATCTCATAAATCAGGACACCAAACGACCAATAATCGGCTGGCTTTCCGTACCCCTTTGACTGAATTATTTCAGGTGCTGTATATATATATATATATACACTATTCGTCAACCCCATTCTCTCCTTGTAGAGCGTCTTTATCGGGAATCACAAGAAAGAATCTTACCTAAATAGTCCGGTGTTCCGCACAGGGTCCAGGTTACATCCACGACATGCTTAGCAAATCCAAAATCAGTAATTTTGATGTTTCCTTCAGAATCCAATAGGATATTCTCTGGCTTCAGATCCCGATAGATAATATCCTTGTTGTGAAGGTAAACAAGACCCAGAAGGACCTCTGCAGCGTAGAATCGTGCAATGTTTTCTGAGAATCGCTAAAGAACAATGATAATGAATCAATACATATATATATATATACATAGTAATGTGTATAGGGAAGAATTCAAATATGTATTTTTTTTCTTTCTTTATTTATTTACCTTACTTTTGCGAAGAACACTAAAGAGTTCTCCACCCGGAACATAATCCATTACCATGTAAAGGTTGGCATCGTCTTGGAAAGTGTCCCAGAGGTTGATCAGGAAGGGATGGGAAATGCTCATCAGAATTGATCTTTCATTGCGTGTGTGTTCGACCTGCTTGGATCGGACTACATCGGCTTTTTTAAGAACCTTCAATGCATAGAATTTCTGGTTGAACTTGGATTGGACCAGATGGACACGGCCAAAGGACCCTGTGCCGAGGGTGCGCTGGAGATGAAATGTGTTGAGGTTGATCTGGCAACCAGAAGATGATATCTTGCGACATGTTGTGGGCGTGTTGCTAGGTTGCATATGCGGTACCAGATGCGGTTCCTGTCCCTGCTGCTCTTGGTTCTGGTGGTTCTGGTGGCTGTCATCGATCATCATTGTGTGAGTGGATGCCTCGAGGTGACTGATTTCGTTAGCTAATAAATCCGGCTCGTCGGGTTCAGCACTAGTGAGTTCTTCGAATTTCATTGCGGGCTCCGATTCTTGGCTTGAATTTTTGCTAGCATTATTGTTCATGAGCTCAGCTCCCAGAGATGTCTTGTATGACACATTGGGAGACCGGGGAGGTGAATTTGGGAATGAATGGCCTCTTGGTTGGTTAATGGATAATGGGGCTACATTTCTGTATGTGAGAATGTGTAGTAATGAATGTATTGATATATATATATATATATCAAATCAATGTACTTACGATAGATGTTTACATTTGATCCACTAGTGCGCACAGATCCTTCAGTTGATTCAGTTGGCCCGACTAGATTATGATTTATTTAGTTTTTCGTTTTGGTTTGTTAACAAGATGATATAGAAATTCTAGACTCCATTGACTTTGGACAACACCTTGGATTTTTTTTTCTTTTCTTTAGATCTTTTCCTTTCTTTCTCTGTCTATTTTTGTCTTACCGGCTCTATCTTCATTTGTGTTCCAACTTTCTTCTTTTAAAAAAGGATATGGTGGCGACATTGGACGATAGTTGTTGTAGTACTGATAGTCAATATCATTGCCGTAGTGATCATGATCATGATCATGACCGTGACCGTGGCCATGGCCGTGGCCGTTGCTGCGGTTATCAAAGGTCTGGTTGTGATTGTGCTTTTCCGAGCTATCCCCGCGAAAAGACGCCATAGGGTGTCGTGCTTTGTGCATGATCTTACTTAGGAGTTGAGGCATCAGAGACGAGTAGAGAACGCTAAAGCAAGCTGTTAAATATATATAAATATAAATATAAATATATATATATATTTAAATAAATAAAGTTAAGATAAGATAAGATAAGACAGGATTTAATATTTATTGATCTATATATTATTATTTTTTGGATCTTTTTTTTTTCAAGTACATAAATATATATATATATATATATAATTTATTTATCTATTTTTTTTTTTTTGCTTAGTGCAGAATCAATGAGAGGGGGGTTTAATTCAGTACTCAGATAATGGTGTCACAGTTAAGTAATGCATTTAAGGCTATATATTTTATAATTTTTTTTTTATCCCAATTTATTTATTTTTCTCAAAATTAATACAATCAAATATAATAATAATATTAATATTACCAGGTTTCATGAAAAAGCCACCACCCATGGGTTTTGGTCGTGAAGTTTGCTTTGGCATATCGAGACAATTGAGGGTTTTTTTTTTTTTTTAAAAAAAAAGAAGTTGGTAAAGGAAAAGAAGGGTACTGGCGGTACATGAGCCTGCTACAGCACACCAATAAGCAATGGCAAATGTAGCAGAAATGAAAGGGGATTTGATACAAAGTAAAACAATAATAATTTATTTTATTTTATTTTTTTATTTTTTAAAAAAAAAAGGAAAAGAAAAGAAAAGAAAAAAGAGAGAAGAATTACTGAAAATATGTCTTGGTCGGCTTATTTTGTTCTATTGTCATGGCAATTAGTATTAGTATTGATATCAGTATCAGTATTGATATCAGTATTGGTATCAGTATTGGTTGCTGTTATTGTTGCTTACTATTGCTTACTTGTCATTGATGTTCTTATTGATATGACTACTATTGTTGTGCCGGTTTTTATCTTTGCCGAGATTATTAGTCTGTACTTTATCAAATCCACTTTAGCTTTCTTCATTCGTGTGTGTAGTGTGTATACGTAAATTAGCATTGATGATTGGATAAGACATATTATTATTATTTCTCTCTTTCTTTCCTTTCATCTCTCTCTCTCTCTCTTTCTTTCTTTTCCTTTCTGTACGACAAGGGTTTGGTGCTGTGTGTGTGTGTGTATATCTTGTAGTGTTTAATTTTTAGCTTCTAAATATGAAAATGTTCTTTTAATGAGAAATTATAATAAATTGTAATTTTGTTCTCTTACTTTTACTGTACTGTACTGTAATGTAATGTAATGTAATGTAATGTAATGTACTTGACTTTGTCTTTTTAACCATTACTCAACAGTACGTAAGAAATTATTTCAATTGGTTGCCCACTAGATTCTACTACATTACACTAAGAAACGGTAAGCAAATCGGTAAAAGTAATTGACAGTGTAAATTGTGGATATTGTTAGCTTTCAAGAGTTTTATTTTTGATGGTTTATTACATATATGACCATTTATATAAATATCCATTAGAGTATCTTACATGGTGTGTGTATGTGTGTATGTGTGTGACCGAATTCATGCATATATGCCATATCTCCTAGGGCTATAAGTCACCATTTGTCTTTTTTTTTTTGATTTAAGCATATATAAATATAAAGGGAAAGAGCTTTTAAAAAAGCAGGCGTTGTTAGATCTTGCTTTTATTTATTTAGTATTAAATTTCCTTACCCCTACATAATATTAAAAAAAAACAAGAATAAAAATAATAAAAATCACTATCAGTGGCTCTTACATATTACTTGTAAAATATTAATGATTTATTGTGGGTATTCTCATAAGTAATAAAAATGCTATATATATATATATATTTATTTATGGGTTTGAGTGTAGTCTGTATTGTGTATAGACGCTTTTGATCCCCCATATTATTGGACTCTGAAAATGGGATTTTCATAAATACCAGCAGGTATACCAATGGACCTTTCTTTCTTTCTTTCTTTTTTTTTATGATAGTAATCAATAAACCAGAGCAAGCTATTATATATATATATATATATATACACATAAAGAATCGTGTATGCTTACTGTGGGTAGACCTACAATAATTCAATATATGATTATATAAAAAATCACGCAGTGTACAGTACACGATATGAGTGCCTACTTGGATATTCTCTCAACTTTATGCAATTATATCACCATTCTTTGTACCATTATTATTATTATTAGTATCTTTTGGTTTAAAAAGAAAAGAAAAAAGTTCAAAATTCGACTGGTAGTCCTGAAGATCTCTTTCATTTTTTTTTTAAAAAAAAAGGTAGGCGTATAAGGTTGATGTTATCACCCCAGATTTATAAAAATGGTTATAGTTTATGCACCAAGTAATACAAACTAAATAAATATCAGACTTTCTAATCAACCCAATGCTTTGGGTAACGCCTTTGATATATAATTATATATAAATTACAAAGGGATAATGTTCTCGTTTATTCTATTTCTTTTTTTTTTTTTTTTAAAAAAAAATATTAGGCTTTTAGAGTTATTCGTATCTATAAAAAAAAATGTAAAGATGATTCTGTGATTGACGGGAAACTAGAGACCCAATAAAAGCTCCCTCCCAAAAAAAAAAGAAAAAGAAACTAAAGGCAAAACAAAAAGAAGTGTATAATGAAGACAAAAACAAAACAAAATGAAATGAAATGAAAGACAAGACAAGACAAGACAAGACAAGACAAGACAAGATCCAATTGTTCTTGTAATATTCTTTCTTTTTTGGGGGGTTTTTTTATATAACATCAAGTGTGTGGTACAAATTAATTGAAAGAAGGGGTAAAGGTAGGGTATATAAGAAAGAGAAAGAGGATGAAATGGTTGATATCTATTTGTTCAATCTTAAACCAAAACCAAAATAAGTCTATCTATATGAATATGAAGAAGGGTTCGTGGCGTAGATCCCAAAAGACTAATTAGTAGTATTATTGTCTTTTGGGCGTCTGATCGATCATTTTCGCATTATTAATTCCATCCCTTATTATTGTCTTATATATATATCATAGCAACAGAAAAGTAAAGAAAAAAAATGGCATATTCATGGCATGTAACACCCACAAAACCCATTCATGATATTCTTAGTATTATTAGTATTGGTATTTTTTGTAATTACTAGATGAATAATTCGTGTAGACTTTGACTCTTTGTGATTATAGTAGCTGTGAACTTTTTTTTTATTGGATCAAACCAAATGGTAACTGCATTTAATATATATATATGTATACAAAAAAAAGGGAGATCCTATAGGTTGGTAAAAGAGTATCAGGAGGGATCTGTGAGCCGATTCAATTAATAATGGAATGTGATTGAACTGAACTGACTTGACTTGACTTGGCTGGAAACAAATAGAGTTAGATGAACCAACATCACAATCAATTCAATTCAATTCAATTCAATTCAAATTATAATATAATATAATAGTGTGATCTTCAGGGTTTTTGTTTGTATTTATTGGTGCATATTACTTTCTTTGTGATCTGAAGTGAGCTAAAACTAGAAGAGCCCATTTATTTTAATTTGTTTTCTAATTGACAAAAGAGACAGAGTTTTGTCAATGTATGTGTGCGTTGATTTTTTTTATTTATTTATTTATTTTGACTTTCGATCTATAGCAGAAGAGTACATCAGGGAGAATAAAGGTTGTTTAAGATATAAAAGGATAAAAAGGAAAGGTAGATCTTGAAGTCCACGGTTGACGCCAGATACCAGAAAGATATCATGATAGATAAAGAAATAATTTATATATCAAAAAAGGAGCAAAAAGAGAGAGAGAGAAAAAAGCATAAATCACCAACTGAATTCTCTTTTTTATACATATAACCAGGTCCATTCTACAGTAACTGAAAGAGAAAACAAAATTGAATGGATAATAGGCCTTGCCTGTCTTCAAGATGAGTCGACCAGGCAGATCGGCAAAGTTCTAGATTTAGAAGTCAGGAACATGCATCTTTGGGGAAAACAATAAGACACAAAGGGGAGAGAGAGAGAACAAAAACTTTCTTTTTTTTTTCCTTTGGGTAAACGTGTGCCATTCTGCACTAAAAATAGAAAACCGAAAAAGAAATGACATTTTTACCTTTTTTGAAATGTTATTGTAATGACATACTACTATATATAGATGTCCTATTTATAGAAATACCATTTATAGACCATACTTTAGTATATCACATTCCCGAATTTGTATAGTCTCCCAAAGTATTGTTTTACCCCACAAATCTTGTACACTGCTTTACTTTTTTTTTTTACACTGACTTCATTCAACATGCACACACCTCTACAGATATTATTATACCCACAACTGTCTATATACATATACATATACATATATATGTATATAAGTATTACGGATAATATTACTATTACTATTATATTGGTCTTTCACTAAAATGAAAATAGAAAACAAATCAATAGAATCTCTTGGTTGTAACTTCATGTACATATGTGTTTGAAAATGGCATCATTATAATAATGATCACCTACTACTAATACTAGTGCTAAAACTATTCTTGCTATTACTAATATCTAAAAACAAACAAATCTATGGTATCTTTTAATGATAAATTTAAATCAAATTATTATTATTATTATTATTATTATTATTATTATTATATGCATCTTTAAGCATATAACAAATTTTATAAAATTAATGTCTAGTGAAATTAAAGAAAATACAATATATTTATATATGAAGGAGGGGTGTGTGTGTGTGTGTGTGTGTGTGTGTGTGTGTATAGATAGATGACCATGCGTTCTTTCATGAGTCAATGGGTGTTGGGTTTCTTATTTAGGAAGCCACTAATTACTATGAAAGGAAAATACAGACAAACAATGCGTTTTTTTTTGTTTTATATTTTTTTTTGAAGGTTGAAGATAAAAGATGGAAATTTTGCAGGTTGCAGGTTGCAGGTTGCAGATTGCAGATTGCAGATTGTAGATTGCAATTGTTCATGAATTCCCATCATGTGCCTTATTGGCGCATCACTAAATCAGGAAGGAGGGGATGGTCTACCCACGCACGATAAGTGCTCAGACCATAATTTCCTTTTTATATTTTATTTCATTTCACTTAAATAAAACTACAGCAAAAAAGGCTGGTGAGTTCATATAAAAGCACTGTTGAGATTGACAAGGAGTCCATAAAGAGTCTATCTGTTGTAAACTAAAAAAAAAAAAGAAACTGTATATAGATATCTATCAAATAGAGCGTACTTCTTGAACCCCATTTAGACTCTTTCTATAGTCACCTTCTCTCTTTCTCTCCACCCCTTTCTTTTATATGTATTCTCTGCGTATCGTCTAGCGTGGTGTAATGTAGTGTACTGTAGATGGCCTGGACTTTATCATCCTTTTTGTAAAAGAAAGACAAAAAATTAATACCCCTTTTTTTACTTTTACGTATCTTACTTTTTGTATAATCCCCCCCCCCCCCCTCCTTTCCTCCTTCCTTGCTCCCTTCATCCCCCCCCCCCTCCTTCCTTTGTCCCCTTATTTCACACCTATTATATAATTTTTCTTTTAGCCGCTAATGAGTTCCGAAGGGGTATAAATTCAATAAGTCTCATCTTTATCTTCCTCTTTCTTTAGCTCTCTCTATCTTTTTTTTTTTTAAAAAAAATAAAATAAATAAATAAAAATAAATAAATAAAAAGAAAAGAAAATAAAAGAAAAAAGAATTGAAATCTTCTACCTTTCTTATATTATATACTACCTTTACTACAATGTCTCCACAACCATCTTCACTTCCAAAGGGAACTCGCATCGACAACTATGAGATCAAAGAAACATTGGGTACAGGTGGATATGGTCAGGTTTACCTTGGCCAGCACATCGACAACCCTGACAAAAAGGTCGCCATTAAATCTCTGCAACACTCGATTATGGACGACCGCCAGAGAACCTTTTTACGTACCGAGATTGCACTCCACACACATCTATCAGGACATGCACACATCATCAGCCTCAACCATGTCGTTAAGGAGCGCGATTGGACCCATGTAATGCTCGAGTGTGGTCTTGAAGGCGACCTGTTTGAAGCAATCACGGACCGCAACATTTACTCTGCCAACCACAATCTAATCCGAAAAGTGTTTCTGCAACTCATCGATGCAGTCAGCTATTGTCACGCCAGAGGTGTCTATCACAGAGACATAAAACCCGAAAATATCCTTGTGTTTGACAAAGGACACACTATCAAATTAGCCGATTTTGGTTTAGCCACAACTGATCCTATTTCTAAAGATTATGGTTGTGGAAGTACCTTTTACTTTTCTCCAGGTAAATAGAGAAAAATATATATATATATATAAATACTAATCCTAATCTAAAAAAAATATACATTTTTTTTCTCTCTCACAGAATGTCAGGGAGATTTTGCCCGTGAATCGAACCGAGTCGGCTATGCTACTGCACCAAATGATGTATGGGCTCTTGGTGTGATCCTGATTAACCTAGCAACTGGCCGAAACGGCTGGAGACTCGCTTCTCTCAAAGATGACTCTTTCCGTGCATATCTGACTGATCCTGATTTCCTTCTCAAGATCCTGCCAATTTCTCGAGACATGGCTCGGATCCTAAAACGGATCTTGTGCGTTGATCCCATGCGTCGGATCGGCCTCGATGAATTGAGAGAGCGAATCGAGCGCTGCAAGTATTTCACACGCACTTCAGAAGTTGACGTATATGAAAAGCAACAGGACAAAGAGGCTGCCATGCGTCGCATGCGTTTGTTTGGCACACTCCAATCCAAGCAGCACACTCCTCAAACCAACACATCACCATCTTCGTCTTCGTCTTCTTCCTCCTCCTCATCATCATTATCATTATCATCAGTATCAGTATCACCACAACCACTGCCTCCTTCTCCTCCGGCAACCCCTTGTACTTTCAGATCGAGGTCTCCAGCCGGAACAAAACCATCTACTGTTGTGCCAGCCACGCCTAGTCCATTCACACCAAACACCACAAATGATGCTCGTCTTTGTATTAACTCAGATGGCACAGACAATCTCTTGACAGGACTTGCCACGTTGGTAGTCTAACCTTCTTTTTCTTTATTTTTATTTTACTGCCATTACCACCCGTCAATTCTACCAACAGAATCCCTCTGTCTCTCGATTCAAGTATTACCCACCATATTATTCTTCCTTTTCTTGTTGCTGTTATTGTCGATAATCTCGTCTTTCATTCTTGAATGAGAGAACAAAACACAACGATACACATCTTTTTCTCTATTATTATTACTATTATTTTTGTTCATTTCTTTTTCTTTTTCTTTCCAGCCTTATGCCATCTTATTCTTCACTTTTTCTTCTTCTTTTAATCCACATCCACAAACGCTGATTTAATCTACGCCAGTTCAAATAGCAAGGTTGAGCTTTGTTTTCATTTATATATATATATATACACCTTCATATCTACACTCACAATTATATACATACACTCTCACATACATTAACACTATGCTTTATCCTTCCTCCACCTCCTCTCAATTTCCCTAACCTTTGAACCGCCCCCCTCTTTTCTTCTTTCTCTTTTTATATATATATATAACATTATTACAAAAAAAATTCATATCTTATGGTTATCCCTTTCTTTTATATTTATGTAAAGCATAAATACCTACTATCTTTCTCTTTCGTTGTACACAGTTTTCTAGTTTTATTCTCTTGTTTGCTCTTATTTATATTTAAATATATACTTAGATATAGTGTTTTTGTTCAATATGAATCGCATTGTTTCAATAACCAAAATAAAATAAAAAATAAAAAATAAAATAATAATAATAATGACAATTTCATCAAATTCAAACCACCAAAGAAACTCAAAAAATATTAATGTAAAAAATTAAAAAAAAAGACATATTTTCTTTTAATGTTTAAGGTGCATTGTGCAGTGTGCAGTGTGCGTGGGAATCAATAAAATTCTTTTTATATTTATACATTTTTTTAATATTACTCTCACACTCTCACTCATACTTGCTCACATGTAAAGGAACAGGCGCTTTTATTTATTTATTAATTCATTTATTTGTACTTTAATGTATATAATGTGTGTAGTGCATATAGTATATCTGTATGTGTGTGTGTGTGGGGAGAGGACTTTTTATTTATATATATATAAAAAAAAGATGTTTGACTTTATTCGTGGCTCCTTGTGCCTTGGTTTATTTTTATTTTATCTGGCTTTGCCAAACTTTGTCAATAGCCTGTAGGAAACCATGGTCAAACTGCCACACCTGAGCAGCCAATAGATCCAAGCCGGATTGATCTTTGTATATCTCCAGCAGAGGTTGCACGAACCCTATTTGACTCTGATTCTGATTGACGAATCTTTGAGCCACGTCGAATCCAATCCGGTATCCATCTTGAAACAAACCAAAACATTCTATCACTTGCTGAGAAACCCCACCGGGCTGGCCAGTCCAGTAGTCTCTATGGTTCTCAAATGCCTCATCTAGCCAGCCCTGTTTAAGACCACTGAGTCGATTTAAATCAAGAGAACACTGGCTGGTATCAACAGAACCACTGGCTAGTATCTGGTGCTCTTGACAGTATACAAAACTCCAGAACCAGGTGTCATTACCGGCTCGATAATTCCAGTAGAAATTTCCTGCACTGACTTGGTCCCACACCTGTAGTTCGGCTTTTCCAAAATCACGCATCACATTGGCATCGTTTTCGTGGGCAGGAATCGACTGGTGGTTCAGAACAACAGACCACTCACCGACCACCAGACACCCGGCCAACTGATCCCTGGCTCGCCCGACGCGATCTCTGACCAGTGTTTTTAGATCCTGTGTGTGCTGAAGAGCTGATCTGGCGTGGTCTCTGGGGGTGTGACAAAAGTACTGGTGTGTATCCATGACAATAAGTTGCCTTGGTTGCCTTGGTTGCCTTGGTTGCCTTGGTTGAATGTTGCCTTGGTTACAGTTCTGGTCGTACAGGCGGGACTGTAACCATTGAGTATACTTACCATCTGGATTCCAGCAATCAGATATGTACAATGGTAATCCGATTGTGTCTGGATAGCTAAGCTTAGTCAATGCCCTTTCATAAAACTGCTCAAGACTCGGGTGGTCAGTCGGTTCATTCAGGAGTTCCAGACCGACAACGTTGTTGATCTTTACCAGCGTATGGGCAAGTGTACAGAGCACCTCTAGGGTAACCTCCTGATAGTGGGGGTTGGTGAAAAACTCGGCCCGCCCGGTCGATACCCCACAGTGTGTATCTGAATTTTGACCACCTACCAACCAACCAACCAAACTTGGATTAAAAAATTTTTTTGTTTTTTTTTTGGTCTATATAAAATATTTTATATATATCAATAGAATATTAATCATTAATCAAAAGAAACATATAACAATAGCAATAACGCAAGCAAGCAAGCAAGACTTCTAGAAGTTTCTATATATGTTATATGTTATATGTAAATATCATTATTGTTATGATTAATATTTAATATTACAAAAAAAAGGTAGAATGAATTAAACAACGTCAATATACATATGTATTTATGTATTTTACCTGGTGCTCCATGTAGATCAACCAAGACGCCAATACCGTATTGGGCAGCCATGTGAATTGTACGTAAGAACCAATTCCAGGCAGAGTCATAGACACCTTCAAATGATGCGAACGGTGGGACCAAAAGCGAGCGTTGTACGATCCAATAGCCGATTGGAAGTCTAATTGTGTTGATTCCTTTGGAGGCTAAAATGGCCATGTCATCTTGAGTGACATAGGTCTCCCAGTGGTCCTCTAGGATTCTCCTAGCCTCTTGTGGGGAAGAGCATGATTTCAAGAAATCGTGTTCTGATTCCCAGCCCTTTGCGGCCGGTACCTGTTGGCACAGCTTAAGGGGGCACAGCCAGCGCTCGAGTATGAATACACAGCCGAGATTGACACCGATCTGACGGCGGTACCGGTAGACCTGAGCCACGGCTGGATCAAACGGATCAAAGGTTGGTGGACTAGGTATGTTTGTCGACAGAGGCAGACAGGTTGACGAGGAAGTATCATTTGGTTTTTTGAGTAGTTTGAAAAGAGAATGAAGACCCATCTTTCTTTCTTTCGTTCTTTCTTTGTCTTTGTATTTGTATTTGTATTTGTATTTGTAAATCGGAACAAATATACGATAAAGACATGCTTGCACGTATGTACACACATACATATATATATATATATATATATATGTATGTATGTATGTATGTATGTATGGTAATTAGTATATCACCCAAACCAATATGTAATATATTTGTAATGTTTATTGACGGGTACAAATCAAATGAACTGATGATAAATACCTTGTTGCAATAAGATAAAGATAAGTAAGAAGAAGAAGAAGATGAACACTAGCAATACTACCACCGACACTGACTTTGACACTGATACTGATAATAATGCTATATAGATATAGATAGATATATGTATTGGGTGTTTTGAGTACAAGAACAGTAGTAAGATCTACACATGATTTGATGTGAAGCACAAGAATAAATGTGTGTGTAATTTTAAGACATAGATAGATAGAAGATAGATCTATATAAAAAAGCAGAACAGACAGGACAAACAGAGTTCATGATTACCCCGCTCTCAATAATTTCTTTATTTCTTGTTCACAGCTTTGGTTTCTTGTTACTATTTAGTAATAAGAGTACTAATCTTTACTAGTTTGACACGATGTATTACTATCCAAGATGACGATAAAGAAATGCGTGTGCGAATGTAAAGATAGTAGTAGTAGTAGTAGTGATTATATCTGTTCTTTTGATTTGCATTCCCATCTAGCCTGACAGCCATACCTACTTGAATAAAAATGATCCGCGGCTTTTGGTATGTTGGTTTTACAAATAAATATATATATATATATATATTGATGTATTTCAGTAGTGATAATGTATACCATATGTGTTTTGTATTATATAAAGTACAAATATTTTCTTTTTCTTTATTGTGATTATTTGATGCCCTTTTTAATTCATTCATTCACTCATTCACTCAATTTGCTTTGATTATCTGCTCTTTCTTTTTCTTTCTTTTTTTAAAATATATATATATATATATTTCTAATACCATGTATGCTACACAATGCGGAGATGAATACCAAGCATGTGAAGTAAAAAGATGTAGGACGAGGTGTCACTATTGAATAAAGCGTCGTGCACGTGCAAAGACATTTCTTGAAGAGGAAACAATATACATATATATTTATTTATTTAAAAGAAAAGAGAATGCTTAATAATCTATCGTCAATAGGTTGAAATTTTCATTTATCAGTAAAGAATTTATTTGAACCAATAAAATAAAATATATTATATTATAATATAATATAACATAACATGTTGAAATAAAGAAAAGCAAGCGCAAGAAGAATAAAATAAGAAAAAAAGAGAGTTGATTGATAGATAGATAGATTAATTGAAAAAGGGATGTGGGGGACTGGCTCTAAAGAATCACATGATAAGACAGCAGCACCAAGAAATAAAGAAAGAGAGGGAGGGAGAAAGAGAAAAAAAAAATCAGATACAAAAAGAGTCTATTTTATTGCCACCTTTATTTCTCTCTCTTTTTCTCCTCTTTCTTCCTTGAATCTTATAAATAACCTTTCTTCTACTCTTCTCTTTATTTCTCTTCCCTAACAACCACAACAACAACAAGCTCAAACTCACCTTGACAAATGTCACCCATCGCACCAACAACAGCTTTTATTATTAGACATGGAGAAAGAATAGGTATGTATTTTGTATATATAAATGTATGTATGCATATATGTATAATTTGTATGTATAATGTGTATGTATGTATGTGGGTATATACATATATTATATAGATAAATATAATTTCTTATAATTATATAATATAAAGTATAAAAATATAGAGTATATTCAAAAATTGCTTAAACTCGATAAGCCAATTAATCATCAAAGCTATCTAGATCATGTCAACAAAACATGGCAACCTGATCCAAGAGATGGTATCTGGGACCCTCCCCTGTCAAGCATTGTAAGTTTATACATTACATTACATTATATTGTATTGTATTGTATTGTATTGTATTACATTGTACTAGATATATATATTCATTATCTAATCAAATCAAATCAAATAGGGTCATAAACAAGCAGAACAGACAGGCTCCCGACTGATGGATCTTCTTCTCGATCGTGGCATAAAACCTCAAAAAGCTCTAATTGTCATCTACACATCCCCTTTCCTTCGTTGCGTCGAAACAGCAATCGGAATAGCAAGCGGAATGGCCAAATACAACAGCAAACTAGAACCAACAAGAGAAAAAGACGATGTGATTCTTATGAAAGACATCCTGATGGACGCACAACCAGATCACGGATCTCTGCTCCGACCCATCCTCCGTCTGGATCTCGGGTTGGGCGAATGGATGTCGGACAAGTTCTTTCACGAAGTCTGCCCGGCACAGGCAATGATCAACCGTCGACAGGAGACCCTGGCCCGTCGTCAGGCCATGACTTATGCCGCAGCAGCACACCCTCACAGACTATTCCCTAAAGGGACCCTGGAAACCCTTCCTCCTCTTGTCATTGACTACGGTCACCACTCTCTCTGCACCGAATTCAACTATCCCGAAAGCTACCTAGAGATGATCGACCGGTTCGAGGAAAGCCAGAGACACTGTGTGGAGCGGGCTACATTGGGCCTGCCCGTCAAACTAGAGCCTGAGACGGTTGTTGTGCCCGTGTTTGTGACTCATGCAATCGGTGTCAATGCTCTCTTGGACAGCTTTCGAAATCAACCCACTCGACCTGTTGAGACCGGATACTGTGCAATTGCATGCGTTCAATCAAATCACATCAACACCCATGGTAACACAAATGGGTTTCGGGCTACGATGAATAACGGAAGCCTTATTAGCAGTAGTATGAGCAGCAGCAGCAGCAGCTATAGTAGCAGCAGTGGAAGTAGTGGCAGCGATCAGAGTGATGGGGATCTAGACGAGGATGAGCCGCAATACGCTGAAATAGCAATGCCGACAATAATGTCATTCAAAAACCGATGGACTGTCAACATGGCTGTGTCCAATTCTCACCTTCAAGATATCTGTTAACCATAAAAGAGCCAAAAGAAGGCCTTTTTAATCAAATCACCCGCGCCCACAAAAGAAAGAAAGAAAGAAAAACATACGCACACATAACGACGATAAACAAAGGACGACAAACTTCTTTGCTTTGCTTTTTTCTTCTTCTTCTTATCCCCTTTCTTCTTCTTATACATACATATTTACTCTCTGTTTTCTTCCCCTTTTGTTTATACATATTTTAATATTCTTTTTCTTTAAACCTCGCACCTTTTACATAGTTTCTCCTCCTCTTCTCTTCTTGTAAAGAATTACAAATACAAGCAAATCTATTTACATATGTATCTATCTATCTATCTATATATATATAGGTAGGTAGGTAGGTAGGTAGGTAGGTAGTTGGATATACAAATCAATAGTCCAATATATATCTATATCTATATTTATTAAAACGACATTCATTGTTGATATGTGGGTATTTGATCTCCCCACATGGATATTTCCTAAATCAAGTAGACTTCCTTCCTTAAGAAGCTTTGACAAACACCATAAATTATGTCGTGACAACAAGAAGAATTTTTCTTTGTTTTCTTTATAATTTAAATTTAAATATAAATATAAATATATTTTTATACTTGAACGACAACACAAAATAAATGAATAGAGCATTTTATTATATATATTTTTTAAAATAATAATAATGAAAAATGAAAAATATGCGATTTTCTATCCAAGCAAAATAGTCGCAAAAAAAAAACTTAAATATAAATATAGAAAGATAGAAATTCTAGATAATTCTGTAATTGGGATATGCTTTTATTAAACTAGTTCTCAATAATAGAGAGTTAAATGAGATACTTCTTTATAAATGAACAAGATGATATAATATTAATATTAACTTTAAATACTATGTAATGTAAGCAAAAGAGGTTTATTTCCTTATAATAATAATAATAAATATTAATTAATTAAACATGGTATGGTTTGGTATATATAGGTTTTATATTCAAATCGTTTCAACTAATCCAGTACCTCGTTTCTATCTTTTGTCATGACCTGTGATCCTCTCTCTGTGTGTGTGTGTATACATTAGGGTTAATTATTATCCAATTGGTTCAACCTAGATTGTTTTAATACTATCCGTCCGTACTCATCATTTAAATCTTACTTGACTATTTAAGTGGTAAGAATAAGGCAATATCGACACATAAACATACACATTTTTCTTTATTTATCTATTCTATGAAACATGCTGTGCATATCTGCAGACCTACTGCTTAGAGAAAGCGTTTAAACTCTTTAAGGCTTTCCGGAGTTGGAGCCGATTAGGAAAGAAGTATAATTGTGCCAAGTATTATCCTTTTTATCAACAACAACAACAACAACAACAACAACAACAACAACAACAAGAGTAATGTATTCTGAGAAAATACCTAAAGCCATGTATATAAATATAATGTCTTGCTTGGATCTAAAGACCATATTCGAATAGCCAAAAACCAAAAAATAGTGGCCTGACAACTTTTTGGTTTTTGTTTTTGTTTTTGTTTTTGCTTAGTTGCTATCTGCTGCTTCCTGTTGCTGTAACCCTAGAGTTTTTTTTTTCTCCTTTGTATTTTTCTGCAAATTAAATTAGCCACACCCACATACAGGTCCACCTAAATCTACATCTACATCTACATTTAACACACATAAACACACACTCATTATACACTACAAACTACATACATGTTCACATACGCATGAGTTGTATTCTATTCAACATCATAGTATTGCTGTTAATTGAACGATTCCCCCCCTCTTTTATATAAGCAAGAGCTTGATTAAAATTGGCCACTCTGGTCAAAGCTATACGTATTATAATACTATAGTCACAATACTTTGAGGTTGTATTACCAATCATGCATAATAGCTGTATGAAGCTGGGATGTGCAGTGAGATAGAAAAAAAAAGATTGTCATGTCCGTAAGATATGTAACTATGAAAGGAAGCTAGCCTAACAGCTTAAACGACATATGGTAATGTGTTGGCATAGTAACAACAATACTCAAAATTAAAAAAAAAAAAAGAATGGTTATGTATCATAAACGTCAAACGCAAAACAAATATAAATAAACAAATTACTAATTGATATCATAAAAATCATTATTAAATGCCTTATGATCTGGAACACACTGTAGTAATATCTTCTTGTTCTTCTTAAGAACTAAGAGATTGTCAAAATAGACGTTGAATTAAAGATGAATCACAATGACGTTTGAGCAAAATAAACCAAAACCAAAACCAAAACCAAATAATAAAACGTTAGTGGCCAGTGCATCATTCCTTGTTTCGATAAGCTAATACTATAGTATTATTATTATTTTCTTTGCTGTACCCACCATCAGCAAAGTAAAAGCACTCTCTGGTAAAAAATCAATTACGTTATATCAGTCAGAATATAGAACAGACTGTCATATATATATCTATGTATTGAAAATAATCAGGTACTCAAGCAATATTTCAAAGCACAATTATCCAAAAAAAAAATATATCGAATCAAGTCCAAAGGGGAAAGAAAAAAGAAGAGGGGGATTGGGGTGCTGGGGTGCTTGTTTATTCAGAAAGGTTTCCTCCGCAGGTACTATTAATTCAACGCATCTTTTTTTATTCTTTTAAAATATATATATATATATATCAAGTCATCTAAAGTAACGTGCTATTTAAGCTAAAAAATGCTTATTAGGTTATGATTATGTGGTACCTAGAAAAGAAGCAGAAGCAGAAGCAGAAGCAGAAGAAGAAGAAGAAAGCTTGGCACTGGTTGTTGCGATTTGTAAAGAGAGTTAAAAGGGGCGGTTTCACCAGTTTTAGATTATTAACTTTTTTTTTGATATAATGATTATTGTTTTAATATATATTATGTATATATAAAATGAATGATTAGCAGAAATTAAGCTTAAAAGAGACGGAGATAAAAGATAAAGAGTCTCGAAATTTAAGCATATTTTATTTATATTTCGCCAGAAAATATCCAATATTACAGGATACTTATTTGTGAATTTACCTTTACCTTTACTTTTATCTTTATCAGTCCTTGTGTATCAGTATATTGAATACCAAGATCGCCCGACTCTCTTTTCTTTACAGGCAATAGTGTTTCTGCAAAGATGAATTTTGATCCTCTGCATCCTCGGATAAGTGTTGAGCTGGTACATGCTCGCACATGCTCAATAGGAATCCCAAATATATATATCCAACAACTTAACATCCAGAATATACAATCAGTGCCTCATTTTCCTCTAATTCCTAGTTATTCTGAGCAGTATTTATCACAAAATCTACAATAGATCCTATCATATACCTACATCTATGTCGTTTTTATTTTGATTAATTAAATATTAAATCTTAAGATTAGTAAATAGAATATTCCATCATTCTTTACTCACTTGACACCAAGCAGATTTAGCTTTATCTATCTATCTATCTATCGCCTCTTCTGTTCTAGATATCGCAAAAAAAATCGTAATTGATTAAATCTTGGGACTGCCACAACATTAACTCCTCAAGAATATGTACTTCTTTACATACACACATACATTTGAATGTATGTTTTATAGCCTTGGCTTGTTTGGATATGAATGTATATATTTAATATGATGAATAGAGTTCCACACCAATGTAATAATAATAACAATACTAATACTAATACTAATAATACAATTCTTAGATTGGATACTGGAATATTATTGAATTTACTGGTCCACTTTGGTGGACGTTAATAAAGGATTCTTTGCCTTTTTCTTTTCTTTTGTTTTCTTTTTTCGAAGTAAAACAATCAAATCAAATCAAACGGATTTACCGTGCTTTCTACGGAAACGTTCGATCATTTCAGATACAAGTGATATAGAGTCTGCTCCAAGGATATAATACGACACATTCCTAGTTGAGCTAAACATGGTCGTGTGAGCAGTCACCTCTGAAGAAGCATTGGAAGAGACTGGTACAAAATAGTGGGATGTTTCATCAGGTGGTAAATCAATAAATGTCCTTGGTTGATCACCAGTAGAAGGCAACTTAAAAGCCGAGCCGAGCCAAACCAAACCGATACACAATATAATATGAATTAATATAAATAAATCTATATAATTATTTTATCTAGTTTACCTGTACATAGAAGCATTTAAATAATACATCATCTAGCTCTATAAGACGAGTGACTCTACAAAATCCAATCCAATAATTAAGTAAATATTTCTTTCTTTCTTTCTTTAGTATTCTATGCATTTACCTTTCTTCACATCCTTGTGTGTCGATCAAAGTATTCACAAATTCCAGATGATCAAATGCTTTATTGATTCCATTCGAAATCAGCTCTCGGCCCACATAGGCAGCAGCTCCTATTGCTGCCACACCCACAATTCCAGCAAATAATCCCCATCCGGAAGACGAAGACGAAGACGAAGCAGTCCGGGCCGTAGCTTTGACTGCTGCTTGAGCTGTGTTTCCGATTTGTCTCGCATTAGCTGTAGAGGAAGATGAGCTGCTGCCTTGAAGAAATCGACTGGCCTGGTCTGCATAACTAATGACTCTGGAAGACACATACTTTACGTTGACAGAGTAAAAAGGTGTATCATAAGCCAGTAAGCCCACAATAAAAGCTCCGTCTAATGGATCGTCAAGTCTTTTCTTGAGTCCCAAGATAACCTCTGCAGCTAAATAACCATAACAATAAGAAATGTATATATATATATATAAAAAGAGAAAGAGAGCTAATTTTTTTTTAAGAAAAATAAATAAATTCTTACAGACAATTCCACCCATCGAATGTCCAAGCAATGCAACCATTAGTCTGCCTTTACCACCCCATGCTTTCGATTCTTTTTGTCGAGTATTAACTTGATCAATCAGCCAGGTGGTCAGGTCCTGGACAGCTAATGAGATATCCCTACACTAGAACAATTCGCATTTAGAATGTAATATAATATTTGAATAGCACGTCTATCGATTTACCCCATTGTTTTGTAGCTGGGATAAATAACGGCATCAACATCGACTTTGTGAGTATTGGTAAGGATTGTACGAATTCGATTGGGGAAATCCTATAATGGTAATAAAAAAGAAGAAGAAGAAGAAGAAAAAGAAAAAATAGTGAGTTACTATGGAAACCACATTTTGTTTTATTATTATTATTTACCTCAAAGCTAGTATCAGATCCATGGAAACCATGAACAAAGATGAGCAATAGTCTATCTGCATGTTCCGGTTCACTCATCTTTTAATAAAATTAAAAATAAAAATAAGGGGGTGGAAAGGAAAAAAAGATAGGAGTTTTATTTATTTTTATATTAATATTTTTAAACAAAAAGAAAAAGAAAAGAAATGATCTTGCAAATTGAGACGACAAAGAAGCCAAACAAAATTCGTGCTTATACATTTTGGTTTCTTCAATAATGAACCATTATAGTTCGTTGATATAACTTCCTCATGACCTCTGTATCACACTTTTATGTCTTACTCTTTGACATCAAAAAATATATCTCTTTCTCTCGTATTTTTGTTTGGCTTTGTTAAATAATCAACCTTGTCAGGTTAAGTCGAACGTCTTGCCCTTCTTGTTCTTTATCATTTAATATCGTTTTATTCGCACATAATATTAAAATTAATCTTCTAAAGTTATATTGAGCTTGTAATGGTTTTGTAATTAAGTCAAGAGCTTATTAAATTGATTGACCACTTGTTATTTAATAACCAATTAAATATATATATAAAAAAAAAACAGGTGTATTAAAGGATTATCTTCTTCAAGATATTTTCTATGGTTAACAAAACCTTAATTTTAACTTGTAGACTTGGGTTATCTCTCTATTTAATAATAGTCATAGTAATATCTTTTTTATCATAAAAGAAGTATTATTATTAATTATCTCTATATACAAATTATTTCGAAACATTTTTTGGTTTTTAATTTTTTAAAAAAAAAAAGTCTATATTTTAACCCACCAGAATCAAGTCGAAATATGATTGGCCAAAGTATGTATCTAGTCCCCCCAGTTTTACATGTCCCCCCAATAATGTTTTGCCTATTATGGACAAAATTCGCCCCGTATGACAAAGTATGATTTTGGAAGGAATTTTCCCAAAAACATCTCTGGTATTGAAATACGTAGACTTTTATTGGCCAAATCAAACATACTTCTATGTTTGGGAATAATTTGTTTGTCGGCAAACTAATTCAGCCAATGAATAAAAATAAAAGTCCTCCATTTGGGCAAAATTCGCCCCGTATGACAAAAATACAATTTTAGAGGAAGTATCTAAAAAAAAGTTCTGGTATTGAAAACAATGAATTACAATTGGCCAAAATCCAAAACAAAATTCTATTTTCGGGCATATTTTCTGTTCGGCAAACTAATTCAGCCAATGAATAAAAATAAATGCTCTTCATTTGGGCAAATAATTCGTCCCGTGTGACATAAGTCTATTTTTAAAAATAAAACGCTTAAAAAAAAAAAAAAGTCAGGTATTAAAATAAAGAGTGAAGTTGAGTTTTTTTTTTTGGTTTGTTCATAATTTCTTTTTTCTTTTTCTCTATTAAATTCAATTAAAATCTTCATCGTTATGTCTACACTAAAGCAGCGACATTCAGAAATATTACAAGAGACTCTCAGATATAGAGAAAGGTAAAATTATAGGATTTCATCTTGTAGGAATGGCTGATGCTAACATTTGCAGTCAGAGGCAATGTTCCAATAAAGACAATTAGCCGTCTAGTGACAAAATACGAAACACCAGAATATGCTGCTTACAAGAACGTTTTTGATAGAAGCAAGTGGATCCCAACTAGAGAAGAACGCTAGCTTACTTGTGACACCAACCTTCTGAGGCATATGATGACTTGCGTTGATCCAAAAGAAAAAAAAAAGCAAGGCAATGGAGGATCATTCATGGTTTGGGGATACATTTGTTCAGAAGGGAAAGGGTTACTTGTATTTCTAGATGACAACATGAATGGTTCCAGGTACATTGAGACTCTTGAAAAGCACATTTTGTCTTTTCTTAGCAGTCATCTAGTTCCAGAAATTTGCACGTATATCTTCCAAGACAATTCCCTAGGACACAAGGCCAAGGTGGCAATCACATACAAGGAATGCATTAGGTTTAATGTCATGAACTGGCCCAAACAGACTTGACGTAATCTCGATAGAGAATATCTGGGCTCACATCAAGGACAAAGTACGCTCTTCAAAATTCCAAGCTCAAAGCTTGAAGGAGCTGAAGGAGTTGGTCCAGAAAGAGTGGGATGCTACTGACTTAAACATATGTCAGACTTATTGTTTAAACATGGAGAACTGCTTGGTTGCTTTAGAAAGCAGGGATTTGAAGCATACTTTTTATTCTTATTATTATGTATACAATCCGTTTTACTAGATTATCTGTGAGAATTAGAGCTCTAAAATACTGGCATGTGTTTTATTATGCGTTTAAAGATAAAGAAATCCGTGTTATAGAAAAGGTATTGTAAATTGACAAAAGATATGACTACCTCCTGTATTTTTTCTCGTCTTCACCTGTCTACTGCTATTGCTATCAGAACACATTGTGGTAATCATTTTTATTTTTTACGGCCATTACTCGATTTTTAATCCCTTTTTTGCTTTATAGGCTGGTATCTTTTCTACTCCGAGAAATACATATAACGCTCTTTTGGCCAAGAGTTTTGTTGAAATCTGTTTATTTCATCTTTATTTTTAGTACTAAATGCAAAGGAAAGAACAGTCATTTGATATGCGTTTAAGTGGAAAGTTTTACCTCTGGAGGATATAGTATTTATTATAGCACAAATGTATTGTCTAAAGTACAAAGTACCAATATTTCTATTGTTCGTACGATTATCAAAAAGAAATTCTAATCGATCAAGCCGCTCAGTAAGCACTTATGGTATTGCTAAAAGTCTATTTATTTCTTTCAAAATATCTGTAGATATTTAACTTTGATTAAGCCACAGAATAATAATAAAGTATTTGTGAGAGTCTGCATAGAAGGACTAGCTCTTTTTCAGAGGTCTATTTATATTCAGATACTTGGAGTTTATATGCAAGTGGGAGAATACCTACTATATGTATCCTGAAGAGTATCTTGATTTTTTGATAATTCCCACGTCCACTTTTACTTTCACTGTATAAACACGAAAAGCGTGTAAATTGTTTTTTTTCTGTTTCGTTCTATTAAATCTTGATGAATTTCTGTTTATAGTCGAGTTTTAGTTCTACCATGATAAAGCATATTTTGCTATTTTACGATATATCTGTTAATGCAGGTTATTTTTGAAGCTTTTTTCTTTTTTTCTCTATAGAGGCACTATATATAGAAGGATTCTTATAAGCTAGTAGATATTATATTTAGAAGACGAAGAAATAGAAATAAACCCAAAGACACATTTGGGTACATCCTATTGATTTTTATGATTTTATCAATCTATAGAGTCCATGTCTTTCGATAATTAGAAACAAAAATAGAATCTCAAAAAGAAATAAGATATTTACAATGGTAATTCTTGTATTATTTCATATTTTATTGTCATTATTAGAACAATGATACCAAGATTAAATTCCCAGGCGAAAGGAGAAAAGTAGAAAGAAGAAGAAACTTTCTTACGTTAAACTTTGAGCATGCCTCAATTCTGTAGATCGATAGCCAAATGAAGAAGAACAAGAAGAAAAATACATGTAAAAAGATTTTTTTGTACTCTATATATTTGTAGAAATGATCGATTTTCATTATAATTTATTTATATATATATATATAAATGTTGGAAGAACAATAAGAACAATTTACTATCAAAATGTAATTGTTACATGTCAATTGCCTGAATGAATTTGAGGTAAAGAACAATAAGACTTAAAGACATAATTATAATGATAATGAAAAAGAAAGAAATTTAGATGAATTTCAAAACTATCTGATATGGTTTTGATTCTTGATGTATACTTATTGTTCAAAAATTAGCTTTTTTTTTTCTTTGTTCTTTTTTGTTCTTCCCTGGTTTAATTTTGTGGAATTGTTCATTATTGACAATCAGAATATTTTATATGTACGGCAAATGTGTCAAAAGTTATGACAGAATTATTTCAAGAAAGCGCATTTTTTTTATATTTACAGAAATAGCAATTGAAATATGATATGATGTGATGTGAGGTGATGTGATTTCATTTGATTTTATCGTATTTAATATAACAGATATATATATATATATATTGGGATCATATACAATAAGGTACCCCGCATTTTTCCTTTTTTCTTTTTATTTTTTTACTTGACACTTTGACATGATAAAATGGGATCTTTCTGGCCGTTGTGATATATATATACGTGTGTGTGTGTGTGTGTTTCTGCTTATGAATATGAATATGCATATGAATATGTGCGGGTGTATTCCAATACTTTCCAATGACATTACCCAACTATGATTCACTAGATAAGTAATAGTAATAATAGTAAAACAATCTATTCAATTGATAGCACATACACTAATATAGCTTAACCTTCTTTTTTTTCTTGTTGAATAGATAATTCAGCTATCTTTAAAACCAAAACCCAAGAAAAATAAAATCCCAAGAAAAATAACAATAAAAATAAAATTCCCATCTTTTCTTTAATGTCCCTATTGTTGATATGTGATCTTCCATTGGATTTCTGTATATCCAAAGCCAAAGTAACAATAGTAAAATATTCTAAATCTTTCCCAAATTTCTTACATGTATATGCATGTATAATTATTGATATCTATTGAATGATTAAGCGCCAAAACCAGAATACCAAAAAAAAGAGCCTCATTAATTCACATACTTGCTTTTTTTTTATATACATTATTATTCTTACAAAACATATACCTAACACATGTTTATAATTCTACCTTTATTGTATTGAGCAGTATCTTGTAATAAGCAAATCGATTGGACTCACTTGGACCTGTTTTAATTATATCAACAACCAATTGAAACAGTGATATAACAATGTGTATTCTTTTGAGAAAGTATGGGGGTTTTCTTTCTTTAATAAAAAAAAATAGAATCTAAACTGAGCTCAAAAGAATATGATGTGAAATGAAAGAAAAAGAAAATATTTTGAGGATGCACAGACTACTGATATTTAATGTTACACCCCAATGACACGCCCCAATAAATACTCAATTATATGTATCGACTTCTTCTATGACAAATACAAGTCTTGTTAATTTGTATACCAGAAAACTAAAAAAGTAAAAGAAATAAAGTGATATTACAAAAGTCTATTCATTTGATGGCAAGTTTCTATAGATAGAAAAAGCAAGACAGTAATGGGAATTTCGCCCTATTGAAAATCAAGGAAGACCAAAAGAAATATATTTATATAGTATTTTGATATAAGAAAAAAAAAACTACTAATGATAAATGGTCTCAATCAGGTAGGTACCTTTAGACAAAAACTTTTTCTTTTAGTATCACTTCCCCTCACACTTTCAGTGTGTTCTTGTACACAAAATCACGCATACATACATATATATATATATTTAAGTCATAATTCATAATGCATAATTCATAATTCCCAGAAATCAGCAGTTTTTTTTTAAAAAGAAATTTTACTCTACCCTACTCTACTCTACTCTACTCTTAAGCTTAAAATGAACCAGGAATAGTTTTTGACTAAAAAATAAAATTACGGGAGTTGAATTGGTTTGAGCACAAGCGTGAAAATACATTAGTGCACGTGATATGCCTTTAAACTTTTTCCACACCTCCACCTATAAAAAGGCTGTAGCAGATCTCTTTTGATTGGGGGTTGATCTTCATCTTTTCTTATATTTGCCTACTTTCTCTCTCTCTCTCTCTTTCTCTCATTTCTTTATTCTTTTTCTCTTTTTTAAAAAAAAAAAGATAAAAATAAGAAGCCAGTCATGACTGTACCCGAAGGAACTACCGAAGCCAGCATTGCTTCTGTAATTTATGACCCAAACCTCTTCTATGTAAATCCTCCAGTCGAGCTATCAGCCGCCCAGGCTGAGACACTAGAGGTCATAATACGTACAATCGTACCCTCTTTAACCCAGGAAGAAGAAGACCAGATAGTGGCCCGTCTGTGTCGCAAGCCAAACCCACTCCACACTCCCGAGACCGTGCGTGAATTTTGCCGCTTGGACGGATTTACAGAAGAGTCTGTCGAATATGCCAAATACTTTATCTACCGCGCCATCCCACTCGAAAAGAGGTCCGAACTTCTGGCCGTGCTTTCGATACTTTCCACAACCCCAGGAACTTTTGCGCTGACAAGTCATCTCCGACAATTCAAGAATCTGACCCAAGCCGAGCGCGAAGCGGTGTTTTTGGGCTGGAAGGACTCGTACATTCCTCAGATCCGAAACCTCTATAAAGCTTTGGTAACAGTTTCTGTATACACCATATATGCTGCACAGGAGTCTGCTCTCCACAACCTAATTGGATACAAAATCCCAACCAAAGAAGAGGAAAAGGCGAAGTATCTGGACCCTGTGCCTGAGAGATTGAAAATGTTGACATTGGAAGAGCTCAAACAATCCTTGCATTATGATGCCATTGTAGTTGGTAGTGGAGCTGGAGGAGGTGAGTAAACCCCCCCCCCCCCCCCCCCCCCCCCATAATATATATATAAGAAATAGAAAGTAATGGTCGGTTCTGCCTATAGGTGTGGTTGCTGGTGAATTGGCAAAATCTGGAAAGTCTGTGCTGGTAATCGAAAAGGGAAGATACATTCATGAAGAAGACATGATCCAAAAAGAAGATACCGGCTACGCCAACATGTATGAGACTGGAGGCGCGTTCACGTCTTTAAGTGGCTCTATGAATATATTTGCTGGAAGTGTGTTTGGTGGTGGAACTACTGTTAATTGGAGTGCATGTCTCAAGGTTAGTTACTTTGGCACTATTTACCCATACATACATATATATTAGAAAATCAAGTAGTGTTACACAATAATTTGCACTAAGCAAAAAAAAAAAGTGTGTTCCTCTCTCAAAATCCCAATCCTAATCCTAATTCTTTGATTTTTGAATTAATTAATTTATTTATTTACAAACCCACAAACAAAGCTTCAACATTTTGTACGCGAAGATTGGGCAAGACAGGGATTGACCCATTTTACATCCCCAAAGGTAAATTTTTATTTATTTATTTATTTATTTATTTATTTTCTCTATAACTTTCTAATAAATATATATAACTATAATTATAATTCTTACGAGAGGGAGATGTTTGAGTGGTCAAAGTTTAAAAAGACTACAAGTCCTCCTCTAATTTGCATTGCTCTAATATATCCTATTCTATTTTATTGTATTTCTACTTTCATTGCCTAGTTTTCAAATGACCTTGATCGAGTTTTTGAGCGCATTGGTGCTACAGCAAAGGGTATCAACCACAATGGTCCCAATCAGATCCTATTGGATGGCGCTAGGTAAGTAAGCCTACAAAATAAGATTTTTCAAAGAGAGAAAGAGAGTTAGAGTAGAGAACCAATTACAATTAAAATTACAATTGCGGTTGTAGTTGCAGTTGCAGTTATAGTTACAGTTACAGTTATCCAAAACATAAACCCCTTCCCAAAAGAAAAAGAGAAACATATATGGATATATGTATATGTGTCGATTTACTTGTTTTATTTATATATTTGTAAACAGTAAACTTGGATATCACCATGCAGATATTCCTCAAAACACAGGGGGCCGGGCCCATGATTGCGCCTTTTGCTTTACTGGATGTAAAGCAGGTGTCAAGAACGGTACAATGAATACCTGGTTACGAGATGCTGCAGACAACAACGCTAGATTCATTTCCCAGACAAAGGTCCTGCGTGTATTGACCGAAAAGGGCAAGGTTACTGGCGTAGAGTGCTTGGTGAACAACAGGGAGGTCGTCAAGGTCTATGCAAACACAGTTGTTGTTTCTGCAGGATCTCTTCAAACTCCTGGTGTATTGCTTCGAAGTGGTTTAACAAACAAAAACATTGGTCAAAATCTCCGGCTTCATCCCTGCTCTATTGTCTATGGTTTCTTTGATCACAATGTGGACATGCATTCTGGTTCGATCATGACAGCCGTAAGTTATTACTATATATCTCTCTCTCTTTCTTTTAATATATATATATATATATATATGTATGCTTATTTATTTATTTGGATTAACTTTATTAATCTACTCCTTGTACCAATCATTGTATATATGTTTGTATGTGCTATTTTTTTTCTCTTTAGGTGAGCAATGTAGCAGAAAATGTGGATGGCGAAGGGTACGGTGTTAAACTAGAAGTTCCGTTGACCCATATACCAAGCTTCGCTACTATCCAAGTCTGGAGAGGCGCGGCTGCTCACAAAGAAGCCATGCTTAAGTACCGTCAAGCATCTCCGATTATTGTCATCACACGTGACAAAGATCCCAATAGTAAGGTGCGGTACGACGGCAACGACAATATGATCATAGACTATGATGTTTCGGACCACGACAAGATTTCTATCGTCGAAGGTATCATACATGCATGCAAGATAACAGTTGCAGCCGGTGCCCGTAGTGTGTCTGTGATCATGTTCGCAGTCGAACCGTTTGAGTTTGCGGATGATGAAGAGTCACGTACAGACAACCCCCGATTTGTAAAATGGCTGGCTAGGGTCAAGAAGAACGGATTACCTCGCTATGGATCTGGTATTTTCTCGGCACATCAAATGAGTACCTGGTGAGTTGTCTTGTTAAATTTAATATACATCATATACAAATGAACAAGAAAGAAAGAAGGCAATCAGGTCAACATTCCAGCGGGTCAAAGGAACTGTATTGAAGTGAAGGGTTTAAAACTTGATTCTATTGTGGAATTGAATACACAGATTACATACATGCCTACATACATTTTTATTTATTAACTTTTTCTTTCTTTCTTTATTTTCATAGTCGAATGGGCATTTCTCCTTCTGTGTCTGTTACCAAACCAACGGGTGAGACATGGGAAATCAAGAATCTCTATGTGGCCGATGCTTCTCTCTTTCCTACAGCTTCAGGTGTTAACCCAATGGTTACCACCGAAGCAGTCGCACTTCACGTAGCAGACTGTATTAATGAAAAATCTCGGGAAAACGTTGCAAAACTTTAAGATTTATTCCTATATATATATTTTTTTTATCTATTATCCATTATTCATTACTTCATTAATTAATATATATTTATATATACATAATACAAAAGAAAACAAGAAACAAGACAAAGTTTGATAGCCAATCTGAACGAATAGTTTATATACATAGTTCATTGGTAGAACGTTTATTTCTTTTACAACATACAGGTGTTTGGAGAGAGAGAGAGAGAGAGAAAGATAGAGAGAGAAAATTTGTGAATTCGGTAGATATATAGATAGACCCAGAAAGATGGTCAGATAGTTAGATCGTAAGAGAGATAGAAAGGGGAGGTTTGGTAAATGTGGTGATAAAAAAAATGAAAAAATGAAATAAAGAAAGAAAGATTGATTAACAATATATATATATATGTGTGTATGATTATTATTATTATTATTTTCATTCATTCATTAATGCATTCTTTTTCTTTCTCTTTAGTTGGTGCTGTTGTGCTTTGACTTCTTCCTGCTGTTTTCTTCAGCTTCTTCAGATTTGTTGGTACGCTTTGAAGTATTGTTAGGTTCGTAATAATCTTTGGCTGGCGGGGGGATGTAGGTGCCACGATGACGACCCAACTTTGGTGGAATACGCCAGAAGTACTGTTTGTCCTGCAAAGTACACTTGCGAGCACTTCTGCCGACCTGTGTGTAAGCTGTACGTCTCCATTCAACAGGATCCTTATCACTGCTGTAATAATAAAGGTTTTCTTTTGGTGATCCGTCTGCTGTCTTTCCCTTGCGAACAATTTCTCCAAAGAATGGGCAGATCTGCAGAACGTGTTGAATACGGGACATCCATAATTCACGAGGTTGTTGGCGATAGGTTGGGTTGGTTTTCATGATGCGTGAACAGATATCACTCATAGGCATAGATGATTTACGTGAAAATACTAAACACATACACATACATTTGGCGTAGAAGTACAATACAAGTTGTTGTTTTTCTTCATATTAGCTACAGTATCTTACACTCCAAAACTCCAGGATCCAGATTTTGTAAAAGCCAAAATTAAAAAGAAACATTACTTACCCAAAGCATCAATAATAATTTCAGAATAATCTGTTTCCTTTTCAACACACTGCTTTTCTTCCTTTTTGTCTTCTTCTGCCTTTACTTCTGCTTCTTCGTCATCGTCACTTTCTTCGTCTTCTTCTTGGCGAGGACGCTGGCGCTGACGGCGAGTGTTTTGAACGACATTCTTTTCTTCATCTTCCTCGTCTTCATCTTCGTCTTCTTCAATCAAGAACTTTCTGGAGATCTTCTGGTTTACTGGTTTCTCATCCTCTTGGTCCTCCTCTTCTTCGTATTCTACCATTTCTTGTCCTTTTTGTCTTTCCAATATTTCCTCATCTTCGTCATCATGGTATACAGCTGAGAGCATAGAAAGATCTTCCAATTCTTCCAGTTTATCCATTTCAGATCCTTCCATCATTGAGCTCAGTTCAAGATGATCACCAAACAGATCTTCATTCTCAACAACCTCGTCCTCCTCTTCCTCCTCGTGTTCAAGCTCATGCTTATTATCATGATTATATTCATACTCGTGTTCATGAACATGTTCATGAATATGTTCATGCTCTTGGTCCTCTGCCACTTCTTCTTCTTCCTCGTACATATGCTCCTCTTCCTCCATTACCTCCTCTTCGTCTCCTGCTTCGCAGAGTGGGGGAGGTTCTTTGAAGAGAATGATGTCTCCCAGTACATCAATCATGGAGTCCTGCGAGAGTTCTGCCCTCTCGTGCTGACCATAGAGTACATTATCTACGGTCGCGCCATTGAGACCAAGGACAACAAGTTCAAAAGAGTCCTTTGTGGGGTTATGTTCGATCGAGACGTGGATACGACTGATCTGCCGGTTTCTTCTGCCAATCTTTACTGTCGATGCACCACCTCTGCCTAGTGTGATGGTTTTTTCGCGAGAGCCAACGATGACTAGTGCACGAGGGGTGTGGTCTGCTGGAGAGTAGCCAACGTCTGAGGTCTGGACGAGGTCATCTGAATTGAGGTAGTAGAGGTCAGAATCCTGGCGATCTGGTGAGTCGGGCATGTCTGATGGCTGTGTAAAAGGTGTGATGCGTTTGATGTTCCAATTGGATGGTGGTGTCTCAGGGGCTCTGTCTGTCATCATCATCATCGTCGTTGCCGCAGTCGCAGTTGCCGTCGTCGTCGTTGTCGTCATCATCATTGTCATTTTTTCGTCCATCTTATTCATGTGTTTACCATCACAGGTCGTCATCGAATTGAAGCAGGTATAGAAAGAATAAAATAGTAATTTTATATATATATTGATATATTTATATAAGTGATGAAGTGTGTATTTTTTGTGTAATTACAAAGACAAAAGAAAGGAAGAGAAAAATGGAATAAATATTAAAATAAAAAAAAAATCAAAAAGAAATATCAGTGGAATTATTTGTTTTTTTTTTTTTAATTATTTATTTATTTATTTATTTATTTATTTATTTTTATTTTATTTTATTTTTTGATTGATTGATAAATTTTTTTTAAAACAACTTATACGATAATGATCATTATTGTCATTAGTAATAATAGAAAAAATAAAATAAAAAAATAGCCCTTTGTAATATTACAGATTTTTCTTTTTAGTATATATATATATTTCACTATCCATGGCAACCTTTACTATTATCAATCTTTGAAAGCTTTGGAATTCCAAGTAAATTCCCATTTTTTTTTATTTTATTTTTATTTTATATAAACTAAAATAAAGTAAAATAGTACGCGACAGATTCGCGTTTTTATTTATTTATTTGTTTAAGGGGAGAGAATGTGATTGGTCAGCGTGGATTTAATTGCGTCCAATAAAACAAGCTTTACTTTAAAATGTATTAGAAATATATCCACAGTAGATTATATTTCTTTATTTGGAGATGTGCGTATATTTTCTAAAAATAGAAGAAACTGATGATATGATGACATGATAAACTATGTGACTGCATCTGCGATTTATGTTCAACAAACCGGAGATTTGAAATTACAGTGAAGCATTATATTTTCGACATTTTTTTATTTTTTTTTCAAAGTGAAAGAAAGTATACCTTTCTCTACAAAGCAGTACAAATACATATATATATATAAATATATATATATATATTACAAATAACAAAGGATGTCAGCCAAACTGCCTGAATTGGACGCTCATTATCCCAAAGACCTAAAGCTGAAGCAAGTTGAATATTTCTTTATTTCTTTAAAAGACAAATAAATTCTAAAGATATAATATATATATATATATGCAGATATGTATATGTATATGTATGTATATGTATGTACATGTATGAATATATTGCAAGACGTCAAGACTAATTATGTTAATTTGTACAAATATATCTAATATTTGATATTTGAAAACAATGTCTATTATTACTATTTTTATGTTTATATTTATTAATATTAATACTACTATTTAAATAATAACAATACTAATGGCAATAAAGACTGTTGCAAGTAGTTCATCGCCATGGTATGGGCCAAAGCTTCTTTTTATACAAACAAATATATATATATATATTATTTTGCTTTATTTCATTTTAGGTTTTTCTGGCTCACTTTTGTATTCCTCAAAAAAAAATTATAATTTAAGAGAATAAGAATGGTAATGTTAATATGTACAAACAGGTGAACGTACACCCGTAAGAAGAAGACTAGAGCATATGTTTCCACCCATTTGGAATATGTGTGATACCAATCGCCAATTGATGTCCACCATTACAAGTATGGATGGTCTGGATGCTAAATCGCAAGTTATTGGAATTGAACGAATTGTGGACAGACCTCATCAATTCACAGCAGACAATGCATGGTAAATAGAGAGAAAAAAACTTTACTATGGTTTTTGTATATGAAGTTTTGATAAGTATTTATTTAAAAGTAATAGTAAGAAAATAAATTGAGTAAGAATAATTAGATATATCTATCTGGAGGTACACTGCTTTATTATTATTATTATTATTGTAATTGATTTATGTATGTATGTATCTAAACATTCTACTTTTGTGCATTGGTGTGCTGAATAGCTATTATGGGCAATTGACCAACCTGGGAAGAAATAGCATGAGCTTACTGGGAACTCGCCTCCGAGAGATCTATGTTGACAAGTAAGCTTCTGGAATTCACATCCAAGACAGTGTTACAACCATCATTAAACAACTTGGTCTTTATTCATCTATTTTGTATATACAAACAATTAAAAAAAAACAAAATTAGACTTGGGTTTCTTCCTGATCGATATGATGAAAAGACCATCTACATTCGCAGTTCAGACTACCCTCGTACTCAAGAATCTGTCCAGCAATTGGTTGCAGGCGGTCTTTATCCACCCACCAAGCGCGAAGATGACTTTAAACTCAAGTTACGCATAAGGTAAACATTTTTAAATACACGCTCACTTTGAGATAAAGAGGCAGAACTAGAGAACCAGAGAACCAGAGAAGTATATATATATATATATATATATATATATATATATTATATTTGTAGAGGATACAGTGTACAATCGATACCAATGTCTTCTATAAATGTACATATATTAATAATAATAATTAGATATATATAAATATATAATTCTAAATTGAAATTTTCGCTATTAAAATATATAAATATATATATTACATATATATTTTTTATATTATTATTTTGCTCATCCATTTATATTATTATTTTTTGCCCCGCACACAAGAAATGTATAATAAACCAATAGTCCAATAACCTCTCTTTAATTTCTGCTTATATATATATATATATGTATATATTTTAGAGATCCACGCGATGATAATATGTTCCCCAATCCTAATTGCCGCAAGTTGCGTACATTGGCCAAGGAATTTAACAAGACAGTTTCTGTGTTGTGCAAGGATGAGTTGGAGATTGTCTCCGATCAACTGAAGCCCTATGTTGACACCGTCTCACTCTCCAGCCATCCTTCTGCCAACGGTGTCCTGGACACCCTTATTTCGGCAAAGACCCATGGCTTCAGTCTTCCTGCCACGGTTACCGACGATGTCCTTCAGAGACTAGAGGCAGTCGTGGTCAAGGAGTGGTTCTATGGAGCAATGGAGTCGCCTGTTGTCCGCAGACTGGGCATGGGTAGGTTGATGGGAGATATCAGGGACCGTATGGTCAATAGGGCAACTCGACTAGACAAGGACACCCCAGAGGCCGATCATCAACTGGCAATCTATTCTGGCCATGACACGTAAGTCATATGTTTATATTTAATATGCTTTATAAAAAAAAGTATTTTATTTTATTTTATTTTATTTTATATAAATAATTAAATGGGAACACAGACATGCCCTGTTCTCAGGCTTATTTAAATGGGTTGTTAATTTTCTTTTATTATATTATATTTTATTTTTGTATGATTGACTTGTTCCTTTTTCTGTGCTTTTTTTTTTGTTTTTTTTTAATAGAACGGTGGGACCTTTATTAATTATCTTGAATGGATTTGATGAGCGGTAAACCAATGAGGAAGCCTTGTGCACCAAATCCAAACCCAAAAAAGAGATACTTACACTCACCTACAAACACACATTTGTAAGTATGTATATATGTATATATGTATATATGTGTTTGTAAGTAGGTGTAGGTGTAGCTTATAGGTGTTTTGTATTTGGAATTAAAAAAAAAAGAAACATAGTTACTAATGTATATATTGTATTGTATTGTATTGTATTGTATTATTATTTTTCTGTTAGATGGCCTCCATTCGGTAGTAGCGTGATATTCGAACTCTTTGAAAAGGAAACTGCAAAATGGTTTGGAACCAAGACTGAACATTTTGTTAGAGTGCGATACAATGACAAACTGCTCGAATTGCCCGGCTGTGCTGGTTCTGGAGATCACCTTGCTGAAGACAAGAGCATCTGTACCCTCGAGGCATTCCAAAAGATTGTAAAGGACAGTATCCCAGAGGACTGGGAACAAGAATGTAATCAATAGAGATTCTCAAATCATCAAAAAATAAATAAATCAATAAACCAATAAATCAATACAAATTTGTATACATATCCATTATTTAACTATATTCTGTATACTGTAATGTAAATTTAATTTAATGTTCTATGCTATGTGCTATTTAGTGTAGTGTTTTCTATAGTTAAACTTGGTCAAGCTTTGTGTCTGTGTTTATGGGTGTACATGAAGAAAATTATCAACTACTTTAAGCAGAACACATAACTTTACTTGTATTACAGTTGAATGCAAAGTGCAAGTGTATGTATGTATGTATAAATAAATATGTATAAAAAAGAAGCATCTTTGGAATTATATCGCCGTTTTAAATATATCGTAACAATCCAAAAAAAGAAAATTAAGAGTTGCTTATTTTTTTTAAAAAAAAAAAAAAAAAAAAAAAAAAGACGAAATTACGCCCTATATTTTTTGTGTCTTATTCTTCTTCTTCTTCTTCTTCTTCTTCTTCTCTTTCTCTTTCTTTCTCTTTACTTATTTTTCTTCTCTATTTTTTTTGCTGTATATAATACAAAGATATACAACTATATATATACATATATAGAAAATATATTATCCATTTCAAAATATATACATATATATTCTTAATATATTTATATACATAAGCATAGACATCTATATCTATATATCTATATCTATATACACCTTTGTTGATTTACCCCAAGACTCGAATGCTTCTATGAACTATAATACTCAAGACAATTCATTTTCTTCTGTCTCTGACAATATCTCTAACGGACAATGGTTCTATCCAACTGGAGGAATCACATATCATGAACCACTCGAAGAGCCTGTGCCTTTTGAAGGTAATAATTATAATGTCAAACGACAAATCAAATAATATACACCCAAAAAACCCCAACCATGACTAACTTGTTTTTATTACATTTTATTATACATATCTTTTGTTTCATGCACACCAGACTTTCAGTTTAGTTTTGGTCTAGATCCTGACTTTGCAATGCCCATCCCACTCGACATGCTTCCACTTCCACCAGCAGATGGAGGAATGCCTCCAGAACCATTTGGTCTACTTGCACCACCACTACCAACACCTACGACTGTATTAAACGAAGACGATCAAAAAACATTCGCTCAGTTTTTGGACACTTTTGTTATTGACCCGGATCCGCAAGTCAATGTGGTCCCCAGTCACTTACCCAGTCTGTACGATGGCTCACTAATGGATTCTTCCTCATATCCATACCACCAATCTCGCCAGTCACACACCAACACTAATACAAACAACAACAACAACAGCAACAGTAGCAATAATAATAATAATAATAATAATAACTCATTTCGTAACTCACCACCATCGGTTATAATGGGTCAGACAACAGCAGAAGAACAGGAAGACGCCTACAGACGGACTTCGATTCTCCAGTCGCTCGACCAGCAAAAACAACAGAAGCGAGCAAATCTACTAAACGTCGCACAGGCCAAGGAAACACATGTTGAGTTGGGCCACTACTTGGACCACCCAGACTTTCCCCCTCCCCCTCCCATGCTTCCACTGTCTTCAAACACCCGTCAATCTCAAGCTCAAATTCAGGCCCAGGCACGCGCTCAAATTCAGGCTCAGGCTCATGCTCAAGCACAAGCTCGAGCCCATGCTCAGGCACAGGCACATTCTCAGGCTCAAGCTCAAGCTCAGGCTCAGGCTCAGGCTCAAGCTCAAGCTCAAGCTCAGGCCCAGGCCCAGGCTCATGCTCAAGCTCAAGCTCATGCTCAAGCCCAGGCTCATGCTCAAGCCCAGGCCCAGGCCCAGGCCCAGGCACAAGCTCAAGCTCAAGCTCAAACCCAGGCACAAGCAAAAGCAAAGGCACAAGCCCAGGCCCAGGCTCAAGCACAAGCACAAGCACAAGCACAAGCTCACGCACAACAGCAGCAACAACACAGTCAGTCTTCTACTCCTTCGCCAGTTTATGGAGCCGGATCCAGTTACAGATCAGACGCCGTCTACTTGCAACAGAGTAGCACGATTACTGCACCTTACACTGCCACGCGTCCTCAACCTCCTCCAAACGATGACGATGAAGAAGATGAAGAAGACGAAGATGAAAATATGACCGAAAAGGGCTGGAAGCGCAACAACAGCAACGGTGGCAACAGCAATGGCAACAATAAGTCCCAAAAATTGCACAAGGAACTTTTGACAGAAGAAGAAAAACGCGCCAACCATATCATGAGCGAGCAGAAACGGCGCAGTACAATCCGGACTGGTTTCAAAGACTTGACCGATATTGTGCCCACCCTCAAAAACATCAACAACTCCAAGAGCACGGTCTTGTTCAAGGCAGTTGATTATATCCGGTATCTCGAGAAACGCAACAAGAATCTTCGGGAGAAGATTGGTGGACTTGAGATGCGTGTCGATGTCGAAGGTCGAATGGGAGGAGGCGGAAATGGAGGTGGTGGTGCTGTAAATGGTAGTGGAAACACTGGCATGATGACGGGCCGGTCTCATCATCGTGATTCTCGATACTCCCAGCCTTATCCTACCCCACGTCAACAACAACAGCAACAACAAGCACAACAACAAGATCGGTCTTATCGTCAAGAAACAGCTGAGCACCCTTATGCAAATCCTAGTCCACCCCGGTCATCACCCTCTGCTGCAAATGCTGCAGCTGCTGCTCTCATGGCTCATAAAAACCAACAAAAACAACTCATGGCACTTCAAGAACAACTTCATCTCCACCAAAAGTTACTGGCACATCAACAAGATATCGGACCTCGGTCCAAGACAACATCAAGGCCTCTTTCTTCTCACTACACACACGCACACGCAAATCACCATCATAATTACCATCCGGCTCTTGGTAGTGGTGGTGGTGGTGGCCGGCAAGATGATTTGGGAGGAGTCTTCCGGTCAGTGGCGTCCGATCGATGGTATCCTACAGATCCTTCTTTCCTAAGCTCTCTTCCATCTGCCACACAAATCACTCGGCCAGACGCCACTAGAGACGATGAAGAACCTCTCCAGACAGCTGTCTCTGCATAAATTTGTTTCTCTTTTCTTTAAAATATTTTCTTTCTCTATTACATTCATATGTTGTCTTTTAGTTTGTTTTATTTCTTTTTATTTTTTTATTCTTTTTCCAAACTCACACTCACACACAAATCCACTTTCACGCACATCCTCCTCTTCATTTGCCTACCTATTCACCTATCTACCTATCTACCTATCTTGTCATTTCCCAATTTATTATTATCATTATTATTATCGTTTGTCCTTTACTGTTTATCATCTTTTCTTTTTCTTTCTATTCTTCTTTTCTAGTGCTTAATAAACTCATACTGCCCACCCCTCATTTACATCAAAAAATAAAGATAAAAAAAATGAATAGTAATAATTGGTACAACAAACACTCTTTCCGTATACAGCATTTTTATATGTATCTTATTATAAGAATCGTATTATTATGTGCTTTGTAAAATGTATATAAATAAATAAATAAATAAATTATATATATATTGAATTTGTTGTCTTTCTCACGTACACACAAATATATATATTTATATATATATATCTAATTATACAGTAGCATATCAGTTTCTTTTTTGTCGTCGTTGTTAATGTTACTGTTGATAATCCAAGCAATTAACAAATTTCAACCTAAACCAAACCAAACCAAACCAAACCAAACCAGACCAGACGAAACGAAATGTACTAATATGTATAAAAGAAGTATAATCCATAATTGGATTCCGTGATGGAGACAGATTAAAACCCGAGAAGTAGGCCAAAATAAATAAAATAGAATAAAATACTACAATGCAACAAAAAACCAGACCAAATTATATAACTAAATATGATATAATATAAAGTACAATACCCCAATATATTCTAGTAATGATCTTAATGAACTCATCACAAATGATACGAACAAGCATGTGTTTTGTACTATTATTTTCAAGTGAAAACCAAGTGTGCTACCTTGTCCTCCAAATACACATTTGTATTATAATTATATATATATATATTCTTTTGGTTGCTTGCTGCTTGTTGGTTTGAGTACCACCAAAAAGGGGTTCTAGATCGAGCCTTTAAAGACATCGTTTGTGAATGTGTACAAGGATATTGTGTCTCTCGCTTCCTAACATTGACAACCGTGGCTCGTTGTATTCAAATACTTTGAAATCGTACAACCTTGAACAAGGAACATAAATAATAAATAATAAGAACAATAAGCAAGAAAATGATAAAATTGATCGTATTAATAACAATACTATATATTCTTGTTGCAGTAAAGAAGTTTCGTAAAGTGGGTAGCTATTTTATAGTATATAAAATAAAATAAAAAAAAAGGTAACATAAAGTAATAACAATAATGCGCCTTTCAAACAATCGAAACATCCCAAAGTTTTCTCTTTCTCTTACAAAAAGAAATAAATAAAATCACACCTGATATTTTGTCAAAGATAACGTTATCCATTCCGTAAAATCCTTTATTTTATTTTATTATTTTTTTATTTGTTGATTGTTGTTCTCTTCTTGGGTCTTTCTTTTTTGGTCAATCTGATTGTGCTTCAGAGTACGATTTTCTTAGTCTTTAAAGATGCTCTCTTTTGTTTTTTTTTTTTTTTTTTTGCTTTTTTCTTTAAAGAAAGCCATTATGATTATGCTTATAATGTTATTATAAAATATTTTTAAAAATGGGATCTCACTCCACTTTGGTTTCCATTTTGGGTTTACTTGATGGAGACAGATAGAGAACACTAATCTACAAATGTGGGTTGAGGGAACAAAGAAGGAGAAATGAGGTGGAAAACGGAAAGAAACAAGGAAATAATAATAAAAAAAAATTAGAGTGAGTGGGTGAAGGAAACAGTCAGATTATACAGACAAGAGAAACGGGGAACATGGAAGGGTTACAGTTTTTCCTTCCAGACACATGACGGTGTATCAAAGATGTGTCGGCCTATTAAATACAAAATAAGCTATTTATTCGCCTATTTAAATAATATAAAAATATTTTAGAGAAAATATCGTAAAAAAAAATTTATAGGACCACTTTATCCCTAAATTTTTTATTTTTTATTTTTTTTTATTTTTCTTTATACCATCTGAGATTATATTTGTGGCGTTGCTTTAAAATATACAACAACTATTTAAAGAAGCGAAATAAAATATATACATTTGTTAATAACTCAGAAGAGCAGTTGGAAGCACTCGCAAAATAAAAATAAGATACATGTATCGATTGAGAGGTACACAGTACAATTTGACTTTCTCTTGTGTAAGTTACATACGTACATACTGTGTACTGTCACATGCAAATGCCTTGTCATATTACCCGGTTCACGAGCCAATATTATCTATCATTGAATCTCTCCCTCTCTCTATACGTCAATACAAAATAACCAAAAATAATAAATATATATCTATATATATCTATATAAAAAGACATGTGAAAACAAGAGGTACATATATAAAATAAAGTAGAATAAAATAAAAAGAGGATAGCAATATCTTGGTTTAATGACACTTTTGTTTCACCAATTTTGCTTCTTTATTTCACTCTTTTCTTAGTACAGATAGAATAAAGCCAAGAGATAAAATAGCACAAAAATGAAAATGAAAATAAAATGACAAAGGGAATATTTCAAGTCAAGAGTACTAGTATTGATTTGTTAGTCTCTTGCATAACCTTTTACATAATATTGTATATCCTTTTAGTGTGTGTATTTGTATCTATCTATAGATATTCTATGGCAATCAATCAATAATTCATGGTTTATTAGTCAAGTATCCCATTATTTTTATTTATTAGTGTAGCACAAAATTCTGGCAGAAATAGTCTGAATAAAGGGTAATTTATTTTTATATACATGTATTGCAATTATTGGTAAAACATAATGGGAGTTCTTTTTCTTTCTTTCTTTCTTTAATGATGACATCAATGGTCTATGTTCTTGGAGGAGAACAATATGCATATTATCAAATAAAATCTAAATTCCCATGTGTCTATCAATATATCTCTTGTTGTGTATCTATGGTGAAGCTCTTTGATAGTGGCTTATAAATTACTATATGTTTTTTTACTCGTTCTGTCGATCTCAAAGATCTCATTTCATAGGCTGGCCAGTGCGTACAAAATCCTCTTTCTAGAATCAATTACATCTTTTTTCACATGTTCATAAAAGTGTACAAGACACAAACACAAACACAGACACGAACAGTATACACACACACATATTGCTTTTCTTTAAATTACAGTTGTGTGTACAATAACAGTAACAGGAAAATAATTTCCTCTACAATATGGAGAAAATATATTCCAGAAAGACAGTCTTTCTTTCAAGGCCTTTTCTTTTTTTTCTTTAAGAAAAATAAGAATTTATTGGTTTCCAGGTTATTAAATTGTTATGTACATACAGACAAGATTTTTCTTTTCTTTTGAATATGATGAGTTTTATGATGTTCCACAATTTCATCATCTTGAAGGACAGTGGATTGAATTAAGTACTCCTCCTTTGAGCACAGACCACACAGACTACACACTACACTCACACACCTTACAAAAATTATTATGAGAGCATGAGGAAAATAAAATAAGAAATTTAAATTAAAGTCAAAGAAAGAATACATATCCTTGAAGATCCCAAATTAATGATGAGTTTTTTCTTCTTCTTGTAATTCTTGGGGAAATTGTCGTGAATTCACAAGAAAGCTTAGAATCAGAAGAAGACAAAGGCACTTCAACATTTGACAGCAATAGGATCGTCAAGGAAAGAGCACCATTTGTGCAATTCAAGATCATCGCCGTCAAACTTTATTATTATTATTATCATTACTCTAAGTATGATTGTTATGATCATTATCTTATTCTTTTCTATTGGCTTATGATCTTCATATTTATTATTATTATTATTACTATTATTATTATTATTATACTCTTTAGTCTATAGCAGATTACCTAACTCTCGAATCTACTAGTTTTGGGCAACATATTTCTTTTTGTACTTTAAGGCTTACTTGACACAAACTTAAATATTTCCAGTTAAATATAAAAAATTTATCCCATACATCTTTTGATAAATAGATCTATAGATACATATTCATTATTCATCATTTTACCTTGAAGTATCAACGGTAATTTTTACTACTTATTTATTTTATAATCTAATTCAATTCAATCCGGAAAAAAAAACTTGTCTTTATTTGTTGAGTGAATAACACAGGCATTGAAGATAAAAGGAAACATATTAAAGAGTAATCTCTAGCAAAATAAATGAATAGATATTTATTTTCTCTATTGAAGGAACAGTAGTACCAAATGACATATGAAATTTACTTTCCAAATAAATAGGGACATATATATATATATATATCTAAAGAAAAAAAATCATCAGATAAAATTGAAACATTATAGGAAGAAAGGCTAAAGGACAAAGGAAGAAATTAGATAAAGGAAAAACAAAACAAAACAAAAAAGCTAATAGTGCCTTTTCTTTATTTTTGTTTTTATTTATTTTGTATACAAAAATTCAATTAAACATTTGAAGAAATAAATGGGTTACTCAATAGATCACAATCGATCTCACTTACAAAATTTATGATTGTCCAAGGTTTGATACTCAAACAACCACCAAATACAAGTACAGGTACAAGTACGAGGGAAGGGTACAAAGGATCGACATCAAATGCTTCCAATTCACATACGTGAAACCGGTTTCAAAAACTGAAAGCTGAAAACTAAAGTATGGTACAAAAAACAATTTTTGTAAATACAGTTTATATTATGTCTTTTAAATAATTCATGGGAATTTCATGAATATTTTTTTTTTATCTTAAAGAAAAAATAAAGTAGTACTTGTTTGTACACAATAGGCTATCCCAACATGCCTTAATATATACAATCGTTTAAAGAAAAAAAAAGAAAAATAGAATTTAAGGTGAATAATTCCGTGGATACAAGAGTTGTTTTATTGATGTAATTCACGTACATCAAATATATTGTATTATTATTCAACAAGCTTCTTTGTATATGTTAGTGGTATATGCACAATTAAAAATCTAGTCATTATAATTGGGATCATATACTACGTCTCGGACTCACCATAAGCCAGTGATGCTTTATTTCTTTATTTCTTGTATCCAAATAGGCTTTAAAAAAATCCTAATTCTAATCATAATCATAATATCCATAAATATAACCATAAAGAAATAAAGAATTTAATTAACGTTTGCTGATCTTTCTACTTTAATTTTTTACCACACACAAAGAATTCATTGCTTTAAAGCCAAGTGAGCCAGAAACTTAATATCATATATAGTCTACACTATTTAACTATATAAAAAAAGAGTGGTGATTCCAGTGGTGATTTTTGGAAAGTACTATAAATATTTTCTAAAATCACCATTATAATCACTACTCTTTTTCTTTCTGGAATTTATCTTGTTGAAAAGAAGCCCTATTTCATCAAATCTGATTACATTTTAATAAATAGTTGGTTGAATTCCACACACAACAATGTCAACGACAAAAAAAAAAGAACAGGAATATATGCATTAACAGAATTGCAGAAATAAGAAAGGCATAAAGAAAGAAATGACATATATATAGTAATAATCTATCTACAACACCATTAGGGTCTTGCCTTCTAATGTGGTCCGTGCACTTGTCTGTGCGCATCTTATATATCACCACGTTTTATGTTATAAATACACCATTGTTAACTCTCCTACAAACTATTTTAAATAAAGAAGCATACACACATATATATGTATATTATTATTATTAGTATTATTTCTATTAGATTATGTGAAGGAAGTGGTGATTCCGATGCTAATTTTGGAAAGTACCATAGGCATTTTCCAAAAAAAAAAAAAGGTCATTTAAATCAGTGCTCCTTTTTCACGATGTTATTATTATCACCTTGAATGAATAGGTGGATAGATTAATGAATAACTTGGTAAAGTAAAGATATATATATAAAAAAGGAAAATTGGATAGCTTTTATATGTAGATACATAGATGCGTGTGTAAGTATATAATTAGTATTAGTATTAGTATTAGTATTAGTATTATTATTTGTTTCTTGTTTATTTATTTTATTTTTATTTTTATTTTATTTTCTTCCTTAAAATGCAGAAGATCCCCATGGAGATGCGTTCATGTGGGTTGGCTTCTGTAGTGACTGTAAAGTGTGCGGGTGACCAAACGGATTTATGGGAGCCGCGATATCCAGTGTATTCTGCTGAGTTGTGTGAGCAAACGGATTAAAGGCATTTTGTGAGGTTGGCAAGGGTGTTTGGAACTGCGAAAAGGTTTGGCTTCTTTGCACCGTCGATTGTGCAGCAGGCATGCCCGTCATTTGCGCTTGCAGACCTTGGAAAGATATACCAGCACCACCAGTATTATTGTTGTTATTATTGATAGATCCTGGTGGCATTGTCATACTTCCAAACGATGATCCCAAAACAGACAGACTGTTCTGGGCCGACGAAGGAGGCGGTAAAGTATTGGAGCGGAAAGGATTTGCGTTGGTGATTGTGGCTGGAGACTGAACGAGAGATCCGGCAGGTAAAGAAGATAGGTTGGTTAGAGGGTCAAAAGATTGTGGCTGGACCATCGTGGCTCGAAACGGATTGTGTTGGCTTTGCATCGTCGCCGGACTGAAGCTTTGTGTGGGTTGTAGACTTGTAGGAGATGAATTAAAAGAAGCCTGTCCAGCTTGATTATAATAAACTGTAGCCTGTTCTTTTTCGAGACTCGAAAAGAAATCAATTAACTCAGTTGGGCGTTGATTTTCTTGTACAACTGGTGGTTGGACAGTAGAGAATGCTGACTGTGTAGCTAGATTAGATGGCGAAGATGTTTTTGGTGAAGAAACGGTTGGTGAAGATACTAAATTAAAGCAAAAGAACATTGTTATCATTATTAGTATCATTATATATATCTATCTATCTTAGGGGTACTTCTTTTATTTTCTTTTTTGCTTTCTCTAGTATACCTACCTTTTAAGGTGTCTTGCTTTGGTGCTCCATCACGCTCTGTATCATTTAGGTATTCTTCTAATGCCTCTGCCAGCGATAAAGGTGCCTTTTGTTAAAATAATTAGATATTTATGTATGTATTATTTGAGAGCTTACGATACTCCAACATCTCCCTTTATTATTTTTATTATTGGCGCTACTATTAACAGTAATAATAGTCAAGGTCTTTTTTTTTTACTCACATGTTTTATGGCTGGAATCGACATTTGTAATTCACTTTGCAAGTGTCGTGCTCGATTTAGGAACTCGATTATTTCTTCTGTTTGTCTTGCAAATCGTTTGTAGATATCTAAAGAGGCCCGCGCATCATGTTTGCTCATAGCAAAATAGTGCTCTTATATATATTCAATAGTGACAAAGAACTAAATGAGTCTTTCTATTATATAATTTCTTGTCCAAAATTTCCAATTACTTACCCAATATATTGACAACACCTTCATTAGTAACCTGAAAAAGTACCATAAGATCCTCCACCAAGAATCGTGTAGCAAAAAGACTGATGCTATTATCTGTATCTTCCAAATGAAACTAATATAGATAGATAGAAATAAATAAAGGTGTATTTGTCAGCTTATACTATCATCATTAGCTGAAAGGGGTTTGTTTCCTTATATTTGTTTTATGTATACATATACATATATTCTTCTTCTTATTCATATATTCGTTTCATTAATTAATTAATTAGTTAATTAATTAATCCTTTTGTTTTACCTTGCATTTTAATAAAGCAGACAGTTGTTTTTGAAGAGCTATTGTTTCGCGCAAGAGGCCTTTTGCAACAGTAAGGTGTCTCAGACGTCCCTCCTTGTTGGTTTTGATTGCTTGGATGTGATCAAAATTCAATTCACGATAGACCGCAACCCTTTGTGCAAGGTACGCTGTGTAGACGTAGATGTGTTGTATTTGAATCACGCCCGATGACTTTTCCCGGAGGCGTGATGTATCCAATGCCGATGGATGTTTTCCCATGTAATCCATCACACGTTCGTTGTTGCCATCTCTCATCAAGACATGAGTGATGATCAAGACCTTGAACACAATCTACCAAAGCAGATTACAATAAAGAAAAAATAAAAAAAAACAGAATACGCATTGATATATATATATATATATATTAATTATATAAAAAAATGGTTTCTCTCTCTCTGTAGCTCTCTCTATCTCTCTATTTGCATATATACACGCATATGTGTATGTACGTTTCTGGCTCTTTATATTATCACCCCCTTTTTTTTCCCTTTTTTCTTCTCTTATTCTTCAAGTAGACACATACGATCCAAGAGTTTTCTCGTAATCTTCTTTCTAATAAATCCATCATGTCTGCGATCAAAGCTGGATTCTGAAAAGTTAAGGAAATCAAGGCTATTTCGAAGTTAGATTAGCTCAATGACCTCATTTGAGCTTGTGCTTTTTGTTTTTGTTTTTTTTTGGTGGGTTTGTCCACAAAGATTAATATGTGCTTTACTTGACAAATGTTTTTGTTTAGGTGGTTGGTAGTCCAGTCGAGTTGCTTTCCGTACTGCGATTTCCATTGTGTCTTTTTTTATGTATGTAAGTATGTTGGTTTCTATACTTCTTTTCGTATTGAAAATGAAATTATTATTATTATTTAGAATAAAATAAAATAAAATTTAGTTTTTCTTTAGAGTACAAAGATGTGTTTAGGCAAAGTAAAGAAAAGTAAAGTTAAAGAAGAGCAAAGAAAAGGAGGTGAACCAAAGATTTAATTCTATTTTGCTCTTATTTTTTTATTTTATTTTTTATTTTTTCAATGACTTTAATTTTATCCGGACCAACCTTTCAGGATAGTCAAATATATATATATATATGTATGTATATAGAAAGTAAAATATAATAATAATATAAAAAGGCAAAGGTTTACCCTATTATCCCTTTACCGTTCTCCTCTCTCTTTCTCTTGACCCCCCTTTCCACGTGTAGGGCTAAAAAAGAGGATAATGTATGTCAAATTGCCATATAAGAAAGCAAGAGGTCCTACAATTTTCTTTCTCTCTCTCTTTATTTCTGAGGTTGATTTTTTTTAAAAAAATTTATTTTATTCGTTTAAATATATTCCTGTCAAGGTCTTGTTTTCTTTTTGCTTGGAGGGCTTGAGATTATGGTTTCAATTGGTTTCGTTAAAGAGGGGTCCAAAATCCCCAAATGGTTTGTTTGTTTAATTGATCGATCGATTAATTGATTTTGCTCATTTGGATGTCATTGTTCAGAAGAACTCTTACTAGGATAGAAGTCTATTCACGCAAAATCGAGTGAGAAACCAAAAAAAAAAGAGTCATATGATAATCTACTTTCTTTTTTTTTCGTGTGTAAAATATACATTTTTGTGCTTGAATGTGCATAAATGATCAAGACATCGTATTACTAAGACATGCGTTTTATTACAACAAAGCCATTCTCTATTCAATTGGGCTATTAACTTGTGTGTGTGTTTTCTCAAAGATTTATAGCACACCACTCTATAGAAAACGGCAATATAATAGCCAGGGTATCCAAAAAGAACCAAATTAAATATTAATGATATTACAGTCAATCCTATTGAATTTGGCGTTTTTGAAAAAATAAATGGCTGAATCTCAAAAAGGAATGGCCAAAATAGAAAATTGATTGGCTGAAATATAAAAAAAATATTTGTCCTTTAGGCTATAGGCAAATGTCAACAAGTGCTAGCTAAACTTGGCATAAAAGTAACGTCTTATTTGCTATAGTCTTGAGTTTAGCTTTACCACTTCTTTTTGTTTTTTACGAAAATGGGCTTGATAATCTTTACAGTGAGCGAGGTGAGAAAGTTTCCGATCCCAATATTGTCCTTGAGATCATCGCTAGTAGAGAAAAGTACTTGAGCGACAAGCGTCCTGAAAAAATTCTTGAGAAAGTTTCAGCTAAAAAGCAACCGAGATCTAAAAAGTCCAGACAAGCCAGCTCTTACAAAAATTACATCGATTTTTCAAGGGAAACTTTTATTGATCGTATACTTGAGCAACCAGTGGAGCGCGGTGTAGTGAGTAGAGTTACAAAAAAACCCTTACAAATTAGAAAGATATATGTACGTCTGCTATGTTTGAAATCAATTAACATGTTTTACGTTAGTATGGCTTACATGTATCTGATGAAAGAAAGAAAGATGTCTATACGAAATAAGTAATGTTTCCTGGAAGATGACAAGTTAGTATCCGAAAGTAGAATAGCTTTTGCTTTATGAGCTTTGCTTCATGAACACACAAGCATCTTAGAAACAGTCTCAAAGTACTTTTACTCTGTCAATATTTCTTGCTTTGTTTTCTATTTCAAAACACCACATCAACAACGTAATAATATAATGAGTAATACCAGTATGTATATATGAAACCCGACTTTTTATAACAAAAAATCATAGTGACTTCAAGAAGCGAATGATTGGTTTGATTACTTCAGAGTATTGATCAAACGAAGGTTATGATGACTTTTTTTCTTCAGAAGGCAGCGATTGTTCAATAATTTGCTATAGTAACAATTAAAAGTCATAATGAGAAGATACTTATCATATATATGTTTAATTATAGAGTAAAACCTACTTTAGAACTATAGAAATTCTCAAGTATTTTTTTCAATTGATCCATTAGCTCTGTTACGCTCTGGGATTTCAACTGGCTTAATAATTGAATAATTATATTCTCCATTATCAAATTGCAGCTTTGTAAGTTTCAACACAATTCCTTATTTCTCTATACGAGAATACATCAGTACACTTTCTTAAAGCTTACATATAAAAAGATATTCTTGGAGACTGTTATTGCCAAAGAAGTGTTGGGCTAGTTGCTGTATTGATCAAATCCCGTATTAGCCCATTTTCTTTTATAAAAAGGCCCCATTGGGCTATGTTAAGTTCTATGTAACTGTTCCCTACTGGTAATAGTGTACGGCACACAATTACCAAGTAGTATAGGTTTTTACATTTTATTTTAGTGAGTAATAGCAAGTAAATTAGAGAACACGTGACCGATTAGAAGGGCTAAATCACATGATCTCTAATTTCATCCTGTCTTTCTAATATGATGATGATGATGATTAGTACAAACATTTATTAACACTATAGTCGCTTCATACCTCCGGCAAGTATTCCAAATGTACAGTGCTCTTTGGTGTGATTAACTTATTTGAAGGCGAAGGTGTAATGCCTTTTGCAAATTTCAGCTATTCTTGCTCTGTAAATGTCTATCAATTCTTTACTTTTCTTAGGAGGCTTTACTTCTTCACAGCCCACTTCAATGACTTTATAACACATCATTATGATGTCCGGGCGTGTTGTACGATACTCTTTAGGCACTTCATCCATCAATGAAAAAGAAGAGGTATCCCTATTTAAAGAATGAGCCGTCAATATTTTTCTACTATATATAATAAGAGTGATAACAGTAATAATAAATAGAGCTCTAAATCATAGATAGTACAAAACAAAGTCAAAGTGATTTAGTTATTTTTTTTTAAAAAAACACACACCCACCAAAGGGCAACACTATGTGAAATCCAATTATTTAATTTTAACTTACCGACACCTTTTTTGCTACTTTTGCTACTTTATTTGTAGCATTTAAGAAATAGACCGTTTAGTAAAACATTTTATAAAGTAAGCTTCTAATTCCGAAATAACAAAATTTTGCTTTTTTGATTATACGACATTAGGAGAAACAACATATTAAACCACCACCGCATTTTTTTTTGTGGACGAAAACTGCTAGCCTCACAAAAATGCCACGCTCCCAGGTGTTTTTAAATTACTAAAAACATCTTAGACCGTTTAAGTTTTAAAAATGCCCTACAATCTGCCAGAAATACTTGACAGTCGAAAAAAAAGTGATATTTGAAACTTGAATTAATTATTTTATTTTATTTTATTTTATTCTATTCTATTTTGTTTTGTTTTGTTTTTGCTTTAGTGCAAGTTTTCAATTAGCCTTTGAAAGCTGTTATTTTTTATTAAAAAGAATTACCCCTTTTATTTCAACTATGATTCCATTTGAACATTACAATCCATTGCAATTGAGGCATTTGGGATTGATTTTGGGTAAGTATTTCAATATTAGAAAAAATAGATACTGTGAGAATTTTGAGGTGTTCGGAACTAATTTCTGGCTATTATCTTAATATTAGAAAAGGTAGATACTGTGAGAGTGTTATTTATTAAAGAGATAGAATAATATGCTTATATATATATCAATCGACAAAGACTTTCTTTTTCTTACTATTCAATTTATCTCTCTTAATATTTGTACCCGCTGTACCACGTCTGGTACTCAAAAATCCACCCAGGCACACATAAATTCATAGACCTATATAAAGAATAAGTTATTAAATAATTAGCATACTTTTTGGAAGTAGAACTCCCCTCTCCCTTCAAGCTTTATGTACATCTTCGCTATGAAAATTTTAGCTACTATATATTAAAATTAATGCGCAAAAATTAGTGGAGCAGTTTATTGAATGGATAGTAGACATAGATAATGTAGCTGTAAAATGGTAAGAAGATTTGCAGAGAACTTCAAGGCAGAGTCTAAGTCACATGCTTATATTCCAACTTTTTAAAGATATAGATAAAGAAGAAGATAATAATAAAAAGACCTCATCTTCATCTCCGCTTATATGACTAGACTCAAGGCTTAAGACTTAGGCTAAGGCTTAACAAGTTGGTTCGAGAAAGCATGGTAAGAGAAAATAAAGAAAATAGAGTAATAGTACCACCTAATTATTTCCTTCATTTTGTGGAGAGTATAAGGTTAGATTCACAATGCACATATATAAATATGTATATACATACTTCAGTTTAATAGCAAAGTACATGTAGAAGGATTAGGTTCTACATTTCTATTGAGTTCTTGGTTTAAAATGAATATAGATTTATATATTTCTTATATATATATGAATTTTACCTATATTGTAACCTTGTTTTCAAATGACAGAGTTTGTAGAAAGCTTTGATAAAGAAAAAAACAACATGGAATATTATAATTGACCATTCACATCTATCTCTCGTTCTCTGGCGTTTTTTCTTATTCTTATTCACGCGTAATGTCTAAAGACTTATGGTGTCCTGAGAAACCATGTGAGAAAAGATCTACACGTTTAGCTTAAGCTACAATGTCCGCACAACCACATATATATAAAAACGTACCGCAAAAAAAAGATTATTCTTTTTGTGTCCCTCCTCCTGTTCTTCTTTCTTATCCGTCATCTTCCTCTCCCCCCAAAAAAAACAATAAGAAAAAAACTTCTGGCCCGTAATTATTCAAAGTTGGCTAATAATTTGTGAAAATACAGTATGTGATACCGATTGACTGGATGTACAAATGATCTTATTCACATGGAAGATTAATTCTTAAGAATGTTCTTCAGTAAATGTTACTATCTCACCACATGTTTAACATTTTTACTTTTATTTTACTGTTATTATTATTACTATATTTTGATATTTAGACAAATAATATATAGTGATTTTATAAATCATTAAAAGAAAACAAAAAAAAACTTATTTGATATGTAAAGGGTGTGTAAGAGCAAAATTTTAAATTACTGCGATACTTATTAATATATATATATGTTAACGTGCACATATACATAATATGTATAGAGAATTTATTAATTACAAGATGTAATCCTTAAAGTTGCTAAGTAGATTTTTGTTTTTGTTTTTGTTCTTGTTTTTGTTTTTTTTTTGCTTGTATGGACAATTGAGATTTTATTATTGTTACTAGTGTTATAAATTATCTGCGATTTTGGATATATGTTTCTCTGTATTGTTACGATTTCTGGATATATGTTTGTCATATAATCGCAAATTCTATTTTTAGAGACACATATTTTAAATTCATAAAAACAAAAAAAAAACAGATGTATAATTAATGGGTATATATATATATATATATGGATATATATGTACATGTATAAAAACAAAGATAAAGACTAATATAAAGATGAGCAATGCACTTTTGACTTTTTGGTTGGCGTCTCTTTTTTTTTATTACATACTTCTTTAATGTATAAAATAGCTTAGCATGAGAAACAGATGTCATCGTTTACGAATATGTAACATGCATGCTTATAGCACAATGAGGTAATAAGCAGATAATGGAAATAGCATTACTTACCACTATTTTTTTACAGGGTCTATTTGGCTCTTTTGTGTGTGTGTTTATTTTTTGTATTTTTTATTCAATAAGCTCTCGACCTTTCATAGGTCCTATTCCTTATCGAAAAGCAGGAAAAATCTGCACTGCATTGGAATAGATTTGGGCTCAGAGGGACCCCATTTTGGAGCTTCACTTCTTTTCTCTCTCTTTTTTTTCTCTTCTTTTTTTATTATTATTTTTTATTTTATATCTTTCTTTTTACAGCCTTTATCCCTTTCTCACTTACGGATTTTGGAGAAACAGGTTTATTGTTCAAATCCAAATCCAAATCAACTATTATATTAGCTTTATCTTTATTTAATTTTCTTTGCACACACACACACACACACAACACTATATACATATATATTATCATTATCATTATTATTATTGTCATTTTCTCTATTTATCCTCGACTTTTAGAACCTTTCAATATCCAATAAAATACCATCATGAGCATCTCGGTTGATCTTTTGCATGGAGTCATGACAACGGGATTAGGTACAGAAGCAAATAAATAAAAATATAAAATAAAAAAAGACAAAAAAAAAGAAATAATAATAAAGACAAAACAATCTTTAAAGCTAAATGCCCAAGATTAACAATCAACCAACGTTGATGTTAGATTGCGGTCAATGGACAGCAGACTGCTCAGTGTGTGCATCTAAGAAAGGTTGTGGATTCTGTGCAAATGAACTCGGAAGTTGTGTAAATGGATTCTGGCAAGGCCCCTTGGACACCAACGATTGTCCTACCCAAGCTTATTTCTATGACCAGTGCCAACGTACGTTTATTTTATTTTATTTGGTGTTATTTACAAACACACACACACATACACATGCACACTAAATGTTATATCTATATATAGTCTCTACTAGATCTCTTGAAATTGGTATATTTGTTGCCTTTGTCTTGGCTATCCTTTTAATCGTTTTCCTCTGTGTATGCTGTCGCCGACGACGATATAACGACGAAACAGAAGAAGAAGAGAGACAATCATTGCTACCATCGGGAACTTTTGGAACAAAGTATCTTCGGCGATCGGCTACCTATTATCAATGGAACCGACCACCACCACCACCGCCCACAAAAGCTCGATTTACGAAAGCCCTCCAGAATCAGAAACTACCTACTCAATCACCTCCTCTGTCACTTAATGGTCCTAGCCAACCACAAAACGCCAATTGGGAGGATCGTCGATTAGCACTGTTGAAGAAATACGCAAGAGGAAGTTCAACGGGCACAACACGATAGCCTTGCTTGTTTTATTCGTGCTTATTATTATTAATATTCTTACACTTATTCTTACTCTTTACCCTTATTCTTATTCTTTTGTGTATCTCCCCACTCCCCGCTCCTTTTTTTTTATATCTCTTCTTCTTACCTTTACTTCACCATATTGTGTGTATTTATCCTTTCTTTTCCAGGTAACTTTCTTATTTGCCGCATCCTCTTCTTTTTCTTTGTTACTCTTTTTCTTTTATTATTTTGTATACTGTCTTCATTCTATAGCATTACCATGGAAACAATTGTGTGAGTGTTTCTGTTTTCCCTTTTATTAGTACCATTAGTATTACTCAAGTACAAAAAATCAACCTTGCCATCTTTACCTCTCTGTCTTCTTCTTTTGAATTGTGGTTTCTTGTTAACAGTTGGGATAACACCAACCATTGTTTCTTCTTTTCTTCATAATTGAAATCATGACAGACTTCACAAACTCAAACTCAAAACGAAAATACATATTAATTTTTCGAACCCCCAAATACATTAAATATATTGTCATTAATTCTCTAACCTTTTTATTGGAAAAGCAAGAAACAATAGCATCTTGTATATATAATTTGTTCTTTCTTTCGATTTTCTTTACACGTAATTCCTGCAATATTCCTACTCACCTACTCGACAAACAGATTATTTTTATATTTTTATATTTTACCTTTTTTACAAAGAATCCCGAAAATTATTATCGCCGCTTAAAACGTTGATAACTGATATAATATTTGAATCGAAAAACGCAAGACTTGGAACTGGAACACAACAACACTGACAAAGACTGACACCTTCATTAAGGGTACTTTGAGTTAGCAATAAGTACTTCTTCGAATAACCCAGGTTTATAAGATAGAACTAAAAGCACAATATAGCGCAAAATAAAGACAAAAGAGCATTTAACAATAGTAATAATAATAATATCAAAGAAAAACAAAAAATCTCTTGAAATAGATTGATGTTGGTGATACATACATCAAATCCGGTCAGTCTCCAATCTCAAAGTTCTTCTTAATATATTAAACGCTTAATCAAAAGAATACCACCGTTTCCAAGTTTCACCAGACCCTCTCACATTCGAATTGATATCCGGAATGCGACAAATATGTTTGATCACTAGTGTAACTAGATATTAAGCATATATCATTATCATTATTCTTATTTTTATCATTTGAAAGTTCCGTATTCCGCCAATGACTGTCAGATCCCATAAATATTAAGCTATTACCTTTACATAATAATACAATAGCTTAACCTGTGGTAAGAAACTTTGGTTAAAGGTCGTCTAAAAATAATTCAAACTTTGGAGAAAATCGAAATAAATGCATATTCAGAAAGGATTGATACCGGGATTTATACTTCAAAAAGTTTCCTTTTTTGCTTCGGTTTCAAACTATAGGAATTACAAAATCAAATCACAGTTTGATTTTACCCTGTAATGATTTATTTATTTATTGATAAAATATTTAATATACATTATTACAATTTGTACAATCTGGAAAAAAACTAACACTATGTTCAATCCAGTACGGACAGTTATCGCGAGCGACTTTAATAGAGCATTCGGATATATATCTCCTGAATGGATCATAGGCCATAGTCGGCTTCCTTTTGACTAGTGTTTAGAGGCTTGAGAAATACTCTCCAATTGGATTGAGGAAGGGGGAGTACTGAGGGAGAAAATGTAGCCTGTGTCTTGAATTATTTAACAATTCCCTGACTAGGGGAAATTTGTTCCTGGATACGTTATTTATAATAAAGTTGTGCGGATCAGCATTATCTTGGTCAAGTGAATCCATAATTGTCTTTACAAATTCAATAAAGACAGATTCTGGTGTGCCACCATGTACCATTTTTGCTTGAAATTTTTCAACGCCTTGGTAAGCGACAGCAGCAAGAATTGTAATGCCCAAACCTCTTTTAGCCAAGCTTTTAACAGTGCTTTTTTCGCTTCTTTTTGTGCTCCCAGCACGTCTGATTAAGTGTACTTTGAATTCTGCTTCATCCACAAAAATAGAATTGGTTATGTATGAGACACCATTTGATCGCATGCTGTCCATAAATTCTTTTCTTTTCACAATTGTCTCCGGATTGTTTCTTATTTCTTCGTCTGGCTTGGCCCTTTTCATAGCAAATCCAATATTTTCCATAATATGTTTATGTAAATCACCAGGCTTCAGGTTTTGGTCTTGAATTTCAGGGAATTATTTGATCAATTCTTCTTTTATTTGACCCATGTTCAGAGTAGTACATTCATCCAGAAGATCTTGGATGAACTTGGTATGTTCATCATAAATCTTCAGGATTTTTTTCGTGATCCTCCTCGTGGTTTGGGCTCTACTGTGCCATCTTTTGCGTATTTCTCAACAACATTGTTAACAGTTGTCCAAGATAAACCGAGCATTCTTGCGATTGTGGCCCGACTCATGGGATTTTTCCGATAATATTTGTTCACAATTTCGTTCTTGATATCAGTCGTCAAATGTTTTTGCGGTCCTTGTCTCTGTCTTTTTTTTTGACAGTAGCGCCTGAGTCTGGGGTCATTTTATTATTGCTATTAAGTAGGATTGAAAGAAAGAAAAGAATTAAAGCAATTGAAGGAATTAAAGCAAAAGGTAATGCATTATGATGATATTCAAAATATAACTGAAAATTTAGCATAATTAGAGAGGGTGTCGAGTTGTGATAATCTCAAGACGGCTAAAAAATAATTATTTGTAAAACCCAATCAAAAATAAGAATAAAACTCAGACACAGCTGGGAAGATTTATGCTGAAAACATTAATACTAAAAAAAATGTAAAATAGACTTTAATAACCTTGGCTTTCCAAGGCCTATTCTATTAAGTAGATGTAGAGAAGAGACTACTTGCTATCACATATTTTGTTCTGAGGGTAGAAAAATAAGCCCAATTTTTACTAGAAATTTAGTGAAAATTTGAAGCCAAAAGTTAGGGATGCCCTGATTTTTGGCTTCAAATGCTCACTAAATGGCTTCGACCATGAAATTTGCGAAACTAACATTGGAATTTAATTAGGCGCGTTAAATACAAATTTGCAAATGTTTGCAATCCAGGCTCGAAGACACCCTTTCTATTATATATTTCTTGCTTAATGACGTTATTGCCCATAAAATACGGAATATGAAATTATTTGTTTTTTTTAAAAAAAAAACATATCAGTAGCTTAAAAGCAAAAAATCAAACTTTTGCAGTGGAAATTCTGTACTTCTCACTCTTTCACTCTCTCACTCTCAAAGTTTTTGGCATAGTTGACTCTATGGTCGATAAAATCTTATCACTTTGAAAACTTGCTTGCTTATATGCAGGGCATAAAAGCACAGTGTATTTCTAACATGCGATTTATACAGACTTCATTCTGAAGTAGCTATAGAAGAGTAGGTCTCCAAAATGTAATATGAAAAGCACTCAAAATTGCTACAAAATGCTCAGTTCATTTGTCAATACTTTTATTTGCTTCAACTCATCCAAAATTTGATTTTTTTAAAAAAATAAATAAATAAACTTCAGTGGCACTACTTTGTAGCTAATATCCTTAATTTAAACAAAATGCAGAATAGTAATTATTTAATAAAATGACCAAACGCTTAATCAGTTTAAATACGCAAATACTTAATATCTCTCTCTGTGTGTGTGTTCATAGATTATTTATTAATACGTGTAGACTTTATATAGCTTTCGCTTTAAAAAGTAGCCTAAAATATCTTAAGCTCTTTAATTCAAAAGTATATCATATAATATATAAGTCCATCAGTTCACGACAATACGTATGAACAGTGGAATCTTTATCACAGTACTAGAAGCGACCGAATTTCAGGGCGTGACTGATTTTCCTCGGGGTAACCTTGCACTCTTTGAAAATAGGCAAGTCTTTTTCTTTGTTTTTGACAAAAAAATCGCCTTGTCTCCGCCCTCCTCCCCACTTTTGTAGCAATGGCCTTCCGACCACCACCCACTGGACTTGCTAGACACGTTTCTAACCTCTTGAAAGGTGACCTGTTGAAGAAGGCTCCTGTCTGGCTCCCAGTTCTTCAGTCAATTCCCCCTGGACCATCCATCATTCGCGCTCAGCACCACAACCCCATTGAGGTAGCAGCTCTAGATGAATCAAAAGAAGCCTTTAGACAATCCAACACTCGTAATACCGTTGCTGCAACACGCCACAAACAGAAGCATCTTCGTACAAAACCACCACGACCAGTAGCAATTGTCTACCCTGAAGATAAATTAAGAAGACAGTTCTACAGGGATCATCCCTATGAATTGGCCAGACCTAAAGTACTTGTTGAAAACAATACTGGACTGAATCGCACCGACTTTAGCAAACTTCTCTTGCCAGAAATGAACCTGTATGAGGTTGATGGTGAAGCGTAAGTATAAAGAAAGATAGAAAAAAAAAGGAAACCAAAAATTTGGTGGATTTTTCTTTTATTGTTTGGGTGTGTTTCTTGGTTTCTCTGTCATTTACTTATTGTGAGCTTTTATCTTTTTATTTGTGTATGTGTATGTGTTTAGTGTTGTAAAATATCAGCTTTACCTCATGACACACGAAAAGATGCCAGAGAGAAAGGCTTATGCTAAAGCTACATCTGAGTTCTATGAGATCCGTGCTCTCCAGGAACAACAAGAAAGAGAATTGAGAAAGGAAATGTTTACGATCGTAGAATCTAGCCACAAGCACAGCCAGCGTGCATTGCGTCTTGAAGAACGTGCTTTGAAGCAGGTCTAAAGAATCGTCCTTTCTCTTTTTTTCCCCTTCTTCTTGACACTCTTTAGAATGTATAAAGTATTTTTTATTTGTTGGTATTTTTTGTTTTGTTTTTGCTCGATGTAAAAACACGGTACACATCAAGGTAGAGAGAAGAAGAGAAAAGAAAGGATACTTTCTGTATAATAGTTGTGTGTGTTTGTGTGTGCTTGTGTATGCACACTGGGATAAAATAAAAGAAGAGGAAAAATATTTTACACTCAAACGTAAAATATGTACATATATATCATACATATTGCGTTGGCTAGATTCGTATTGAAAACTACATAGTAATTAGATAAAAACAACTTGATAATTAACATTAGCCAATTATCTTGTTATTTTGGTATTAAGCCATATATATGATAATAATAATTGGCCATTTATAAACATTCTATCAATTTGTCTTGTCTTGTCTTGGATCCGGATTATAGCTTACAATACTGGCTGACAGAATGTAAACATACAAAATAAACTTCCTAAGAATCTCAATTATTCAAACAGCTTGATTTCCACTTTATATTTTCTTTAAATGTTTTGACTGTATTCTTTTTATCTGACAAGCTGTAGGAATTTTATAAGCGCAAAGAAGTATATTTCAATCGTTATCGTTAATGAGAATCATAATAAGAATATTATAGAAAGAAAGAAAGGTTGAAAATGAGTTTTTACCACTCTCTCCCTTCCCTCTGTCTTTTTTTGGGTCACTAAAATAACTAAATATAAAGTAAAAATCATAATACATATGTACACACATCTTATTAAATCTCTAAATAAAATATGTGCCTTAATTGCGTGACGTCGAGTGACCACTTGCTGACGTTACTTTGTACTAAAAAACACAAGCAAAGATAGCTTGGCTTCAGGAGAGTTGGCGTTTCATTCTTATTTGTTTATTCGTTACAAAATAAATAAGTAAAAATAAATAGATAATTATATATATTTATATATATAACGAAGAACAATAATAACAAGAATAACAATAACAATCGTAATAACAATCATAATAATGTCATCCGTTAAACCGACCTATCTCGGCGTTTCTGAGCCCATATCAATTGCTCCACCATCCGCAAATGATGAGAAATTAAACGAGAAACTCGAAGCCACGTTAAAAGATCACAACATGTACGAGACGAAAGAAAAAACATGCTTGAGGTACGCTACACCAAAACAAAGAAAAAGAAAAGGGAAATATTTTAGAGTAAAGTATACTTGCTAACATCATCATTCAAAAATTAACCTGCATCTATCGTAGAAAAAAAGTTTTGGAGATTCTTGAAGCATTAACAAAACGAATGGTAGAAAATGTCTACAGAAAAAAAGGCCGTTCTGAATCAGAGATAATGATTGCTGGAGGAACTATAAGAACCTTTGGAAGTTACAAGCTGGGAGTTCATGCAGCAGGTGACTTCTTGTTATTCTTTTTTTTAAAAAAAAAATAGACAGTAGATTATATTACAGGCAATAAAGCTTGACCATTCCATCAAGGAGAATAAATTTTAGATACTAATTCAAATTTATTTGCAGATGCCGACATTGATACAGTCTGTATCATCCCTTGTTATGTAACAACGACCGACTTCTTTGACGAATGGTGCTCGATACTTCAAGCACAGGCTGGAGTGAAAGATGTATCGGTACGTATATAATAATTAAAACGTGTATATAAAAAATTCGATAATGTTCGAGCTTTTTGTTTTTCATGCCTTAATTGAATTCACTTTTATCTACACAAATACATGCGTGTGTCTACAGGCTGTTAAAGACTCGTATGTTCCAGTAATCAAGTTCAAGATATTCGGTATTTCTGCAAGTCATCAAAACTGTATTACAAATTTTTGTTTTGGTTAGCATAATAAATAATATCTGTACATATCTATGTACACACACATGCACACGAACACGCACACACACAATCATATATATATATATATATATATATATAGGTCGACCTTGTGTGTGCCCGAATAAGCGATCCATTTGTACCCGTCGACATAGATGTCAACAGCACTGATTTACTCAAGAAACTAAGCGAAAAAAGTCTTCGGAGCATTAACGGTACTCGAGTTGCCGACGAAATTCTGGCGCTTGTTCCAGACGTTACAGCTTTCCGTACTGCATTGAGGTGCATCAAACTCTGGGCTACGAGAAGAGCTATTTATTCAAACTCACTTGGGTTTTTTGGAGGTGTTGCATGGGCTCTCTTGGTAGCCCGAATTTGTCAACTCTATCCAAATGCATGTGCAAGTACGATAGTAAGCAAATTTTTTATGGTCGTAGCACAATGGGCTTGGCCATCACCCGTTGTTTTGAAAGCAATTCAGGGAGGTCATGGATTCTCTACTCTAAAACCCTGGAATCCAAAATTAGTACGTAACGTTTGTTTTGTTTTATTTTATCTTGTATATATTATTCGTATATACAAGATACACCTTTTTACTGTTATTATTATTTATTAATTATTATATATGCATTATTTAGAGTCACCATGACAGATCTCATCTGATGCCGATTATCACCCCAGCGTATCCAAATATGTGTGCAACGCATAATGTTTCTCAGTCGACTAAAACGATTATATTGGGCGAGTTGAAGAGGGCCGCAACGATTGTCGATCGAATCATGATAGGTTCTTCATCATGGAATGTACTCTTTACTGAACATAATTTCTTTGGTACATATGATCACTATATACAAGTTGTGGCCAGCAGTGATACATACGAATGTCAATTAAAATGGTATGGAAAAAATAACACAATATTACGCTTAAGAGAAAGGAGGGAAAGGTTTAAATAATAATAATAATAATTCACAATTCTCGGTACATACACACACATGTATATATCTATATTTAGGGGTGGTCTTGTTGAAGCTCGTTTACGACATCTATTGTTGAATTTGGACTCTACAGATGGTGTGGCACTCGCTCACCCATATGTTCACGGGTTTGACAAAGCTCATCTGTGTCAATCTACAGAAGAATTATCTGCTGTCATTAATGGTATTGACACAAATGGATACCCTATCACTTCAGAAAATAGCGACGATTGGAAGAACAAGACAGGAGTTTATTTTACACGAACATTCTATGTTGGACTTTATATAAAGCTGAATCCAGGTAAAAAATCGTATCTTTTTTTAAAGAAAATCCTTTCCGTCGACAATGACAACAACGACGATAACGACAACGACGATGATTACGACAACGAGAAAAGAAAATAATTCAACCACGGTTCATGATCTTCGATGAGATAGAAAAAGAGAGACAAAGACAAAGAAGGCGTTTTCTTGGATAAAAGAAGACTACAGTACACTTTTGAGTGTGTGCTCTGATTTCTTTTCTTTTTTTTTGAATCTTTTTTATATATTGCTTTGTGAATTTCTCACTTATATAGCGTGGACGTCAAAGAAAGTGGATATTACCCATGCAATCGAGGATTTCAAGGCAAAACTTACAGAGTCCAATAGTTATGAACCTGCTAGAATGTCAATATCTTTCCAGCAGTTGAAAAGGTCAGCTCAGCAGCAGAAGAAGAAAAACAGATTACTATATTGCATTGCTAGTATTACGCACATACACACGTACGGTTATATTATCAGGAAGAAACTCACTAGGTGATCTTAGATCGATGTTACCTCGGGAATTTATCAAAAAAGATAGTACCAAGCGATCCCCTCAGGTTTGTTTCGCTTAACCAAGACAGCTGTACCTTCTATATTATTATTTTTCACCTCTTTCCATTCAAAGAACATAGTTACAAGATTATCAAAAGTCTGAGAGAGAAAGAGAGAACAGAGTTATTTATTGATGCTCTTATGTGTGTGTGTTAGTCCAATGATTTAGCAACACAGGCAACGCCCGGAAAGAAGATGAAGATATTTGGAGATTCAACAACAGATCAATCAGAAGAGAACAACACTTCGAATGACTTGTCTAATACTTGTCATTCTCTTGGTGCGACAGACTATTCGCCATCACCACCTTCTGTTTCAACAACCATGGATACCAACTTTATTTAGTGCAACTCAGAAGACAATGTAATGCAAGGCAAGGCAAGGCAAGGCAAAACATGGCATGACAAGACATGACAAGACAAGACCGGCCGGAACGAAAAAAAAAACACAAGAAAAAAGAAGAAGAACAAAAAAAAGAATGATTTAAAAAAAAAAAGAACAAAAAAAAAGATAGAATTAGGCGAGGGATTGAAGTCCTTTGGATGTCCCATTCTGGGACTTTCAATTCGAGTGTTACAAATACGGGTAAGGATTTGTTACGGCTTGTTTATTCTTTTCTTTATTTTTTTAAAGAAAAAGAAAAAACATAAAGGCAAAAAAAAAGAAGATAGCTCTCAGAGGACAGAATACCACAACAATATAATTATTTAGGAATCCCATCCATATATACAAATTACATAAAATAACTTAGTACAAATTTGCAAAAAATAACAAAAGAACAAAAGGAGAGTTCTTGAGTTGAGCTTTACTCACCTGTTCTGTAGTGTCAAGAAATAAGTATATATACATACACATATAAATACATATATATATGAATAAATAAATAATAGGTGTGAATTTTTGATTTATTTTTTGTCAAGTTCAATAACTACATTCTTTTTTATTTTTACTGGGATTTGATTATTTAAATGATTGGCCATTATTGATTTGAAAACAAACAAACAGATGGATTCTATTGGTTCAAATATGAAAGTTTTTAATAATTCATCATTATTGGTCAGTATTTAAATCCAGATGTGAATAAATCTGTAAGAGCATGAAATGCTTGCTCTTAAATTTTAATCCTTCTCCCACCTCTCCTTGATGTTATTTATTCAATCCAATTTTGGTAACCTAAAATCCATTTTATATGATTCTTTACAGGCTGGGTGACTGGTTTCTTACAAAATGAACTTACCCCATTTTAAAAAAAAATCCATTACAGGCATTGACTATCTTGTAAGCAAATATGCAAGCGCACATTCGAGTTCTTGACAAGTTGGATAATGAATTCAATACACTAGACCAACAATATTCACGTGGAGAACTACGGGTGTTTGGTAAATATATATATATATCGACCATGGATTCTTTTTTATACATTTTCCTCCTTCCTTTTGGCCATTAATAAGTGATATCGATTATCCTTAGGAAGTGACACAGAAAAGATCTTTAAGGAACTTGATGTAATTCGCCATAAGCAGATTGAGATTGCTGGGGATCACATTGCCATTGAATCCATTGGAGACATCTCGTATGGCAACAACATTATATATTTGTGAATTATTTTTTCTGTGCCTTACTCTTTTTCTTCTTCTTCTTCTTCTTCTTCTAGCCATCAGTCATCACGTTCTAAAGAGGCAGATGTTCAGGATGACTACCAGCGAGAAGTCAATAATTTTAATAAAAAGAGAATTGCACTGAATAATCTTATGAAAAAGGTAGCTTTGATATTCTAGTAAAGAGGATTACCCACATTAATGTGGACTTTTATAATAATAATAAAAACTAATACATACATATATATTAGCTTGATGATCTTAGGACTTCAATGTAAGCCAGGTTTACCCAAATATAATCAAAATATATTTAGAGGATTCTATTTATTAAACATAATCTATTTAGGACTAATTTTAGAGAAATCTCTGATTTGGATGGATAATATATACTTTGGTAAAGTACACCCACACAGAGATATATATATATAATTTCTTGGCTATAGATTATAAAGCTAATTTATATATATCTATACATATATACATATATATATCTCTTGCTTTATCTCTCCAAATACAATACAGGTTTTCCGGAAACAAAGGCCAGTCAACAAGGAAGAAAAATTGTCTTACGGTTGGATAACTGATATGTATATATATAGCTTGTTCCAGTTGCTTTTTATATAATCAAGATTTTTTTTATATTTTTTTTTATTCATTTAAAAAATACATTATTAGAGGAAGTAATCAGGAACTGACTTCTTGATTGGTAGACCTCTGAAATCTTGTTGAGGTGCTGCATCAAACATCTTGTACTCCTTGTTAAGATTATCGTCTAACTTCAATATCGCTGCAACGTTTCCACAACTATATATATATGTGTGTGTGATTTGTTCAATAAAGTGCAAGTTAAATTAGTATTAGTAATACATGAGAACAATAACAAAATGAATAATTATCTTCCTTACCGATAACAGTAGTTGGGTGCTGACCAAACTGTAACAATGGTATCTTTGAACATAAGCTTGTAGCCTTCCATCACCAATTGATGAGCACGAGCAATAAGCTCAAGATTGTTTGTTTGTAAGAACTATATATGCATACAAATTAAAATAAAAAGAAAAAATTAAGAATATTTTCTGTTCAAAGAATTTTTCGTCTTCTTAAAGAAAAACATTACTTACACCATTGACAACGTCTCCTCCAAACAAATAGCCTGCGCCGCGCGGACTATACCCCCATCCTTCGATTTCTAGATTATACACACAGCCAAGGGCACATGTTAGAAAATAATAATAATTAGAAGAAAAGGTGCATAAGCTTATAATATCAATATATCAATATACCAATATATCTATCATTTTCTTTACCTTCTGGATCAGACCATAATAAGTCACACATGGCACCATCGTGTGGGACCTCTTGTTTTCTATCGATGGTCCGAATCTACAACAAATTGCAGGTAAAAATCAACAAAGGAGAGAAGGTAATTAATAAACACACACGCACGCACACTCACTCACACACATGTATACATGCATATATGTATATTTATATATATATATATAAGTGTGTGAGTGAGTGTATATATAGTGCGTTGTCTAGAGAGAGAGAAAGATAATAGCCTTCAAAGAAACAAAAGAAAGAGGGAAAATGGGGGTTTATGAGGGAAATAAAATTACGATACCTGATCAAGGGTTGTGATACTTGGTGAAAGACCTCCATGAACGCAAAAGATCTTGTCATCAATAATAGCACTCAAACTGAGATAGTCAAAAATCTCGCAGCAGTAACGCCACACATTAGCAGATCCAAATTTACGCAAACATTCTTCATAAAAGCCATAGACTTGTGTGATCTGTCGACTTTCATGGTTTCCACGGATTAATGTTATTCGGTCAGGGTAGCGCACCTTGAGGGCAAGGAGTAAAAGAAAAGTTTCGACGGAATACAAGCCACGATCGACAAAATCACCTAAGATGAAAAGGAATGAAAAGAAGAAAAATAAGATGAGATGCATTCTCCAAAGTTGTCCAATTGTTAAAACAAAACAGAGAATGACCATCCGCAAAACCTCACCCATAAACAGATAGTTGGTTTCTGGGCATTCGCCTCCTACTTTGAAAAGCTCCTTGAGGTCATGAAATTGACCTTGAACACCAATAGCAAGCACACACCACACAAGTTAGTACTCCTGGGCATCCCAATGTCCACACAACATGCTGACCGTGAATGTCGCCACAAATCTATGTACGGCATAATGAATAATCGGCAATTCTACAGCAATCTAGCCTCACCGTCACTGGGGCATCTACCCGCTGGACATTGCTTTCTTCAATCAAGATCTCCCTTGCTTTGTTGCACAATTCTTTAACTTCCTGCTCAGAGATGATTTCACCACGACGCAATTGATCGAGTTGTCTATCAAGACGATCTCAGTTACAATTATTTTTTACACAATGAAACAAATAAAAAAAAAGAATTATAAAATAAAGACAATAAAACAAGAACAACAACAACAACAGCAACAGCCAAAAAGAAAAAAGAAAAAAAAATAACAAAAAGAAAAACAGCAAATATAATGTATTTTAAAGAGGTTCTTATTTTCTCTTTCTTTTTCTTCTTATTATGATTATTATGATTTGCTACCTATCAAGCTGTCCCATGGTTCAAGAAAGCGTGCAACACAGCGGGAAAGAAGTAGAGTACAGATGGCTCTATTTTTGTTTCTCCATTTGTCTTTTTTGTATTTTAAACACCGACTAAAACGCACACAAAAATGGCGGTCGCAATAATGAAACAAAATGATGATGAACATATATAAAATATATAATATATTTATAGTGGGTTTAAAGAAATTGACTAGGATTTCGATTATTATTATTTTTGATTGCTTTAAAGCTGATTTTTCTTTTCTTGATGACGTTCTTATTAATTCTTTCTAATAAATAAAGTACCAATTCATTGTAAACCTTATAATAGTTGGAAATATTTATATAAAAGTCAAAAGCCACTCGTCAATGTTAGGCTTAAAGCACCATAGGGCATACAAGCAAGTATATCTGGGCTTAACCGAATAGAAAGATATATATAAAAAAAAAATTACGTCTTGAACTCTTTCCTTTTCCTTCATTGTCTCTGCCCTGAGCCACGCATAAGACGTCACATTTGTAATCTATATATATCTATATCCGTATATAACTACAATTATAGTGATAATTAATTATATATATATATATAGAAAGCCAAGAGTTTATCACCTCTTTTGTTTGTTTTTGACAGAAGCCAATGGTCTTCAATCGCAATCGTGATTCTGAGGAAGCTAATGCCATGCCCATGCTAGCTACTCACGAAGAGGCTATACCCTTAAATCCGTCCCAACCCTCTGATAATCAAGAAAAAGGAGGATGGGTAGACGAAATACCTCCTCATCTTGAACCCTATCTTCACACCATACCTACCCAAGGTCTATCCGAAAGTGAAGTTGCCGAACGACAAACTCGATTTGGAAGAAATGAACTGATTGAAAAGAAACGAAACAAGATAGCCCACTTCATGTCATTTTGTATGCCCCTGATTTTTTTTTTTTACTCTTATATATATATATATATACTTCTTTGGTTTTACTGATATATTAAACCCCCTCACATTAACCGTACACTACTCATATAGCTATTAACATTATTAATATGTTTAGTTACTGGTGCGATCGCCTACCTGATGGAAATATCGATTATCTTGACAGCTATTACAAACGACTGGATCGACTTTGGAATTATTCTGGCCATGTTAATCATCAATGCCATGATTGGCTACATCGAGGAATCCAAAGCTGAATCAGCCGTAGCTGCACTCAAGAACAGTCTGGCACTAAAATCGAGATGCTGGCGATCGGGACGTTTGACAGAAATCGAAGCAAGAGATATAGTAATTGGCGATATAATTGTTCTCCGTTTGGGAGATATCGTACCTGCCGATGCCCGATTACTTGGTCTGGGATCCACTGGTGAAACAGCTGAATCTGATTTACTGGTGGACCAGAGTGCACTCACTGGCGAATCTTTACCGGCTCGGAAAAAACTCGGAAGCATAGTCTACTCATCATCTATTGTCAAACAAGGCCAACAACTAGCCATTGTTGTGCGCACTGGCCACCACACATTTATCGGCCGAGCTGCCAGTCTGATGACAGTTACTACGGACGCTGGTCACTTTCAGAAAGTCATTAATTACATTGGAAACTTCTTGATTGTTGCATCTGTTGTATTGGTTTCTATTATCTTTATTTATGATCTGGTAGAACAAAAGGTCAAGTTTGGCGTTGTCACGAGCCAGCACGTATTACAGGCACTCAATGAAATGGTGGTTTTAACTATTGCAGCGTAAGAGATACATTTATTAATTATACTACATATACGAAATTTCAGACAGGTTCTAACCTTGTAAAACGAAACAACAACAAAGTATCCCGGTCGGTTTACCTACAGTTATGTCGGTCACTATGGCTATCGGAGCCAAGCAATTAGCTAAACGACAGGTCATTGTGAAACGACTGACAGCTGTAGAAGAACTTGCATCAGTTTCGATCCTTTGCAGTGACAAAACCGGCACACTTACTCTCAACGAGCTCACGTTTGATGAGCCTTACCTCAAGGCACCCTTTGTAAAATCAGACATTTTACTCTATTCTTATCTGGCTAGTGAGCCTGCTACTCACGACCCCATCGAAGTAGCAGTTCGAGCAGCTGCACAAAAGGGAAACCCAAAGATCAGTCCAAACGATTCTGGGCATGCCGAAGGATACCATGTCACATCATTCATGCCTTTTAATCCAGCCGACAAGATGTCTCGTGCAACCATACAACACCTAGAGTCGGAAAAGGTGTTTAGGGTAGCCAAGGGTGCACCTCAGGTCATTTTGGCTTTGGTGGGTGGAGATTCTGAGGCAGAGCGTAAAGTGGATGAACTGGCTAGCCGAGGCTTACGTTCGCTCGGTATTGCATGCACAAAGTTGGGCACCAATGACGAGTGGCAGCTAGTTGGTATGTTGAGTCTTATTGATCCGCCACGCCACGACTCGGCCGATACTATTCGCGAGTGCGCAAAGTATGGAATTTCGGTCAAGATGATTACTGGCGATCAGACAAGTATTGCTAAAGAGGTTGCAGGTCGTTTGGGTATGGGTAACTCTATAATGGATGCCGATCATCTTGTCGATCACAACAAGTCTGAACAAGAAGTGGCCGAAGAGTGCCTCAGAGTTGATGGATTTGCTAGAGTTATTCCAGGTAAAAGCGACAATCCAAACAAACAAAGACTGTAGAAGTACAAAGATTTATTTGCGTGTATACGGAAATATTAAACAAATGGATTTATATGAATGAATAGAGCACAAGTATCGTGTAGTAGAATTATTGCAGGGTATGGGATACTTTGTAGCCATGACTGGTGATGGTGTGAATGATGCTGCTGCCCTAAAAAAGGTAAATGATAATACTAATACATCTAAGTAGAAGAATTAACATTTATGTTTTTTCTTCTTCTACATTTATTTTGACAATATGTGTATTTATCTGTACATATAGTCCAATGTTGGAATTGCTGTTCATGGAAGTACAGATGCTGCTCGGTCTGCGTCTGATATCGTATTACTTGCACCCGGACTGTCTGCGATTATTGAGGGTATCAAAACCTCTCGTATTATTTTCCAGCGTCTGCGCTCTTATGCTCTCTACCGCATTACATCAACTATACATTTCCTGGTCTTCTTCTTTATCGTAACCCTCGTAGAAGATTGGCAGATGCCCCCCATATTTTTGATCCTGATCTCTGTACTCAATGATGCGGCCACTTTAATTATGGCCGTCGATAATGTCAGCATATCTCTAAAGCCAGACATGTGGCGCCTTGGACTTTTAATTGTACTTTCTTGTGTCTTGGCGGTCGTGTTGAGCATTTTCTCGTTTGCACACTTTTACATATTTAGGGACATATTTCATGTTACTCCCGGACAATTGTCTTCAATCATGTACCTTCATATTTCTTCTGGTAAAGTCAAATGTTTCTTTTCTTGTATTTACTGCACTAATACTAATACTAATATTAATATTAATATTAATCCTATTCTACTCCATTTTTTTTCAAAAAAAAAAAGCTCCTCACTTTGTAATCTTTTCCACTCGTATCGAGTCTTTCTTCTGGAACAACATTCCTTCCTGGCCATTTACTTTGGTTGTGCTGGCGACCCAATTTGTTGCACTGATCTTGTCCGTGTACGGTGTATTTGGAAAGATACCGAATGTAGAGCCAATTGGGTGGCCACGCGGAATGATCATTATGGCGATATCGATTGGCACATTTATGGTAGTTGATCTAGTCAAGGTCTTTACGATCCGGTTGTGGAATCGTTTTGCAGATAAACAAAGAAAACCAAATATTCCACAGGGTCGTGCTCAGCGATTTCAGCAGCAGCAAAATGAACAACATTCACGTACGGGGTACGACAGAGCAGAAAGAAGAGAATCTGTCAACTCTGTTATATCATTTTAAACAGATACAATATACATATATACATTTTTAATAAAATATTTGATGTCTATAATCTACCGTCTGTTTCCAACTGTAAATAAAGATGTATATACGGTTCGCCTTTTTGTTTACAATTAAGTACAATTTCTTAAATTATTGGATTTCTTTCATTTGGTTTATTTTACTCTTTATTTGGTTTCTTTTATATACAAAATAGTAACAGGATGATATCATAATATCTAATTGGGTCTGATATGATCTAAAAGCGATGCTTCAAGCATTGCAGGGACATTTGGCCTTTACACAGTTATCCCATTCGCTGGTGGTGTTGTGGTGGTTGTTGCAGTAAGTAAATATATTGTCTGTTCAGAAAGATGGGAATTGTAATTTATTTGTTAGAATTCATTTTGCTGATTTGGCTTATGTGTATCATCTATATCTTACCAAGATACAATTCACAACTGTGGGTTTCATTTCTGGTTCCATCAGATTTGTTGTAGCATAGACACATGGATGCATCTGTGTTGGTTTTGGTGGGTGTTGTCATGATACATTTGCAACCTATTGGGCTCAGCTTTGGGGTGTGTACCGAGGCAGCCAAGGCAGTGGCAGCAGCGAAAAGGAAGATCAAGGAAAGTGAAAACTTCATTGTAAATATAGAGAAAGAGAGAGAGAGGCTAAGAGTGAGATGAAGAAATTAAAATTGGAGATTGTAAGCAAGCCTTTATATATCAGAGTAAATATGTATAAGCATGTATAAATATATATTTATATATTTTATATAATAAATGTAGTTTAATACTTCATTAAAACTATTACCCATTTTTGGAATTAATTTCATACACTTTTCTTGTGCGGTCATCATTAGCCTTTAAAAGGATAAAAAAAAAAGACGGGCGGTCAGGGAACAGCACAATGAAAAGAAAATCTCCTTACTTTAAATCCACATAATAGTATCAAGAAGTAAATGGAATTGTGTGGTCGCTTATTTGACGAAATAAAATCATATTTTTTTAAGAAAAAATAGGATAAAGACAAGAGAAGAAGAGGAAAATGAGAATAAGGATTGAGGGAGAAAGTGTAGCAACTGATTCTAGTTGACTCTAAAGAGGTATGGCGTATTGGCGGTCAAAATGCGTAATATCAAATGCATCAAATTAAAAACAAATCAGTGTTTTAAAGAGGTTAAATATAATTTCGCGTGTTCTGTTTGAATACAACTTTAATCTTCTTCTTTTTTCATTTTTTTTTTGGTGTGTAACTATATGGTTTCTGCTGCACCACAAGTAGATGTCAAGTTTTAAGTGCGAATTCAACATCATCTCCGCTTTTGAATTAATGGTCGATTTTTGGAAATATTTTACTCACACTGTATATATTAACATGTTTATATTTTGCTGCTTGTAGTGTTGTATTTGGGGCCATGCTTTTCACTTTCTTTATTTTTCGTTTCGCCAAGAAAATCAAGGAGATAAAGGGATATTAAGGGAGAGGTTGGTGATGATATTTGTATCACAGCCCCCTCTCTCTATATATTTATGTATCTTGTTAACTTTTTTCCTATCATTATTTAAGAGCATTGTATTGCCATCGTGTTTAAACTATACCCTACCATTTTACTTTACTTAATATTCAATTTAATAGCTGTCTTGTCCATTTAAAGTATTATGATGACCTTTTGGCTATTTATAAACCACCGGTTGGCGCCACCCAACCACATCTAGTACGATTGTATTACTTTTGGGAAGTCTGGATAATAGCAATTGATTGGTGCTTCAAAGCCAATAGTCTTTCTAGGGTAGTATACACCAAAACAAGTAAAGCGTATGTAATAATAATAAAGTAAAAATCAAAGAAAAAGAGATGGAGAAGAGGGAGGAGTTAAAGAACAAGATCTATAGGCTCCCCTTTATGTGAATAAATAAAGAAACCACTTTGACTTTATAAATCCCAAATTCCAGGAGCTACCTTTTTCTCTTCTTCTTCTTTAATTGTACTTTGTTCTTTAAAGATTTGTCTATTTACAAAAAGAACTAAAAGGCAGCTTCTTTGGCTTTCAAGGGCGGAAACGAAAATAAAATAAAAGGAAATACCCGAGATAAAATTAAGAGCCCATGGAATTGATTGATTTTTGCTTGATAAAGTATCTAATATGTTATAGAGGAGAATAAATTAAGGTAATGAAAAAGATAAAATAAAACAAACCAAAACTTTACTTGTCATTGTTCTTCTTCCGCTTATTTATATACTCGGTCTAACCATCAATTAACCTTTTACTTGAGAATTAAGAACAAGTATCGACTCGAAATAAAGAAAGGTCCGGAATTTATAGAACATCTCTAGAAGTCGTCTTTTTTTTTTGCTTTCTTTCGCTTGACTTATTATTACCAATCTTTTATTCACATACACTAAACAGAGTGAAAAACAAAGAAGAATTGCCCATTTACACTCCATAAGCTCAATTGCATATTCATTTTGCACGCACAGTTGCACTTGTCGACGTCGTGTGTCCTACGTTTATTTCCCTGATTTTAGATATAATCCGTATTTCCTAAAATTGTTTCAAAAATAAAAATACAAATAATACAATATAAAATAAAATAAAATAAAATAAAATAAAATAAAGGACATAATACAAACACGCACATACACATTAAAGCGCCGGGCCGAGGTATCATATGTGCAATAAAGAGCATTTCTTCTTCTTGTTCTTCCTCTTATTAATAATAATCTCGGCGGCTCATTCAGTAATAGTATCTGTTCTTTACTTGTCTCAAAATAGAAATAGTAATATTAGTTTACATTGACAAAATGTCTGCAATTTAGCCACTCCTAAATACAAACAAGCCAACCAAATTTATATATAGCAAATTAGTTTTCTATGCAGGTTCATTACTTTAAATTTCATTTAATTAAAAGTATAGGACATCACACTTGGTAATAATAAAACCGGCGTTAGTTTGAGATTCTAACACAAATTTCTTGGGGGGTTTCAAAGGGTACGCTTATTTTGATATTTTAGAAAAAGTGCTTTTCCTCCCTGCTTTACATAAATTGGGACGTTGCAGGCGGCTTGACAACGACTGAGGATGTGGCACAGGCTCTCAGAGTAGTTCTTTATTCATCATAATGTTTTGTGATATCCTACTCTTTACATCTTTTTAAGGAGGAATATTTATCATATTTTTTTTCTTTCTTTCTGTGGTAAAGGGCAGGCAAACCCGGTCTAATTATTAGTACAAACAAATAAAAACTACTGTGTGTTTAAATCAACATCCTAAACCATGGGCAGGAAATCACCACACCCTCAGTCGTTGTCAAGTTGTGGGCAACATCTCTGTTTATTCTATATATTTAGAGTATTCACAGTGATTTGTCTTGATAAATGTTTTAACCAAACAAAAAAAAAGTTTTAGACAAATATTTAACGGATATTCAAATCTACCCACTCAGTATTTTTAAGTCTCATATGAACAATTATATAGAAACCAAACTATGCATGACAATAAATAAGCCAGTTTTTGAATTTACCGATAGAAACTTTCCAAAAAAAAACCCCCTCAAGACATATATGATTGGTATATAATGTGGAAAGATACGGATATAAACTTTATAAGGAATTGAGTTTTTATTGATGAAGTCAGCTTTTATATCAACATGAGATTCAATTGGAAAAATTCTGACATTGCAACACAAGCAATAGTAAATACGCCAAAGCCAAGAGGAATTACTCGCAGCATCTTGGTTGTTATTCACAATTCAACAGTAATGCATGTATCGTTGAAGCTGCCACTCAGAAAGCTGAAAACAGAAAATAACCCTATTCCTTTCCCAAAAAAAAGGACTAACAAAAGCAAAGGCGTAAAAAGAACTGCTGATGAAATTGATGATGAACAAAAAAATGAACATGACGAGAAAGATAAAGATGATTAAGTATTAAATTTTTTTAAAAAAGAAACAATATCCCATTACTGGTAAAAAAAAAGTCTTCAAGAGTACTAGCACACTTCATTTTATTAAGATTATTAATGATCTGTTTGATGTTATGGATAAAGATGAAAGGTTCCAAAACTCATACCTGGTTCTCGACAATGCTAGTATACATAAATAGGATCCGCTGTACCGCAAGGTAGAACAAAAGGTTTGCAACGCCTGCCTTCTTACTGCTTCTCACCCAAGCTTAATGCAATTGACGAATTTTGGGTAATATCAAGGTGAAAATAAAGCAATCAAAAATGAATCCGACCGAAAAAAACCTATCAAGTATAATAAAGGATGTAAGCAATGGGATACCAGCTAGAAACTTGTACGATTGATGTGCTTATTCAAAATGTATGATAAATATTTGCTTTATTAAAAAACCAATAGATATTTAATATGTGTAGGTTACTTTTGGGGATAATGCTACTGGGGAGAGGTAAGGTAATCGGGTTTGAGCGGGATATGGATCAATTGTGCCCTGGGCTGCTGGAGACACTCATAGGATTATGTTCTGCCATAGTACTTGTGTGTCTTTCTTCATTCAAGCGACTATGATTGAGTTTATTATACTGCAAAGTTATTTTGGTTTCTTACCCTTTGATCGTAAAATGGTTTTATGTTCTTGTTAAAATTCCTTCAGCACTGATAACGTTCCCTGCAAGCAATCTATATTCCAAAACTCAATGTTGTGAGTTAATACACTCTTCCTCTATCTAAACCATGCTCTTGTGCCATCCAACTTAGAGTAAGTGTTTTAAAGACGCCAATAAACGGATGAGCTGGAATATCTTTTTCAGAGAATCTTATAGGAGCACTCACCCTCTACTATTTGGTCACAATGTAAATGCCAGGTATATATGTTGGCATTGTCCATTGTCTGGTAGAACTACCTATGCAAAGAGAAAAATACAGTTACTCACACAAAATGTACTTAAACATCGTATTTCACGAGTCACTTACGATGGGCATGTAGGAAATGGATTTAAAATTTTGTGAAAGTATTTAATGAGACTTTGTCACAACAGCGCCACAGTTCGTACTATTGAAAATGTTCCAAATATGGATTTATAATGGTCAAAACTTACACCCGGCTTAGGGTGAAATTGACTTACTTCCAACTCCGCCATGACTTCTTTCTATGCAAGAAGACCATCCTCTATTTTCCTTTCATTTTAATTCTGTAATCTCTCTAATAAAACAAATCACAATGCCAAAGAACAATAAAGCTAAAACTACCAACTCATATTATAAGACAACAGATTTCGAAAAAGGAATGATTATTGGAAGATATAAAGAAGGACGTAGCTCCTATGAGATTTCACATGCAGAAGGCATACCCCAATCAACTGTTTATCATATAATTAAAAAATACGAGACAAAGAAGACGTGCGCTGAGAAGGAGCATCCTAGGGCCTCTAAGAAGCTATCACCATGGGCAATTCGTTATTTGAAGTTCACCGCAAAAAAAAATAGACGTGACACATTAGCTACCATCACGCGCAGTGTTAAAGAGATGCATGACATCTCAATCAGTCAAGCAACAGTACGCAAATATCTGCACGATATGGACCTTCGCTCTTGTGTTGCTGTAGCCAAGCCTTACCTAGATGAAGCACATAAGAAGGCACGCTTGCAATGGGTTAGGGAGCGAAAAAATTGGAATGATGAATGGACATCAGTAATTTGGAGTGATGAGTCCAGATTCACCCTTTTTCAGAAAGGTGGACAGCAATATGTTTGGCGCCAACCGCATGAGAAGTATGACGATGACTGTCTGGTACCAGCAGTGCAAGGGTTGGGTGGTTCAGTATCAGTTTGGGGATGTATTTGGGCAGGAGGTGTTGGCCCACTAGTTATATTAGATGACTACATGACAAAAGAAATGTATGTCCAGACACTGAGGGACAACTATCTCCCATTTCTTGCTGCCCTTCCTGACAAGGACACCGCCACCTGCCTTCTCCAAGAAGACAATGCCAAGCCACATAAGAGCAAGTTGGCGGAACAGTGGAAAAAAAGAAACGATGTGGCTATCTTACCATGGCCTGCAAAAAGTCCAGATCTCAATCCAATTGAGAATATGTGGAGCTACCTTGATAACAAGGTTAGAGATAGAAGACCCCAGCCTACCACGCTAAAAGAACTGGACGTTGCTTTGTTGGAGGAGTGGGCAGAAATCACAGCAAGTACTTGTGTGAAGTTTTGCCTGAGCATTAAAGATCGTATGATATTAGTCAGGAAGAAGCATGGAGGAGCTATTAACTATTAAACCTCCATCAATTTTTAATATAAATAAGCAACACATATTACAAAATCTTCCATTCATTTTTTGTCTTTAAGGATCATGTCTTTGAGAACTTATTTAACCTTGAAAAACAGAGGTGTACTTCTTTGATTTTAGCGGAGTTGGAAGTAAGTCAATTTCACCCTAAGCCAGGTGTATTTTACCAGCTTCATTTGAGCCATAACCAGACGACACTTCAGTCAAAAGAGTTTCAGTGGCAGAGATATCATTGACTCTTAGTATTCCATCATCATTATACTTATATCGGCGATCATTCATTCCTTTATGTTTTAGTGGTATGGATATGACAATGAGAGAAGAAACTTGGGTGGAGATAGTTACCGAGAGGGTGCGTAGGAAAATATAGGTAGATTGGAATTAAAATCACTATCCTAATCCCTTGAGAGATTTGCCAATGTGCAGATCGCTAAAGGTCTCATGCCAATATCAGTTGTACATTTGGATGTGGGTCGGTAACAAAAGTAAGTTGAAGGTCGATCAAATTTAAATCGCACTTGACACAATTGTATATGTTCGTCGAATGGATATAAAAGTTGTTGTTGGTGAGGTTATTCTTTGTATCATTTTTTTTTATATCTTGAAGTTTATGTTTGACCACAAAAATTTGTATCGCTCTTCCGAAAATAAAATCGTTTGAACTGGGCGCACCAATGTTGAGCATTTGTTATTGACAAGGCAGATTAATGAAGTGAATAAACCATTCATAATTGTGGTGCCCAGAAAATTAGTTTTTTTTTTCGAACTGTCATTTTTTTATTAAAACCATTTTAATGTTTTCGTATCTTGTGCCAGCATTAGGTAGAGATGATTGTGGAGTGTTCCCTTTCTTTGATGCTGCTGATTTCCCATAAATAGTATCGATGGATGACAGTTTTGAATACATTTCACCACGAAGGACAAATAATATATTTTGTTTTCTGTAGGTATCGTATCTTCCATCGGTCTGGCACATTAGTTAACTATTCCAGGGTTTTGTGTCTACCCGTACCTTAATCAGAATGCGATTTTGTATTCAAGTTCGATATAATTTGACTTGGAAAGCAGATTTCTATAATGGTTATCCAGAATCGCTAATTCTAGAGAGGCCACATTTTGATTCTAACAAACCACAGTATGTGTCTACTCTGCTACGATCTTCACCTGAGACAGCGTGGCATGAATCAATAGCTTTGGAGGAAAGGGCAAACAGATTTGCTTACCTTTCTCTTTCAATGAAAGGCCTTTGGTCACTTTCTGGCTATATAGATAGAATAGGTAAAAGAGAAAGGTATCATACGCGTAAGAAGGCTAATAAATAGTAAAATGTCCTACAATATTGCGTCACAAAGTCTGTTATGACAACAACTCCTAATAATCTTTTGTATAACTGGCTATTGATAAAGTGTATTCGTAGCTATTTTTTTAGAGTGGTCGAGTCTAAATTTAGGGCTACTAATTGAATGCATTGTATGAATTTCAGGACACACCATTTTGCCCTGAAGGATTAAAGAAAGACGCTGTAACCCGAGCATGGCCAGGTCAAATAGAAACTTCGTGCCCCACTATAAAATATTGGCCCTGTAGGACTGTTGATCCAGAATGGTATTGCAGATGGAAGGGGAAGAAACTTTGAGTGAATCATCTTCAATGGTTGTCTTTCTTTCTTTGGGCACAACTAGAAAAATGATAGCAATAGATCCTTCTCTTGTAATGATATCACATTCTGAATAACTTTTGGCGCAGCTAGTAAGCTGTGCTCTTTTCCTTCATAATCAGTATATGGCATTGGCCTTATATCCCTTAAATATGCTATCCGAGATTTTATTTCATTTTCTCTGTCCCTTTCAGGTTGATTTGATGCGTTGAATACTGGTGGTACGGCCGTCTTGTAACAATGTCTTGTTGTTTTTTCTTCTTCTTGCTCTTCAATGGATGTGGGGGTCGTCACTATATCAAGAGAAACATGAGCACTATCGTCAACCTCAGATGCAGTCTCCACCCGATTTATTTCGTTCCCGGGTTGCTATTGCGACATTTACGACAAGCATAGTAAGTCTTCACTTCTTGCATTTTGGATGTATTTGGATGTACTCTCAGCTTACCATTTATGACAAAACTTGCAGGTTAAGGCAATTGTCGACTCGATCAAGATTTACACATTTTACGAATTCTATTTTAAAAAATTAAGTTAATAATATACGACAGTTTGTTTCCGTCAGCTTCATTTTGCTTTATACTTTTATTTTTTACCTTGTGAATCGGCATAGTTAAAACTATGTGCTTCATTATTATATTGGTATTTGTGATTCTGGAGGCTTTTCTTATTAAGCTTATGGTGAAGGCATGGTGGAAGCAATGTCTATTCAGTTTAATAATACTGAAAAGAAGAGTATTGATTGGAAAAAAGGCAGTTGAAAAAACTGACAGGCAAAAATCAAAAACGTCTGAATTTCCTTTTGTAAACGTTTAAAATTAAAATAGAAGTCGTCCAAAGCAAAAAAAAAGAGAGAGAGAGAGATGGTCCAAAAGGTAAGTGAAAAGGCTGATTTTTTATGCTCATATTTGTATGATAGAACAGAGATTAAACTTTTTTTTTTCTTCTTCGTACTCTCTTAAATTATTCATAGAGTTTGGCCACTGAAGATCTTCATCCGTGACACACTTTACTGAAGTGTCGTTTGGGGTTCTTGATTACAAACTAGATTGATTAGTAAAAAAAATGCCTGCTTGACTGTAACATAAATATGTAATTTATGTGTAGGACTCTTACTAACACTTGAATATAATCAACGTTTTCTTCTTCTTTTATTTTGGTCCGAATTATGCTTGGATATTTTGATAGTCTTATTAGACTCGATAGAAAAAGGAAGAAACTGGTATGATTATGAAATTGCTAAATTTGTACATCATATATACATATCACCAGCCAATCCTTAGTCAGCTACTTAGGTGAAAACAGCTTAATATTTTTCTCGCATTTTCTTCTCAAAACTGAACATAAACCACTCTAAATCACCTGAAAATCGAGTTTTCTTATGACTGAATCTTCTCTGTTCCCAAAAAGAAAAAAAAAATCACTCTGAATTCAAAAAATCTGAACCTATAATTTCGGAATCTTAATTACGCGTCATCATACGTAGTCCTTACTGTTAGCTGTATAAATAGCTGTAGCCAGCTTGAATAAGCATGTCTTTATCTCAAATAATTTGTAATCATGTCCAACATCGAAAAGTTTGTTAATGACAGCATTGCCAACAACAAGGTTGTTGTCTTCTCCAAGTCGTACTGCCGTAAGTAACTCTCTTTCTCTCTGCTTATTATAAATAAAAATTCAATATATATATATTAAGACTTTAACCGAAACTTTATTAATATTATCTTTATCCTTATATAAATAGCTTACTGCACCAAGGCCAAGAAGATTCTTGCCGATTTGAAGGTCGAGGTCTTTATCGTTGAATTGGACAAGCATGGTAATTGTTTTATTTCTATCTTTGAATAATTGCCTAACGGAATGCGCTATTATACCAAATTTTTAATTTTTTTTTAAAATATATATATATATTGTTATTATAAATACACAGCCGATGGCGCAGCTATTCAGGACTATCTCCAGACCTTGACCGGTCAGCGTACAGTTCCCAACATCTTCATTAACACCAAGCACATTGGCGGTTGTGATTCCCTTACTGCTATCTACAACAGCGGTGAACTTCAAAAATTACTTTAAATAAATCATAAAAATTATATGTATACCATTTTTTTGGAGGGAAGGATTAGATCTTCGTGCGATAATGAAAAACATTCTGGGTTTGTGTCTTGGGATGATTGTGAACTATAGAAGAAAGGAGTGAGTGGCATTGTAGCTTTACGAGATATATATATTTGTATGGAGTTATCTTTGACGCGCACTGTGGGTTGATGTAGGATAAAATACAAGATGATGACAAACAATAAATAAATCAGAAATCAGAAATCAGGAAAACAATGACAAGGCTCAATAGAAGTGTTCCAACAATAACATAACCGAACCAGGCAAAAAATATAAAACTCTTCAGATATCTTGCATTACTTTAAGAAAAATAATACTATACTTCCGTATCAGAAACCATTGATAAAATCTTTGATTCCTGCTTCCAAATAAACCATACTTCAACTTCATTATGGTATATTTTCGCAGAAAAATGACAAAATAAGACAAGTTTTTGTTCTGTTATAAATAAATGTATACATATATATATATATATATTGTAGAATTAAAAAAAACAAATTCTAACATATGATGTGGTTACCACAAGCTTTAATTAACACTTTGTCTCTGTCGGGTGGGCTTTTCACAAATGTGCATAGCTTCTCGGCCGAGCTGCTCCCGTTTCTAGGTGATAGATATTTTAGGATCTTGGATATTACTCGTAGAACTTTTTATTTATTGAACTCTGGCTTTTATATTATGCCAAACATCCTCGATTGTGTGGAGATTTGGATTTTGCAATCTAATAGTCAAATCGTTGAATTTTCTAATAGTTTTCCAATCATATCGGATAGAACCCAGTAAGTTGACTAACAATATCTTGTTTGAATATAAGCATTGCGTGATGTTCTTTATTCAATTTATTTAAACATAGGGTTAAAGTTTTCGGGCATATAATGAATATATATGTCTTGTATAGTTGCTAACATGAATTGGCATCCGGAATTTTTTTATGCCATGTATAACTTTTGAAAGGATTACATCTTATACTCAAAGAAAAAAAAAGACTGATAGCACCTGTATTAATCTATTTAGTATTTGAGGTCTTGATCTTGCTCTAGCTGCTACAATACGATACTAGATTTTCATAATGTTGTAAAATACGGCTATAAAATGTTCATGTGGAAGCCCAACAAAAAATAATCCGATCCACGCATAAGCTTCAATAACTCACATCTAAATGGAGGACTTTTGAGCCTTTTGTTTTATAATAATATTTGTCAGTAAATATGACGAAAACGCTTTATGAAGAGAAATATAAAGAGTGTAATAAAAAAAACCCAATAAAAATGCAAAAAATGTGGTTAATTGGTGATTTATGAAGTAGGGGTGTAGCAGGAACAGTAAATGTATCTATTTAAAAAATCGACAAAAAATTAATATTTTTATTTTTCGTTTATGTATTCAGTACTGACCTGAGCCATTAAACTCATTAATGTTTGATATCGGAAACGTCGTTTTCATCGCTGCCATTGTTGCCGTAGCCATGCATGACATCTGAGTATTCACTATTGATCTCATTGTCAGACATGAAGTTGGAATCTCAAAAAGACGAGCTAGCCCGATTCACCATCGCTTTTACAGAATCAGATGAAAAGGTTGTGATTACTGCAAGTAAAATTTACAGAGGTTTATTAGTTTTGATATGTTTTCTTCAGAGAATAAATAAAATAAAATTACTTCACATTATCTACTTTCATGGTTCTCTTTTCAGCTGTGTTTTACTCACAGCTATATATACATATAAATGGTTATTAGACAGTAAATGGCAAAAGCCCATATCAAATACATTATAATATTCTTAAATATCTAAACAACTTCAAATGTAACTGTTTTGTTATCAGTCTGTAATATGTGTTGCTATTCTAGAAACAGCTTGCTGATTATTATTGGATCTACTGCAGCAAGAGTCCCTGATGCGTGTCTTTGGGATAAAACGAGGGGATGGAATATGTTGTGTGCATTTTGAATTGTAAGTTATTAGTAAAGCAAAATATATTGCTTTCGAAATTTTATCAACTGCGATGTTAAAGCATAATGAACTTGAAGTATTTTGCATTTTGTACTTTTTATTTATTTTAAATCAAGATGATTAGACTATTGACGTACAAGCACTGTTTTAAAAAAAAATGTGTAGAAGGAACAATGTTGTACTTAAGTTAGATCACCTACCACCACAACTCTTAGTATCCTCCATTACCTCCATCTCTTAGGAAGCATATATTGGCATCATAGTGTTGATATGTTTGTATAAAAGTGGAACATGCCAGCTCTAACTACTTCGAGGTAAAAATCAAACAGCTTGGCATACATTTACATTGTTGCATATAAAATGACATTTGTTTTTACAGCAATGACTCCGTGAATATTTAATAATTAATTTTTCTTTTACAGTGTATTCTCGACCCACATGCATATGTTTTTACTGTATCAAGATACGGTTAAAATGAAGCGCAATTTCCGACAACCCAACCTCTTCATCTCTTTTGCCTCTTATTATTCTAAATTCAATATTTAAGCAATATAAAGTGTATTAACAATTAAATAAAAAATGACTAATACTTTACCATCCACTAGGATACATAAATATATATTCGTCCAGAGTAAATGAAAACAATAACGAGGATTCCAACTTAATCGTAAGACAAGTTAAAGAAAATTGAATTACCAAGGTGGGTTGGATGGGGAGAAAGCATGCAATAACTGGATAACTGTAAGTGGTCAACAAGAGGATAATATATAGAAACAACTAGGAGATTTTGAGTCGTCGGTTTTGTAAAGAGAGTCAACGGCTGTCATTTACAACATAACATTAGCGCAGTTCAGTTTTCTATATTTTCTTAAAATGCAGCAGGACATCCTTAACCATGTAATATCTGATTAAATCTTTGTTTTTAAGGATGTCAAAAGGTTTCACAAACGTATACTACTCTTCATTGCTGTTTTCTTGGACCTTCAAGACTATCTCTGGTAAAACAGCTTGATATATATATATTCTTTCATAAAATATGCCGGCATATACAACATGCAACCTAAAAAACTTATAAAGTAAAATAATCATAATAAAACCGCTGTTTAAGGTGCTCTTCAGCGATCTCAGTATAATTATTTTGGCTATAAGAAAAAAACGGGAAATTACAAATAAAGTAGAGAGACTGCTTTTTATAGTAATCATGATACACAGCCATAGATTTCACTCCAAAAACTAATGTGAAACATCTAATTTAATTGGTGCTGTTGTAAATGAGTATTGGCTACTGCTGTAATTGAGAATAAGTCTGAAGGAAATAATATAAGGCCTCAGCTATTCCAGTCAAAGGTGTCTACCGATTACTTTATTATTTAACACACAGGTTTAGCATGCATGATAGTGATTATATTTCATATGATGATATCACCATAATATGGGATACATCAGTGGATTATTATAAGCATAATTATAACTCATAAACACATTTACTTTCGATGTTAATACTTCATTAGGACTACACACATTTATATAATTAATCATACATTAATTATCCCAAGATCACGTTGCTCTGATTAAGGCTCAGATAGGATCGATTACCTGACCCCAGTCATATAATTTTCCCAATCCAAAACAATATAAATAGCAGTAGTAGTTCAGTGTAGGAACCTGGTCAAACTTTGATACAAAATCTTTCTCAATAAACAAAACCTACACAAGTTCTCACGAATCTTCGTTCCTAATTTCAAATCTTCAATTCTTCCTCTTAAAAACTTCTTCAACTTCAACCACCACAACAGATGCAAAACCTCGGGAAACTACTTGGCAAAACTATATTCAAGAGGCGTTGATATAAATGGAAACGATAGAACCAATTATAGTTTACTAAAATAACTGCTCGCTTTCAAATACTTTATTATTTAATAAATATTTTAATATGTCTTTTGCCTTTGTTCCTGTAATATTTACATAACAACTCTCTTTTTTAAAACAAATATCCTATCAACAATGAACCCTACCTTTACCAACACCAACTCCATTCACCAAAATGTGTTGAATATGGTTCCTTCGCAAGAAATAACCGTTTTCCAAGAAGTTCCTCAATCAGGAAGAACCCAAACTGTTGGTCGTCCATCTGCCTGGAATGACAATATTATTAAGGTCCTTCTTCGCCTGATAATTGACACTGGGTTTTATGCAAAGCATGCCATCTTGGATAACTCTGGAAAGACAAGACTATGGCAGAAACTTCATGATGATTTCTGTAATCATCTAGATGTTGTCCGTTATGCAGCATCTCCTCTCAATGCTGGGTTTTCTAGTAAATATGAAGCTGTCAAATATATAAAAGACAAGTTCCAGTCGATCAAGAAGGATTTCCAAAAGATTACTGCGGAAATCAGAAGAACTGGATCTGGTGGACCTCCTCCTCAAGAAAGGTATATCCACTTTGATGATATGAAGGAGATTACCTTGAGCAACCCTGGTTTCTTCCTGTCAATGTTGATGGAGACAGGCCGTGTTGTTGAGGAAGTTGTTGCTGAAGCCGTGATCAGCATCTGCCAAGATGACGGTGTTACTTACAAGAACACCCAATTGACAACCCCTTCTTTTGTCTCGGAGGGACGGTCTGAGATGAGTCAGTGGTCCTACAGCACTCCCAATCCTGTCCCATCCCCAAGACAAGGCACGGAACCAGTGTCAACATCCGGGACCAGAAGAACCACGCCATCTGAGCTCCAGCAAGCCTTCCTGGAAAACTCAAGAAGCCAAACTGACATCATGACATCCATGCACGACCTTCTCAGTACCAGGTACCAAAGACTTGAAGAGCTATATGAAGATACTCTTCAGCAATATAGACTGGATGTGATAGCATCTCAAGAAGCAAGACGTTTGGATTGGGAGAGTAGAGAGCTGATTGCAACACGTGAATATAATAGACAAGTTATAGCTGATGAGAGAGAGGAAGAGTCAAGAAGGTCTCTATTGGAAATACTTTCTAGACGTAAAAGATCAAGAGGTCCATCATCTTACCTCACTCGTATAAATGAGTTAAATTAATAAAATCATCTATTTTTTCTTGCTTTTTCTTATATAATAATATATTCATCATTAATTACCTCTTATTTATCTCATTAACAATATAAAAGCATAGCTTTTCAAATCATTTTGGTCCAATTTAAAATCTATTTTAAAGAAAATGTATAAATGTTTTATGAGACAATATATAAAGAATCTTTCTCTTCATCTCTTCTAAGTTTTCCCTCTGTACTAAGTCTAGCTCTTGATCGTGTAGAGAGTACTGGCGTAATGGTAGCATCATCATCATCATTGTCAGAGTTGTCATTGTTATTATTATCATTGTTTACAATGTCTAAAGTTGTACCATCCATGTTATTGGTACGAGCAAATCCATACATTGTGGGTTCTTCATATTGCGAATCATCAATGTCTTGTCACAACATATCATTAAGATACTCCTGGCTGTCTCCATACATAATACACAGATTATGCAATATACAACATACTGTTATGACTTCACACATTCTTTCTGTGGTAAGAACATACAGATGCTTAAACATAAACCGCCACCTGATTACAAGCAATCCAAATGCATTCTCAATAGCAAATCTGGTAGATGATTATACCTTGTTGAAGTGCTTTTCACGTCGAACAGTTGTTGAATGGCTATATGGGATCATGCAATGCTTAAGAATTGGATATGCTGAATCTGATATCATTACAGATGTACAAGTTTAGATATAGTGTAAATAATTATGTATTTATAAAAACATACCTCCTACTATGTATGATCTTAGATCAGGAAAGAGTGCTTGGGGATTGTGAATCATATCATTATAAAAATAACTTGTTGTAAAGATATGTGTATCATTTTGACTACCTAATTATAGAATATTTTAGAAAGAGTAACATCTTTATTGTTTATCAATGTCATTTACCTGGATGTCCAACCTTGATCTTTATGAACATCTTTTTGTGATCACATACAGCCATGAGGGACATTGAGGCATTACCATGTCGGTCCAGTCAGCTATTTCCAAACGAAGATTGTTTCTGAACTACCACAAGTTTACCATCAATTGCACCAATACAGCTTTTTAAATGAGGATTCCCTGTTCTGCGCGATGCTTCAGCAAACCCTGACATTACTCTGCGACTTTCTCTAATAGTCGATGGCCACTTGATTGTGTCATTCAAAAAGCAGCAAATCATAGCTTTCAGAAACCTCTCAGTGAACCGGTGGTAAGCTGCCTGGCTGACACCAAACATCTCTGATGCCATTCTGTATCCCAAGTGGGTATTACTCAGGCGCCAGAGAACAATAGCCACCTGTTTCCATATGGAATGGCTAGTATTTCCTCTTTCATTTGATGCTTTGAACTCGGAGTCTCTGGACAAAACATTGACCATACAGTTGAATGTTCTTCTATTGATTCTGTAATGATCACGGAAGCTGTTGATTCCGACTCCATTATGTAAATGTGGGTGGCAAAGTATCCACCAATATACATTGCTTCCGTCTAAGTTGTTATGTACTATACGCTCTGCAGTGATATGCATAGGAGAACCAAGGTAGCAAACAGTTTGGAAATCATCTGTCATATGGTTATTTCCAGCAAGCATTATATTGCTGTATATTTGAATAAGTGTCTCGTGCATGTTCAACAGATGCTCTCTCATGTAGTGTAAACGTTTCACTTCAGTTTCTGCTTCTTCATAATCTTCATCATTATCAGATGCAATAGTTTTTTGGGATGAAAATTGAAGGCTGTATACAGCCAAGATCTCAGTTTCTGTAAGGTCAGTGTTGATGTTATTCATTTTAAATATTTTGTAAGATAAAAGTAGTAAAAAGAGTAAAATGTATATAAAAAAAATATGGGGACGTTTTAGTAAAACCGTGGTTTAAAGTTACTTTTATGATTTTAGCGCCGCTTTGAGTTATACCAAGTAGTTTCCCCTGCAAATTCGCGCGTAAAACTACTTGGTAGAATTAACAATTTTCGGAAAGTAATTCATGATTTTTTGGTGTATAACTACTATATTTAAATAAAACTTTTCTTTATCACATAATTTTGAATTATACCGAGACTGCTGAAGAGCACCTTTAATATAATGCTGGATTTGATGAATTGGTTTATGAATGACAAACATCAAAGCTGGCTACCACTTTTGGTAAATAGTAATGTTTTTGACAAATATAATATGTATTTAGAGATGCTCTTGGTAAAATATGGGTGTGTGTGCATGTGCGCATGTACATGATTGTAGTAATGTTACTTGTAAATTTGATTGCAAGTTGATGTTAATAGGCATGCTTATTGAAAGAAATGCATATGAAAAATAAATAGATAAATAAATCAGTAAGAGTATTATTTTTGTTTATTCTGCTAGAAACCCCCTGTCCTCATTTCTCAACTAGAATCATTGCACCAATGACTGCATTGAAAATATTTTTTACAACTTTTCAACCTCTCAACAGAAAATATAAAGAATATCAAATGTATACATATATATACCTCTTGTAATTAAGATTATTTGAACAATCTGTCGCCTTGGTTAAAGGGCATGCAAGATACCAAAAAATAAATAAATAAATAAAAAATATTGGTTTCAGTTGACATTTATAATATTATTATTTTTTTATTTTTTTTAAGAAATCAATATTTTATCAAAAAATAAAATTCATATAATTCCACTTTTCTTGACTTCTACTGATTGTATTTGTATGTTTCTTAGCTCTACTGATAGCTAATAAAGGAGAGTAACAAAAAAGTGGTGTTAGAGACGCATTGTTGATCTTTAGAATTTTCGGAGTTTGAATCATGCTACGATTAGATGGCCACCGGGATTTGGTATAGTGGGCAAGTTGGTAGAAAATTAAAATAAATTGAATATTGCTGCCCAAGTAGAATATAATCATTATATATATATATATTAATTTATTCATTAGATAAAATAAAAATCGAATTAATTTACAGAAAATATATCTATTTGCTTAATTTTTTTTATATACAACTATTTAAATTAAGTAAAATAATAACAACAACAAAAAAATAAAAATAAAACAGTTGTGTGAATACTTCAATAAAACAAATATTAAAAATGTAGACAAGTTAGTACAAAAAAGTCTTATTTTTAAAAATTTCTTTAAATAAAAAGTAAAAGAATATTCTATTTAACATGAACAAAAAAAAACAGAAGATGATTAAGATTGGGATAAAAGGCAGTTAATTTTTTTTTACATATCAACCAACCATTTAGACTATTCCGAGTAGATTGTCTAAATATAATATTGCTTTTTTATTGACAGAATGAATATCTTATAAAAATATAAATTAAAGTCATCATTAACTATTGCTAAAATTATTGCATACAATATTTTGTTCAACAAAATATTCTATTAAAATTAAAGATTTTTTATAAATTAACACAAATGTCTATATATCACTTTTTATTATATTTCAAAAACTACTTTCTCTTGATCATCAATTTTATGTATAACAGTGGTAGACAAACAGTAAAATTCTAAATAACTATTTCTTCAGCTTTCTTTGTAATAAATCAGATTGGTTAAAAGAGTAAAAACTTTGTCTCAAATTTTGTTCTCTGTTTTTATGTGAGCAAAATTTGAAACAAAAATATAATAAGGAGAAATATACAATAATTCTGTAGAAGTCTCCTAAGATTGGTACACTGCTCAATCTTGTTCGGATTTTCTACTTTTTCAAGTTAATTGTAGACAAATAAAGCTTAATATGATTGATTTAATCTAAAACATACTTATTCAGAATTTTACCGTCTGTCTATTGCTAACATATTAAATTAAATTTCTAATCTGATTTATACATAAATTGTAGATTTTAATTTTATTTATAAATATACTAAATACAGCTATTTATTATACAAAACATATGATACTTATAAACATATATTAAAAAATATCTTACATTGCACAAGTAAAACAAATAATTATATATTAAAAATGGTGGAAATAATATATTTATTGCTCTCATTAACACATTTATTGCTTCTCATAAAAAAAATCAAAAAAAGGAACTCATACAAAACTTTAGGGACTTGTCAACAAATTAAATAGTAGTCAGCAATTCGGCATACCAGAGTAACATTGTTTCAACTATCGAACATATGTTTATAAAAATATAATATATGTCTCTTATGTATGATTTGTATGAAAATAAATATTTTGATATTTATATCATAATAGATATGATTTAAATAGTTAACTTATAGATAATATAATTTAATACTTTGATTATATTATGATAGATATGATTTTAATAAATAATAACTAAGTATAAGATAAACTAAAAGCAAAGTAATAATATATAAAAATAAAATAACTAGTTATATGATTTTAGTCAATATATTGATAGTAGACTAAGTAATTATACAGTCAACACTCAATTTAGTGATATAGTTGGGAGTCGCAGAATTTTATTACTACCACCAAATCAAATGTGATATTTTCTTATTCCGAATATTTTTGTGATATTAGAACTCAGTTGTATGTGACTGCTGCTTTTCTCATAGCAAGATGATAATATATTATTTTCTATATGTTAAGATCAATAGTAATAAAAGTCATTAAATATATAGAAATATATTAAATACAAGATGTTAATCTATAAAGTAAAATCAGTACTTTAATAAATAATTTTAAAGAAAGATGGATGAATGTATTAATAATAAAAGCCATTTAAAATTACATTCATCCATTACATATTTATATATTATATAGACAAACACTACAGGAAAAGACAGACAATATAAGACATATAGAATATATGTTCTATTAATAATTGTATATTCTTTTATTCAACAAATTATTATAATATCTTTATAATGAGATATATAATCTTAAGAACCAATAATAAATGAAGCATTATTTGAAACATCTTTGTAAAAAAAATTGATGGTAATGATTGTTTTATATATTCTTAATTCAATAAAACTTAACCAAGTTTACATATCTTCTAAGACATAGTAAAAACCAATCAGATGTATTACCATATTTCATTTTATATCATATAAATGAGCTTATACTTCTTCTAAGAGACAAAAAGCTTAACTAATGATCTCCTTATACTTTATCCATGAAAACAAAAAATATGATTGGTGTGTTATAAGCGCTATGTCTTGTTTAATAGTAATATGTTTTATTTAATAATAATATGTTTAATATAAAAGAAATACTGTAAAACATATTTTTACTGTTATCTTTATTGATAAAAATATTCTTAGCTATAAACTCTTTTTAAACACACACTCACACACACTTACACACCTTCAATCACTTTATTTCTTTAACATGCCCATAGTATCTAACACCTCGTACACTTCTTCCGACAACAACAGCAATGTCATGGGTCGTGTCCATCTTAATGGAAATCAGAAGCTTGCTATTTGCAATAAGTTTAGACACAGACTTAACCAGAAGCAGTTGAGAGCCTGGGCTAAACAGCAGTTTGACTTGCCTAAGCTCCCATCTCAGGCAGCCATATCAAAGATTTTGCAGGAAGAAGAGAAAATCCTAGAAAGAACAAAAAAGAAGTTGAAGAAGACGTCCACCAAAGAGACAACCTACCCTTAGTTGGAAGAAGACGTTCATTAGTTTATTTTGGATATGGAGAAAAAAGCAGTTCCAATCAATGTTCACTCAATCAAAAACTATACCAAGATAATTGCAGTAAGCAAATACAACATCACACAGGAAGACATGCTGAGCTTTTCAGATGGGTGGATTGCAAAGTTGAAGAAGAGACTCAGAGTAAAAAGCAGAAAGATGCACGGCAAAAGTTTCTCTGCTCCTAAAGACACCAAAGAAATTAACCTGAGAGTAGAAGAGATAAAGAAGAAGTTGAGAATGTATGAGAGAAAAGACATTTTCAACTTTGACGAAACTGGTCTTTTCTATAAGCAGCCACTAGTTTCAACCATATCAACAGCAGCAATTTCTGGTCAGAAGACCGATAAAGTTCGACTAACAGTTGCATTGATTTGCAACTCAGATGGCTTCTGGAAGCTGAAGCCTTTCATCATTGACAAATATGCCAAGCCTCGCTGCTTTGGCAAGAAGAATGGTAAGTTATTACACTATTTATATGTGCTGAAACCAATAATTTTCTTAGTATACTAAATGTTCTGATTTTATAAAACAGGCCCAGAGCATGACTTTTAGTATTATAACAATGATAAAAGCTGGATGACAGGTACCATATTTAAAGATATATGCAAGATAATTGACTGTTGAGCAAGAAACTTGGGCAGAAAGATACTTGTTCTGCTTGACAACGCAGCCTGCCACAATACCCATGTCAACTATACCAATGTGGAATTCTTATACCTCCTACCAAACACTACATCATACCTTCAGCCACTAGAGCTGGCATTATACAGAACTTTAAAGTCAAATACCAGCACTACCAATATACCCTTGCTACTCAAAGATATATCAGCAACATGGCCATCAATCCTGATGACTACTTCAAGCTTTCACAACTAGAAGGCATGAATTTTATCAAGTTGGTGTGGAACTAAGTGACTCCAGAAACCATAATCAATTGCTTTAATCATACTGGATTATTTCATGACAACATACCCACATCACACAGCATATCCCCAATTATACCTGAGACTGTCAATATACCTATTGAAGATATAACTATTATACCCAGATGCCAACATCTTACAGAAAGCAATATCAAAGTTGTTGATACCCCAGAAGAATTCTTATATACCCTAGAAGATGATACCATTGATGAAGAAAATGAAAATGAAGAAAATGAAGAAAATGAAGATGAAAAAGATGAATATTCTCCCAAGGAAAAAAGAAAAATAGTAAAAGAGTTAATAGCCAACTTGATACATTTAGTAGTACCAAATAGTCAGCCTTATTAATATATAATGATGAAGACACTTTGTCAATTTATGAATAATATAAAAGCTAAAGAAAATTCTGAAAAAACTCTTTAAAAAAATATAAAAGAATACTTTAAATAATAATTGTAAATAGTGATAATTGTAAATAGTAATAGTTGTAAATAATAATAGTTGTAAATAGTAATAATTGTAAATAGTAATAATAAATAGTAATAATATATTTTATAATAAAATTCTTTTTTTTACAAAACATTATCTTTAAATTTATATTTACTAAGAAAATTACTGTTATTTTTTTTTATTTTTTTCAATATGTATCCCATATAGTTTATTTAATTTTAAAAAATAAAAATAAAAATAAAGCTGTAAAATAACATTTGGATAACCCAGTGTTTGGTATAAAGTATTGGCGTACTTGACATTATAATCAAATGTGTTTATTCTATGTAAAAGTAAAGTAGTCTAACTTGTCATGTTTCAAAAATATTGAGCAGAAATTTGTATTAAATTTTTTTTCACTATAAAAAACAAACTCAGCGTTCGATATAGTGATATCAGTAGAATTTTTTTTCATCACTATCACTAAATCAAAAAATAGTGATAATTAGCAAGGAACAGACAAAAAATCTCAAAAAATATCACTAAATCGTGATTATCACTAAATCAAACATCACTAAATCGAGCTTTGACTATATATATAAATATAATAATTAGCTATATGTCAATAGTTAATATGTATATAGTGGGATATATAATGATAAATAATATATTAACAAACAATAATATGATAATAATTAATATACTAATTACCAATTATATAATAGTAATAATATACTAACACTACAGGAAAAAAAGTGGTCTTTTTGGTGGTCTTTTAGATGGTATTTTAGGTGGTCTTTTGGGTGGCAGTTTTGGTAAAACCAGCAAAAAGACTATCCCTATTTTTGGAAATATAATTAGATCTCCGTTGACTGATGGATGTTAGATTTTATTCATATCCTGATATTTAAATTTATGTATTATTCTTCTCGTTCTATTGGTAGAAAGAAAATAAAAAAGAGCTTTCTTATTAGTATAGATGGAAAAAAAGAATCTTTGTATTGTCACTCATAAAATACTTTAGTTATACTGCTACTTTTAATTGGATAATATAAACTTTATTGCAGTATGCACATTGATAGTATTGGTCATTTAAACAAAAGCATTCTCTCAATTGGTTCTCATATATATATTCTGATTCATTCACAGTTTTAATTGGGCAAAAAAATTTTATTTCATAGAAGATCATTATTTAAAAATGTTTTTATTGGTTGTTATAATAGAAATAATATTTTATTCATGAATCGTACTGGCTAAAATTTCTTCAGATTATTACATATTCTCACATTAATTACACAATTTATTGTACCTACCAGATATGAACTTACCAGAGTATTCTCACTTCTTACGCCCTCTCCAGAGCTGGCTAACCCTTGCAATTGATGCCTAGTTTCTGTGGCATCTGGTATAATCGATTCCATTGTCTCTGAGTATGATGGAATGATTGATACACAGCCTGTTTTTATCCTCTTGAGGAAGCAATGACCAGCCAGGGTTTGTTCCAAGATCCTGAACAGATGGAAGAGCTGCCAGTTGATCACATATGACCTTGGTACATGTGTTAACAATTCTTTTGGTTTCCTTGGTCAATTATATTCTAAGATCATCTGTTATCATCTTGTATATATGCTTTAAAGTTATATCGTTGATTTTTGATACGGGTCTTGGAATGATGCCAGTAAGAGTCTATTATGTTTGACATTAATTGAAAGGACTTTAGTTGTTATAGTATTTGCTTACACTGGTAGAGGTTACAATAGTTCTGTCTGGAAATTCCCGATCTTTAAATTCATTGTAAAAACTTGTCATTTGAAGTTGCATTGTATCTTGTTTTTTTTCTAATGCTTCTTGATGGCCTAGCAATGCTTCTTGACCACTCTTTAGGGAAATAAGTGCAGCTTGTATTCCTTAAAGCAACTGAATCACTGTATTGTCTGTATTGTTCATAATTGTAAGAAAAAATCAGTTACATGTTTGTTATAGAAAAAGAAAGAAAGAGAAATTTTTTTACCAGAAACTATTATTAGTTTCAAATCTTTAGCTTCAATTTTTTAGCTTCAAATTATTAGTTTCAAATTATTTATACAAATCTATTGGTTACTCCTGAAGAAACATTGATGTAGTAACTTCACTGATGACATACAGATACTTCTTTAAGATCCCAAGCATATAACATCATTGTCTTTATATAATTAAGTATAAAGCTATACATTCAGAAAGTAATTAATTCTATTCTTACTTATATAACAAAGTTTTTTTTTACCTATCTCAAACATGTCCAAAATTACAAAAGCCCCTTGTTACCAATGCCGTACTTGCAAGTCGACCTTTAATAACAGTCAAACATATAAAAGATGTCTCAAATGATGCATGACAAATAGGGCAGAATTACTTGCCAATGGCGGTTTCCCAAACTGTTTCTCTTCCTGATCAAAGCCAGTTTACATCAGCAATGGTTCCTAACTTGGCTTTTGGGTAAGCTTATCAAAAGCAAAAACACAAAACGATAGAGAGTATATTAATTAGCTGTATACTTTGATAAACAAACAGAGAAAACATCAACACAAGCAGTAGTAAGGATATGGATATCATTGACAGTACTGAAGATGATGAGTCCATGGTGAGATACATAAATACATATATTATGATAATCATACTTATTGTTGTTTATCTTACTATAGTACGATTTTGGAGAAGAATGCAAGAATGTCATTGACGAAATTGAAGGCACCACACCCTCACTAGTCTTTGATTTTAGCCAGCCTCTTCCTGTTCTCAGCAACGATGATAAAAAGAATCTTGCGTTCATGCAGTTGATCCAAGAGTTCGGAATTTCTTGACGAGCCCACAAAAAGATTGTAGAACACTTCAACCAGATCCTTGATTGTTCTATCAATATTATGTACCGAGCATGCAGCCCACACCTTAGAAACAAGCTTCTTGAGCACTTCTTGGGTATCAAAGCAGACGGATACAACATTTGCATCAGAGGTTGTATGCAGTTCAACAACAAGAATGATATCACATGCGTAAAATGTGGTGAAGCAAGATACAAAAATGGCCAAACTAGCAAAAGTGATACCAGGGTTCCTGTGAGATCAATTGTATAGCTTCCTTTAGCCAGACAGCTTGCTTTGTGCTTGGCTGATGACAAGACCAGGGCTGAAATGCTCTATCGTCATAACCACCAATCCAGCCAAGACGGGCAGAAAGCAGATGTTTTTGATGGTCATGTATACCAATCCATGAAGCATCTGTTTTCTGGTGAAAACAATATTGCGATTTCGTTGTCCATGGATGGGTTCAACCCACACAATGTATCTGGACCAGTAACCATTGTTCATGCAACTGTCTTGAGCTTGAATCTGACGATCCATTATGAGAAAAACAGGATGATCCAAATAGCAATGCTTCCTGGTTGCACTGGTCCCAGTGACATCTGGTCTTTTCTTGAGCCAATACTGAGAGATCTCCGTTTGCTCCAGACAGAAGGCATAGAAGTAAAGATACCGACGACAACAATCAGGGCAAAGGTACATGTCCTCATAGTCACTGGCAATATTCCAGCTCTGGAAAAGCTGGCATGCCATGTTGGCTGCACGAGTAAGAATGGCTGTCATATTTGTCACGTAGTGGGCCAAACTCCTAAACATGGCCAGTGCTTTCGCATGTTGCCTGGAACCCAGACGCGCTCACTGGAGAGTTTCAGAAACTATAATCTGGCAAGTAGTGAAGACAGAAAGGGGCTCAATGGTCAGTCACCATTAGCCTCAATGGAAACATTCTCTGGCCCGTTTTTTTTCGCATTAGACGAGATGCATGGTCTGTGCCATGGAATTGGTAAACAGGTATGGGTGTTATATTTTTAGAAAAGAAAGAAAAACAAAGTGCAGATGAGAAGTACGGTGAGACTTTGTTTATTGATGAAAAGAGAGATGATCTTCTATTGCTATTTGCTATGTGAGTTTATATAGACATTGCGTGTGTATTTAGGATAATGATATGAGTATATCATGTGATGTCTGTTTTCTTATATCATAGATAATATATTGTTAAGTTATTATCTACGCTCTTGTTTGAGTGATTAGTGATGTTGACTAAGGTGTGTGACCTTGTTATTGGTATATTCTTTATTTAATGATAGTGTGAGAAATAATGTATAATTGATACTGGTCGCTTATTCAATATGTCTTTGTCTTATTGTCTGTGCACTCTATTTGAATCTACGATTATGTTGGATACAACAATGGGGACTTGTATGCGAAAAGTATGGAATCAAGCATCCTCTATGTCTTTCTCTTGCCACTCAAAGGGAGATTGGTGCTGCAATGGTAGCCACAAAATCCACAATCCCTACATTGTTGCATGGTGCCTGAAGAGACGTGACAAAGAATGCCGGTTTCTTTAGAGCTGTAGATTGGGCAGACTTTTTACTCTTTGTTGTCCCCACGTTGGTTGCAGAGCGTGTCCAGGACTTGGTTGCCCAAAATGCATTACTTGGCCTGGTTCAAACATGCAATTTACTCATGAGCTAGAAGTTATCAGCAGAGGATCAAACCTTGATAAGAAGGTATGTTTAATGCCATATTTTATTTCATTTTTCATAGTAATTTACTTTTATCTTTTTTCTTAGTAATCTTGTAGAATGGAACTTATTCCTAGAGAGTCATCTTTCTACAGCAGATATTGACATTGGCATGTTCACAATTAACCAGCACATTATTCAGCATTATCCTCAGATGATTGATCTATATGGCCTGCCAAAAGCATATAGCACACAATCCGTGGAAAGAGCCATTGGTGAGTACTGCAGATCCATCAAGAGTAACTCCCAAGTCAGTGTCAATGCTGGAAACATCATGATCAGACTGGCGCAATCCCGGCATGTAGTGGAACTGACAACCATTGCAAACACAAAAACTCCACCAGCTAACCTTCTAGTTTACAGTGCATATACTGATGGGTGGCCTGTTACAGAAGGAGGTGATCCTGCCAATGCTGAGTGTGAGATTGAGTTCTGGGGGCCTTTGAAGAATTTAACAATTTTCAATAGCTTTGAAGATAGATCTCATCTTTCATTGCTTCTTAAAACGTTTTATGATTTGAAGGGAGAAGAATGTAGTATGCTTGAGCCTTCCATAAAGACAAGCTGGAAGGCCTATCTTAATGGTTGTGTTATTGACGCTGCATTCAACCAAAGTTCTACAAGAGAGGCATGTCATGTTCATGTGCAGCTACAAGTGGACATGAACTCCAGAAGATCCCACTCTTACCGTCCAGGATATAAGCATTTCTTCGGAAAAGTGGTTATATTCTTTCAACATGTACACAACTCGAAGAGATGGCCACTAGCTCTCATAACCATATATAGTGTACATTTGAAAAATGGATTGCCTATTACATCTGTAGTAAAGCCGAAGACTATAGTGATTCATACCAGTGACATTGTAGAGTTGATTGGCTTGATGCCATCAAATGTCAATGGTAGCCATTACATCATTTGGCCTAGCCTTAAACATGGCCCAAAATTGACACTTGGTGTCTTAAGTGATATATAATTTGTTTTTTTTTCTTTTTGTAATAAATTTTTCTTTTTTTTCAAATTGTCATAACAAATTTTATCCAAGCAGCAGAAAGTTTAGATATTTTCTTTTTTTTATTTCTGACATCCAATATTTCTCAATTCCAATATATATTTACCAAAAATGTAAGATGTTTAATTAGAATGGACATTTGTCCCTTTTGAAATTTAATTTTAAGCAATTCATTTGCTTTTTATCAACCATTTCAAAGAACAAAGATTTTCTTGTTTCAACTTGAATTTTTGGTGATTTTTTGATTATTATAGACCAAAAATGAAGTCACAAATTCAAAAAAGACTACCTTTTTCCCATTGTGTAATAGCTAGCTATATGATATTGTTTAATATATTAATAGTCAGCTATACAATATTAATCAGTATGTTAGTAACTAACTATATGATAGTAATTAATATATTAAAAGCTAATTATATGACAATGATTGATATATACAAATAGTTAATTATTTAATAAAAGATTATAAGTTAATAGTTAATTATATACTGATTGTTAATATAATAATAGTAAATTATATGATTATAATCAATATATTAATAATCAACTATATGATAATATTCAGTATGTTAATAGTCAACTATGTGATGATAGTTAATATTTTAATAGTTAATGTACTAATAGTCAGCTATATAATAATGATTCTATAGTATTTCAGGTACAAAACAATAGAAAATAATAAATTTGATAATAGAGATGTATAGAAATACTTTGAAACTATATATAAGTTGTCTTTTATTTATAAATAAAAAGTGTTTCTTTTTATAAGAAAATACAATCTGCTCTTATCATTACATTTTAGTTTTTTAAAGTTTTGTTTTGTTTACTATATTTAATTATTAGAGTGTATTTACTACTTAAGTAGTGTCAGTGTTATAATTATCACTGGGGAATTAAATTTCTACACATATGCGATAGTATGGGAAATTCTGAGTGACAGAATAATTAAATTCTGGAATTTGGCATTTATAGATTCCATTCGCAATATGTTATGTTACATGTGAGTTGTTCATGTAACTTCTGAACTTATAATGATCCATATAGAGATGTAAGGTTCTTTTAAACTATTTAATCGCAGAGAGAATAATCAAATTATCGCATTTTTTTTGGATGTTACATTAAATTAAACTTGATTTGAAACAGAGATTCTAATAAAAAATCTATTTTTGATAGAAAACTGTCTACTGAAATAATGATATTCTATTGGATCATTTAACAGAAGAAACAGGATTTATGTATACTATCTTCCAAATCTAAACACTTTTATTGAACAATTATGCATGTCTAAACTATATGATTCACACATGACATACTACTACAATACTTTTTGCACTTCATTTCAAATATTTATATAGGGATTGTTTTGGAAAAATTGCTTTTATTTTAAAAAAAAGCTTCTTGCTTATAATATGTACGGCTTAACAATATATAGTCTAATCTAATATATAGGCTACTACATAATTAATAGAATAACAAACCTTTCATATATTATAATATATAAATACTTCCAATATGATAGAATCCTAAAAAGAAATGCGTATTTACGGTATTTCACTAGTAAGAGAAGGCTAAAAATTTATTCAATTATATTAGATTATATAAATATTTATTTTTCTTTAATTTAAATAGTATGGTTACTTACCAGTACTTTCGTCAAAATCAGGCATAGTGCACATTGACTGTTGTTCTGAAAGGTTTAATAAAACACATTAGTAAAGATTATGGAATAAAATTTGGCTTTATTACTTACCAAAGAAAACTAGTTTTCAAAGATAAGTCATTCAATCAGGTACATAGATATGTTGGCAGTACTAACAGAGATAGAAAATAAACAAAATTAGATATAAGGATAAAATAAATAAATATATTATTCAGACTTACCAGATAAATTTCTGCTGTTGGTATGTCTTTATTATGAGCTGAGGAGTTAATGAGCTGAGGAGAGAAAAAGAAAATAATTAATAAAGAAACACATACACAATAACCACATTTTACCTTTTTGTTCTTGTCCACTAATCAACACGGCAAAGACTTGTAATACTATCAGCAACCACAATAATAACAAAAGAAAAAACATTAAGAATAAATATAACAATAGAATAATAAAGACAAATTGCTTACCAGGGTGTGAACTCAAATACATTAACCAGAATAAAAGTAAATAAAGCGGAAAAGAAACAGAAAAAAAAGAAATAAAAAGAAGAAAAAAAGTGGGCTTTTAAACAGAAGGCAGTTTAGATGAGAATTGACTCTAGTAAAATACAATAGTAATAAAATGAATAGTTCAAAATTATATTGTAACACTAATTTCTATGATGAATATTAAAGAAGTTGTTCAAGATTATAAAGAATTTTATAGAAAATAATATATAATCTCTTTCTTTTCTCAGCTATTTCATAAATTTACTTTACATCAACTTATTTTGTATGTATATCTTTGATTAAACAAAAATAAATATATTTCAACCCATACATTTATTTTATTTTAATAATTTATTAATATATAAAACTTTAATAAAATACAATAAGGAAAAATGCCTTCCAATAGCAGCAGAAAAACAGATCATAAAGGAAAAGAAAAAGCATCTGCAAGTATATCTACCTCTGCAAACCATGTTTTGGCTGGCCGTGTTGCACCTGTGGTGATCCAGACACTCAGATGTTGGATTTATCACATATAAGAACATATTCATATTGGGATAGCATAGTAGCTATCATCTTGTCAGTATAAAATATATATAAACGATTAAGTAATCAGCCCAATAATTATTACAGTTAGTACTGTAGATAATATCTTAAAGATTGTTAAGATAATTATATCATACTGCTGGGTAAACTGTGTCAGATCGATATGGAGCTAATTTAGTAGGAAGTTCTAAAGCTCTAGTATAAAAGAGAAAAGAATAGCTAAGAGCTAAAGAAGTACGATTTATGACTTGATGTCATAATTGTAACACTGACACTAGTTAAGCAGTAAATACACTCTAATAACCAAATATAGTAAAGGAAGAAAGCCTTAAGAAACTAAGACGTAATGACAAGAGCAGATTGTGTTTTCTTATAAAAAGGGACACTTTTTATTTATGAATAAAGAGAACTTATATACAGTCTCAAAGTATTTCTATACGTCTCTATTATCAAATATTTTATTTTTCTATTGTTTCGTACCTGAAATACCACAGCACCTCGAAAAATTTCCCCCAGTTTCTCATCTGCAACTATCCAAGATCAGCGATACGCAGAAATTGTTGAAATGTTTAACAAAGTAAGCAACAGTATCAATGGTGTCAAGGATGACATTGCTGCTGTCAATAGCAACATGACAGCTTTTAAAAACAGGATGGGCGTTGTTGTTGACATGTCTGGAAAGACACATACGGCATTTGCAGACTTTGCAACTGCCTATGCCAACGATCAGACTCGTATGGCTAGTCTAGAACCATCTCTGATGCCATTCTATGTCCCCCAGACCTCCCTCAGTGATGCCAAGGTTTCTGTCATTATCTCGGTAATTAATATTAATATATGTTAGTATCAACAACTTATTAAACAACCTGTATTTAAGAAATCTTTGCAGAAAAGTTGTGGGACTAAAAGTTTGAGTCTGATGACCCTGCTCTTGTTGCTGAGAATGAGAGTAAGAAGAAGTGGAACTTGAACAAGATTAACCACTGCAATAGCATAGCTGTTATCAACTACTTGAAGAGCTACATTAGTGCCCAGACTTGTCTAGCTGGTACTCACCCACCAGTAATAAGTGATAAAATAAAGAACAGGTACAAGTACAATCATCATACTTTTCACAAGTCTCCTGAGCAGAAGGCCAAGAAAAACAGCAAGGGGTGAGCAAACAGTCGTACTCTTCAGGTTTGTATATACTATATAAAAAATTAATTGGTATATTACTATTTTCTCAAGCTACAATATATATAACCAGATATCTATCCAACGCAAGTCAACATACATGGACAACTGAGTAGCCATTGATGCTGCAATGGGATATAAGACTGGAAACCCTGTTGAGAAGGCCTATCTCAAACTCTTTCAGAAGGATGCCATGTCTGATGGTGAGTCGGATATTGAGATTGTGGACAATCTTCTATGATGGTGTTTGCATGTGGCTCGCCCTACTTGGAGAAGTGAAGAGGTAAATAATATTTAGAATAAATAAATAAGTTTTATAACAAGAAAAATAAAGAACTAATAAAAATAAATACAGTTCAACAGATTGCTGACAATGGTTGACAACATTGATTGTATCCATCATGTGTCAAATGCAGGCGTGGGAACAAAGCCAAGAATGAACAGATATCCAGCAACATTGTTGCCTTGCTCTGTTCCTGCCACCCTGTCCCAGTCATTGCCTCGTTGGGCAATCAACGATGAATAAACATTTTCTTTTTTACTATGTTCTGTTCTAGGGCCAAATAGTAATAATTGAAATTGAATTGATTAAAGGAAATAATAATAATAGAGGATAAATATATAAGTAAGTGTGTGTATGAGAATTAATAGTAAATTTTTTTTGGTAAAGGAATCGCGAGTTTTTTGTTGACATTTTTTGTAGTTTTGTAATCTACTATTGCAACTGTTAGGAGAATCCGATGTACTGGCAGGATGCTTTGAAAATCTTGCTTGTAGAATTCATCCTGTAACAACTCAACTCCTTCTAATTCTCTTGTTTTGTCCAAAGTGGATTTGAACCATTTGACAAATGCAAATACATGCTGACTACTATGGAGATTTCTGTATGTTAGAGAAGAAACAGTTGGCCTAAAATTGTGAACAAAAAGGTATTAAATCTCTCCAACATACGCATGTTTTGACCCAGTTCGTTCAGTGAAATATGCTTGTATGTATGATCCGCAGCCATTTGTGCCAATGCACCCTTTGTAGCTTTGCCCAAGAAGATCAACGGACTTCACTATTTCGATCCAGTCATTGACGAAAGGTGAGTCATCAATTACATCTTTGCAACCTGAGATCTGTGGATTCTTGTACGCAGCTTGATAGTATTCTACAAGACAATCATATTCATGTTTTGGCATAAATGATAATGGTCTTGTTTTCAATGGCAAGGCAGATAGTGGCAGGGACTCGTTTCTACGAATTGTCATTGAAAGATTCTGTGAAGCTTCAAGATATTTGGAAATTGAGAAAGAGTGAGAGAGGTAGGTGTTGGTGTTGGTGTTGGTGTTGGTGTTGGTGTTGTTGTTGTTGTTGGTGGTGAACTTATAAAAAATTTCAAAACATGCAAGTGTATGCATAGGTTTCAGAAGTCGACAAACAAAATCTCCCTTCCACGACTCTTCAATGAACTGTCTCATAAATGTTGATTCGAACCTGTTTCTTCGATTGGTCTTGATATTTTTCAGAACATTATTGTATCTTTCAAAGCTGAAAAGCCAATAGCCATAGACGGGCCCAAAGTCAATCATTGTTTGACGTAAGTGCAGATGCAGGTGCATGTTGGAAGAGAGAAGGTCCAGGTCGTACAATGTCTCACACCCTTTACAGAATTCTTCTAAGCATTTGTGTCCTTTCTCAATATCTTCTTCAGAAACACTAGGCTTGGTGAAGTATCTGCATGCATTAACAAACTCTATCCAGTTCTTGAACTCTGGCAATGACAATACATCCCTTAGAACCACAGGAGAGTACACAAGGTACCAAGACTTTCACTCATCAGCCTTCATATAGGGAAATCCCTTAGCAATCTTTGTCCCAAGTGACATGTAATTGGGCGGCAACACTACCTTCTCAACAGCCTTTTGCATGGCAACAAGTTTTTTACTGTCAATTAATCCATCTGCAACCCATCTCTCCAGCATTCTTTTGGGAGTGTCTAAGAAAAAATTGTACATGGGATCAATGATCGTGCAGCGGACAATGTCAAAGTACTGAAGACAATGCAGTTTGGACCAGTAAACAACATGTGCAACTTCATGACACTGTCTCTTAGTTGGTTTGATTGTATTTCTCCAGATCTCTGCATCCTTACAATTGTCATTCTTAGTGCGAAAGAGCCACTTTGAGAAATCGAATCCAGAATAATCAATGGAACTTGTTCCAGCCAACCTCAAAAATTGACGCTTACACTTGTGGTATGCATTTGTACTTGTATGTGATGTGAACCCACATACTTTTCTTGCAGCAGGTATATTACAGACAACCATGAGAAGGGCTGCTTGGATAGAAGTACCGTTTGGACATTGGTGAGTCTTAATCTTAATATCTTTGTACAGCTCTATCAACTCATTCACAAGTGGTTTCAGATAATTATTTATGTCAGAAGTGTTTGCTTCTTTAGGCCCTGGCATTAACCCAACAAGAATCACATTCTTCTTCTTGAACTACTCACTGCATGAAAGATTATTGATTGCAAGATATATGGCACCACAGGAGTAGGTAACACCATCAAATGGCTGAAACCAGTCAATGTTCAGCGTGAGCATAGTGATCGTTCGGTATCAACAAAAGGTATAACATCTACGTCTACTATCTCATTCTATATCGCACTATCATACATGTCAAACAAAGTGCTATCCATTTTCGGGCCGCAGTTCTATGAGTTGATCTTGTTTTCAAAATCCGGGCATTGAAAAAACGTCTTTAGGACTTTCTTGATGGAGTGGAATACATATGTCTTTTTGGGTGCTTTTGACCTGGGACCAGACTTCAACAAGCTGTTGCCACACAAGGAGGTTTTACCAAAATTGGGTGATATACAACACAAAGGGGCGGCTTCATTATCATATATGGCATGGCATTTGCTACATGCAACATACTTCTTGACACCACTTGTCAACGCTTCAAATGCGGCCAAATGTTTGAGGTCAGCAACACTCACAGGAAGGTGGAATGGGTCAAACAAAAACTGCAGGATCTTGTTGATTATGGCAATCAGGATTACAGCTCCTTCATTCACAACATATAGTGAGACAAAAAGAGCAACTGAAATAACAATGAATCAGTGAATCAAATTCAATTCTGAGATTGATTCCAACAAAGAATTTTTAATTTGATTTTTTTTAAAGAATGTTGATTAACTCTCTATTTTCTAGAATATAATATTATCTAAAGCTGTGTACCTACCTTTATCATTGTCCATCTCAACATTGGATTCATCTTCATATTCTTCTTCTTCTTCACAAGTGTCACTTGTATACTAGACATTATCTTCAGAGTCAAACACGCAATCCATTTCAGAGAAATGTTAGTTTCTTGTCCATATATCCAAAATGTTATTTGTGTCATTTAGGTCTACAAAAGCGGAATGTTAGACCCAAATAAATCAATGTAATAAAAAAAGTTTTCTTACTTCTAAGCTCAGAATTGATTTCAACATCTTCCTGTTCAAATTCAAAACTATCTTCCTCTTGATTTACAGGCTCAGAAACAGCACTACTAATTGTATCGCATGCGTCTTTATAGGCTACATATTTATTATTATTATTATTATTATTATTATTATTATTATTATATAAAATAATAAAAAAGGAAATGATACAAAATAAAATAAAATAAAGTAAAGTAAAGAAAATGTATTAACTGTACGTATTTGAACATGTGTAATATCATGATTATCTTTTTCTTGATGACATTTAAATGTTTTAACAGATACACGATCAAATTCTAGTGTCTTGCTTTTACAGATAGAGCATTGACACTCTTTTCTAACAGTTGGTTTGCGAATAGAAGCCATTTTAAAATGAAAAGAAAGGTTTACAATAGTATTTAATAGTAAAGAAAGAGACTTCAAAGAAAATACACTTTTATTTTATTTGAGTTTGATATTGCATTCTAATGCTACACAGCTGCTAGTAGCCAATAGAGTAGCTTAAAATACTATTCAAATACTTTACTCACAAAAGTGAGCTGAACTACAATTTTATATATTCTGTTTATCAGAATTTAGGTATACTTTACATATGGGAAATTGATCTGTTTTTGCAGTGTATGATATCAATTTATAAATTATACTTCTTTAGCTGTTAGCTATTTTTTTCTCTTTTATACTAGAGCTTTAGAACTTTCTACTCAATAAGCTTCATATTGCTCTGACATAGTTTATCTGACAATATGATATAATTATTTTCACAATCTCTAAAATATTATCTACAGTATTAACTGTAATAATTATTGACCCAATTATTTTATCATTTATATATATATTATACTAACAAAATGATAGCTACTATGCTATCCTAGCATGAATATATTCATATATATAATAAATCTAACATCTGAGTGTCTAGATCATCACAAGTTCATATATTAATAGTTAATATACTAATGACTTCTATACTAATAATTAATATGATGATAGTCTCTATAATAATAGTCAGCTATATGATAATAGTCAATACAATAATAAAATATATTCTGTGGTATTTCAGGTATGAAACAATAGAAAAATAAAATATTTGATAATAGAAACGTATAGAAATACTTTGAGACTGTATATAAGTTCTCTTTATTCATAAATAAAAAGTGCCCCTTTTTATAAGAAAACACAATCTGCTCTTGTCATTATGTCTTAGTTTTTTAAGGCTTTCTTCCTTTACTATATTTGGTTATTAGAGTGTATTTACTGCTTAACTAGTGTTGGTGTTACAATTATGACATCAAGTCATAAATCGTACTTCTTTAGCTCTTAGCTATTCTTTTCTCTTTTATACTAGAGCTTTAGAACTTCCTACTAAATTAGCTCCATATCGATCTGACACAGTTTACCCAGCAGTATGATATAATTATCTTAACAATCTTTAAGATATTATCTACAGTACTAACTGTAATAATTATTGAGCTGATTACTTAATTGTTTATATATATTTTATACTGACAAGATGATAGCTACTATGCTATCCCAATATGAATATGTTCTTATATGTGATAAATCCAACATCTGAGTGTCTGGATCACCACATATTCTAAGAGTTAACTATAAGATAATAGTTAATATACTAATAATTAACTTTTTAATTATAATTAATTTTATAATAATTTACTAAAAGATTATTTATATGATCATATTATATATATTATTTTAATATATATATATATAGCTATAGCTATTATGGTAGTAATAGACTAAGTATCTATATATATAATTAAAATAGTCTGTTATATATAGCTAAAAGCTGCTGTGGTGGTTGAAGTTTTTAAGAAGTTGTAAAAAGAAGAATTAAAGATTTGAGAGGAGGAATGAAGATTTGTAAGAACTTGTGTAGGGTTTGTTTATTAAGAAAGATTTTGTATCAAAGTTTGACGAGGTTCCTACACTGAACTACTACTGTTATTTATATTATTTTGGATTGGGAAAATTATATGACTGGGATCAGGTAATCAATCCTATCTGAGCCTTAATCAGAGCAATGTGATCTTGGGATAATTAATGTATGATTAATTATATAAATGTGTGTAGTCCCAATGAAGTATTAATATCGAAAGTAAATATGTTTATAAGTTATAATTATGCTTATAATAATCCACTGATGTATCTCATATTATAGTGATATCATCATATGAAATATAATCACTATCATATATGCTAAACCTGTATATTAAATAATAAAGTAATTGGTAGACATTTTTGACTGGAATAGCTGAGGCCTTACATTATTTCCTTCAGATTTATTCTCAATTACAGCAGTAGTCAATACTCATTTACAACAAAAGCAATATAAATACTTAAATATAAATAATAAAAAAATAAAAAACTTAAAAAAAAATACATTTTGATCAAAATCTTTATAATGTTATATAATATAAAATGATACTAACTATATATAGAATAGAAAACAACAATTTGTATAGTTTATTTCTATCATTTTCTCAAAAATTAAATATATATAATATATGAAACTTATACCATTAGATATGTCTTGAAAAATGCTACATTTTGACTATAGAATTATTTTTGACAAAAATTGTCTTTTATAGTTAGTACAAAAGCATGGCATGGGAGTACTTCTAATTTAAAGTATATATAAAATTGAAATGGATCAAAATTTTGAAATGATATCATTCATTTATAAATGAGCAATATTTCATAATAATTTTGGATTTCTGAGATTTATGGGTTTTTAAAAGCTCCGAATTCAAACTCCGCCATTTGCTTACAGTGTCATAAAGCAACACTATGGCGGAGAAAATGGTAACATAACTGCCATTTTTTACTTAATAAAAAATGGCAGTTATGACTCTGTATAAGGCCAAAACAGGCACTGTTACCATTTTTTACATAATAAAAATGGTAGTTATTTACTATGTAAAAAGCCAAAACAGGCACTGTTACCATTTTTCAAAAAAAAATTAAGCGTCCTTCCTTTCCTCTATTACATTCTTTCTTTTGTTCTATTGCTTTCAATTCTAGCACAACCTCTTGTTTTTCCTTTGCAGCTTTAACAGAATGGTCTGTTTTTTATTATACAATATTGAATCGGGTTTAATTGAATTGAATCTTTATTTCAATGCATGTTGTTGTGGTGGTTGAAGTTGAAGAAGTTTTTAAGAGGAAGAATTGAAGATTTGAAATTAGGAACGAAGATTCGTGAGAACTTGTGTAGGTTTTGTTTATTGAGAAAGATTTTGTATCAAAGTTTGACCAGGTTCCTACACTGAACTACTACTGCTATTTATATTGTTTTGGATTGGGAAAATTATATGACTGGGGTCAGGTAATCGATCCTATCTGAGCCTTAATCAGAGCAACGTGATCTTGGGATAATTAATGTATGATTAATTATATAAATGTGTGTAGTCCCAATGAGGTATTAACATCAAAAGTAAATGTGTTTATGAGTTATAATTATGCTTATAATAATCCACTGATGTATCCCATATTATGGTGATATCATCATATGAAATATAATCACTATCACGCATGCTAAACCTGTGTGTTAAATAATAAAGTAATCGGTAGACACCTTTGACTGGAATAGCTGAGGCCTTATATTATTTCCTTCAGACTTATTCTCAATTACAGCAGTAGTCAATACTCATTTACAACACATGTTTTATTAAATGAAAATGATACTGATAATAGTAATAATGAAAAAACAATTCCATCAGCCACTTGCAATAAAAAATGGTTCTGTTTAGCTACTGCAAAACGTATGCAGTAAAACACTACTATTCAAATTGTATTTCATATACTTTGGGTATTCTAATATATCTTAGATAGCACTTATTATTTTTTACCGATTTCTACAAATATACTAATATTAGAGAAAAAACTTAAAATAAATAAATAGATATAATATTATTATAATGCTTACCTTTATATAATATGCTTACTTGTTCAGTAAAATAAGCATTTACTCTAAGAATATATATATATATTAAAGAATGTATTAATATTTAAGATCTATATATAAGAAAAGCAATAAAACATAAGCGCTATAGAAAGTCGTTATCGTAGAAGAAGAAAAACTTGAGCAAAGATTCAAGTCATGTAACATGAAGCTAATTCGAATCTGATTCATACAACCGGAATGAGCATCTTGTTAGAAAGCTTAACGTGTTTATTCTACTCAATATACTTACATATAATAGAACAACTCCCAAGTATAATATATCAGTACAAAAATATTACTATTAATTTTTTTCCCAAAAAAAAGGCTATATACTATTTCCTTTTATATTTGAATGTAGCGGAATTGTAGATGTTGTACATTAGTTTCAAATTCTTGTAATCACAACATTAGCAATCATATGAAAGAGGTCAATAAATTTTTTATATGAAAGAAAAAAGGAATAAAAAACATAAAAAGAAAAATGACGAGATAAGAAAAAAAATGCACTAAAGACAGACTAAAAAAATCAAACTCGGCCAATCACAGCAGCCAAACTACGATCTTTGGCTTCTCTTGCGAGCAGGCTCGACACTTGCTGTGGGTGGAGGAGACCTACATAAAAGAGTAAGAAGTTTATATTAGTTTTGTATTAACAGCGCATGAGAAAAAGCAACAATGGTAACTTACAGCACATCTGCCATTATGGGCGACTCAACATCACCAGTTTCTGACATATCAGAAGAAGAAAGCAAAGAATCACTTATGTCTCGTTGTGTCTATAGCATAATAAAAGGAAACAATGTTAATTAAAGTTTACAATATATAGATTTGTTAATTGATAAACTTACTTTGTTCTTCTCTGCCATTCTTCTCTTGTGCGTCTGGTTGTCGCTCTTGAAGCTTTCCCGAAGAAGGCTTCTTGCACACCTCATTCTTTTACATTGGTGGATGTGCAATCCACCATTCTTCGTCAACCTCTCCAAATGCATCATGTAGTATTCCCTGTTTTTCTCTGGGATATTCTTCCATTCTTTTGAGGCCGCAGGATAGTCTTTGTCAATGATATCATGCTTTACCGTACAGCCTAATGTTTTGAGATGCAGTCTTTTTACTGTCAAATCATGGTCTGAAAGAGGGACTAATGGGGGCAAAGGCTGCCCTTTTGGAACTTCTTTGCAGCGTGCCTTCCAGTCCTGCTCATGAAGAATCTGAAGCAACAGATTGTATTTTTGTGCTTTGTTTTTTCCTTTGAACTTGCCGCCAGTATTGAGTACTTGCTTACCGAGCTGATCAGGATACTCTGTGAGCTGGGCTCTTTTCACAGACTCGGCAATGCGCTCAAGAGCTACAAAAAATGTATGACAATATTAATAAAGTAAATAAACATCTAAGTACAGAATATATA